CCCGAGTGCTCGCGTACCACTTGCGCGCAATCATCGGAACGTGAGGGTTTGCAAGGTCCCCCACGACACCGTGATTATAACTTGAATGCCTCCCTTGAGTCGGAGGAAATTATTGTTATTTTCTTTTTCTCCCTTGTGGAGCTAATCGCTATTGGTTTGATACCAATAATGGCAGTCGTTTCAGTATGGTAAGGATACATATGTATCCGCAATTTAAAAATGAACTTAAGCGTGTACTGAAAAAAAGTGAAATACGGATTGATTTTATTTCCCGTACTATATTGCATATATGAAGACAAATAGATGCACACCTATATTGTTTTCTATTCCATTATGATACACGATACTAATTTAATGACATATCAATATCTAGAAATAATGCAAAAATCTTCTTAGTTTATTTTTAAATTTTAGATATAATTTTTTATCTTTTGTGAGTGCAGACAACTATCTTTTTGTTTACCTATTCGAATACAATTTTCAAATTGGAAATTATTCACAAAATTAAGATTATTCACAAAATTAAGATTATTGTATTGTGTATGCCAAATAAAAAAAAAAAAATGAATAACATTATTATTATTGATCAATAAAAAAATCTAGCAAAGCAATAAGGGCCGGTGGGGGGGAAGATTTCATTTTATGATAAAAAAGTCATTCATCTCGGTTATTTCACACGAAGAAAAAGAAAAAAACAGGGGGTCTGTTACATTTCAAATACTAAGCCTCACTAATAGGATACGAAAACTTTCTTCACATTTGGAATTGCACAGAAAAGACTATTTATCTCAGAGAGGCCTCCGTAAAATTTTGGGAAAACGCCAAAGGATGCTGTCTTATTTGTCAAAGAACAATAGAATACGTTATAAAGAATTAATTAATCAGTTAGATATTCGGGAATCAAAAATGCGTTAATTTGAATTTGAGGAAGCGTTTTGAATTATTGAATTATTTGATTTATTAGATCTTGATTTTTTTTTATTTTAATGAACTTATTTTCGCTTTTCAGTAATTCATGAAAGAATCAATCGAGGAAAAAGAAAAACCTATGAATATACCAGCTCCAAGAAAAGACCTCATGATAGTAAATATGGGTCCCCACCACCCATCAATGCATGGTGTTCTTCGACTCATCGTTACTCTCGATGGTGAAGATGTTATTGACTGTGAACCAATATTAGGCTATTTACACCGAGGAATGGAAAAAATTGCGGAAAACCGAACAATTATACAATATCTGCCTTATGTAACGCGTTGGGATTATTTAGCTACTATGTTCACAGAAGCAATAACCATAAATGGACCGGAGTTGTTGGGAAATATCCAAGTGCCTAAAAGAGCCAGCTATATCAGAGCAATTATGTTGGAGTTGAGCCGTATAGCTTCTCATCTCGGCCTCTAAAGGCCCCGTTTGGCTGAAAGCCGTAGCTGTTGTTTTTCTTGAAACTGTTTTAGTCAAAAACTGTGCCGTTTCGGGAATCTGTGTTTTAGTACCTCTTAGGGTCGGATTTTGAAAATCTTTTCTTCATCAAATTTCTTCATCTCGTCGAAATATAAAATTGTCACTTTTGTGAAAAATCGAGATTCAGCTTCTAAGGGTCCCGTTTGGCTGAACCAGTGGCTGCCAGTTTTTTTTTCGAAACTGTGTTGGACAGCTTGTCCGTTTTTGCCAAATGGCTTCAAACTTGGTTTTAGAGTTAAAATTAGGTTTTGTCATAGTAACCGAAAATGTTCAAAACATCCAGGGCTATAAGTTCAAGCTTTAAAACATTAAAAACTCTCGCTCTATGGTCCTCATTTTCGCGGTCAAAGTCACCGGAAAATTTTTCCTCTAATCCGAAAATAAGCAACTTAGATTAAGCATAAACATACCACATCAAACTAAGCTCAAAACTCACAAAACCAACATAAAACTCACACACTCTTATTACAATCTTATCTCTTCAAGAACCACAAATTTACATCCATAAATCCAAGCTTAAAGTTGGCTAGAAATTAATGGAGGGGAGTTTAAGAACTTACCCTTGAAGAATTCTCTCTTTCTCTTGAAAAACCCTTGAACTCCTCTAGGATTGTTAATGGCTTGAAACTATAAGAGTATAAGGAAATTTGAGAAGAATATTTCTCTATTTCAAACTTTCCCAAAACATGAAAAAGAGAGGATTTAGAGTTTCTTTACCCTTAGAGGAATGCTTGACTAGTCTCCTCCTAGAATCCCTTAATCTCCTTCTTCTTCTTCTATGGTGTGCTAGGGGCTCAAGTTTTGGAGAGTGGGAGAAAATATTTGAGAGGAAATGGAGAGTGTGTGGCCGGATTTTTGAGTGGGGAAAAAGCTAGGAGAAAAAAAATGAAGCTTATCCTATGTTGGTTCCTTTTATAGGCACTTGGAAATTATTTTTTTTAACACCAATTCCACTCCATCATTCAACCAAATTTTTGGTTCAAATCCCCCTTTCTTGGCCGGTTTTGGAAGGAGAAAAGAAGAAGCAACTTTGCCATTAATTCCCCTTCAACCACTAACATCACATCACCTTAACATAAAGTCCTCTAGCACACTCCACTAGCCAAAGGTTTGGCTCTATTTTTTCATGCATGGCCGGCCAAGTGGAGGAAGGGAGAGAAAAAAATCTCACCTACCCCATTGTACTCTTGTCCACTTTCTTAAGTTTCCCTTAGAAACTGATAAAAATTATACTGACTATAAGAGAGTAACTTAGCTGACAGGAATTCGTTTCCATTTCCGACGGTTCCTTTTTCTACTGTTTATTTACAGTTAAATGTTAAATCCTTGACTGCTTTGGATATCACATTAAATTCTTATTCGCGTAATATCTTGAACTGTTTACAGTCTTGAAATTAATTCTAGACTGAACAAATTCTAAATTTAACTATCCTGCGTTAATTTTCAGAAATGACGTTGTTTCTGACGGTGTCAACTCCCGAGTTTACATTATACCCTTCTACTATGGGTATTTATCTTCTGACTTTAACCTAGCTGTCTGGCAATTAAGGATTTTCTCCTTTTTAAAAATGTCAGTGCGTTTTTTTTTACGTTGCTAACATCATGCTGTGTTTGGAGATTCTTGAAATTAAGATTCTCAAACTATACTTGTACTGAAAATTATTCCGCCTTAAAGTACGGTAAGAATTTATCAATCGAATTTACTTGATCGAAAACATGAACTTAACATGAAATCTGCTACAGAATTTAGGAATACATATATTGATTCCATAAATCCTTCAGTCACATAATATTTTCTAGGAAAATCCTTAGCTTAAATAAATTAATTGTATTATTTAAAGTCTGGAATTTTCTTAGTCATTACAATGTAGCGACTTTCTCATCCAGAGGACCTAATTCCTTGATCCCGGAAGTTCTCAAGGCATAGCCACTAACTTTATATATCAATTAAGTTTATAATTAACTATATACACATATTTATTCTTAAAACATAATTTTTATGTTTAGCCGGACGTAGCCGCCCCGGGAGTGGATATCTTGGCTGCAGTACCAGGAGGGAAATATGAATTTATGTCAGGAACTTCAATGGCGTGTCCACATGTATCAGGGATTGTAGCTCTCATCAAATCTGTTCATAAGGATTGGTCTCCTTCTGCCATAAAATCAGCTCTTGTCACTACTGGTGAGTCAAACTTAATTACTCAAAACTCGAAACCACTAAACTAAACTTAAACCAGTTTATAATCTAGTTTATGTTCATATTTATTATGATTCTATAACTTTTTTTGTCTGCTTTATTTCCTACTTTCTTTTGATTTTTTTTTTAATTTTTGAATTGCATTTTAATTAAGCAATAGAAAAGAAGGTCAATGCCAACTTAATTTCGATGTCCCATTTTCTCTTTGATTTTTATTTTTGATAAAAAAAAAAAGTAAAACAATTTTTCAATTTTACAGCAACCAAAAACGGAAAAAAAAAATCCTAAATTTAGTTTTAATTTCATGCAAATTACAGGTTCTCAAAGTTGGAACAGATGGATCATACATATACGCAGAGGGTCCAAATCGTAAACTTGCAGATTCATTTGACATTGGTGGTGGCCTAGTTAATCCTGAAAAAGCATTGGATCCAGGCCTCATTTATAATGCCACTATAGAGGATTATTATCAATTTCTCTTCTCAATAGGTTTCGTTGATGCATCGATTTCTGTTTTAACTGACGTGAGTATAAACAATTCCAATCAAAAAAGCTTCTCTGCATTGGATTTAAACCTTCCTTCTATAACAGTCCCAAATCTGAGAAATGGGGAGAAAGTAATAGTGACAAGAACTGTGACAAACATTGGAGATGTAAATTCAGTGTATAAGGGCGTGATCGAGGCTCCTCCAGGCATAAAAATAACTATTGAATCCCAAACTTTGAGGTTCAATTCAACCATTAAACGCTTGTCGTTCAAAGTTAGCTTATTCTCAAATCAAAAACTGCACGGATATTACAAGTTTGGGAGCTTAACTTGGAGCGATGGTAAGCATCTTGTGAGGAGTCCCATAACGGTTCGTGTCATCGCATTTAAATCATTTTCTGATGAATAAAATGTCACAAGTTTATTAGTACATTAATATGGGGCTGATTTTACCGTGTGGTTTGGCTTGTTTAAGGATTGGCCTTTATCTTGTTTTGGACTTTGTCATATGTATGGCCTTTTATTGAAAAAATAAATAAGTGTTTTTATAATTACCTTTTATGTTAAACTTTGAATTATGTTTTAGTCATATAGTTTGTGTTAAATTACGAGATAAGTTCAACCAAAAAAAAAAAAAAGAACATTAAGACGGCTTACCAGAGCCATGAATCTATTTAGTCATCGTCAAAGTCGTCATCAATTTGCAGAACCTCATCAGTAATTCCCCATAGAGCCCTTGTTCTTTTAGAAACATGATCAGAATCCCCTGATGGGTAGTCGACAGAAGGATTAGTAGGAGGAACTTCATTAAATGTTTCGTGAATTCCGCAAAGTACTACAACATGATTGCCCTGGCAGACTTCGTGTTAGCCACCCTGTGCATATTCCCCTACAGTTTATAAACACGAAATAAGATGTGCTACGTTCTTATTTAATCAATACAAGTATAAATCTCATCAAGTCGCCCATGCTAACAACAAGCTAACAACAAGAAAGCCCGACTGGAATTTGTACAAGAACCAAAACTTAGCATAAATCCTGTGATTCGTACTACTTATCATATGTTCAGTTCACAAAAGAACTAAGATTTCTGATCGTCCAACATCACCAATAATCCCCACAGGAACACGAGCCATCTTGAAAATGGTGAAATCTGTTTCCGTCTCGGATAACAATCTTTCGCTGGGAAAGTTTGGAGACGAATTTCATAAACGAGTGACAGTCCCCACATATTCGGAGGTTCTTCAAAACTTGAATTGGACACCGATCTGGTGTGTGCATGATCCCATACAAAACTGCAAGCTTCTCACTGTGGTAGTGAAGCTCATCCTGTTTCTGCTCCTCTTCGACGTCGTGAAGAACAGAGTTTGTATCTGGCAGATAACCTGTTGCTTTTAAGCTCTGGTACAAGTCATTCAGTTTTGTGTTGATCTCTTTAAACTCATAATGTGCCTTATCCCCCATTCGAAAACAATGCACCTTATTTCTTATCTGAATCCAGCTAACTGCAGGTTCTTTGGAAACTCCATCGTCTTTCATCAACTCTCTCATTTCCCGTACCTTCTCCCACATACCTTGAGATGCATACATATTTGATAATAAAACATAGGTCCCGGATCTTTGCGGCTCCATTTTGAAAAGCCTTTCAGCCACTCTCTGGCCAACTTTGTTGTCACGGTGGATCCTACAAGCAGCAAGAAGGGCTTTCCAAATTGCCGAATCTAATTTCACGGGTATGTTTTCAATGAAAGCTTCGGCTTCAGTTAGCTGCCCTGCTCTGCCAAGGAGATCAATCATACTGGTATAGTGATGAACCAACGGGGTAATTCCATAATCTTGGCTCATGGAATTGAAATACGCACTTCCCTTTCTTACAAGTCCAGCATGGCTACAAGCGGTTAAAAGCCCCAGAAAAGTGATTTCATTTGGCAAAACCCCAGAACCTCGCATTTGTTCAAAAATCTTAACAGCTTCTTTACCTAATCCGTTTTGTGCACAGCCAGCTAAAACAGCATTCCATGTTACAATATCTCGGTCCGGCATCTTTTCAAAGATGTAAAGGCCATCTAGACTCCCACACTTGGAAGTACATCGTCATCAGCGCATTACACACGCCCAAGCATGAATTCAGTCCAAGTTTGCGGATCATGACATGTATCTGTTCCCCAAGTCTTGTTGCACCAAGACTCCCGCAAGCACTTAGGAGGCTTACAGCTGTTAATTCGTTTGGTTTCGTACCTCTGGCCAACATTTCAAGGAACAACTTGAAGGCAGTTTCTACTTTCCCTGCCTGCTCATAAGCTGATATGATAGAAGTCCAAGATACCACATCCCATTTTGACATCTTATCAAAAATCGTTTGAGCTTCCTTCAACATGTGCTTGCGCGGAAGACCAGTAATGAGCGGGTTCCAAGATATACGGTCTCTCGCTCGCATTATACTGAAAACTTGTGAAATGTCTTCTATGTTTTTGCACTTTCCATACAACGAGATCAAGCCATTTCCGACAAACAAATTGAATTGATACCTTGTTTTGATGGTAAGTGAGTGTATCTGTTGACCAATCTCAACATCTCCAGACTTTGTACAAGCAAAGAGAACAATAGTGAAACATGAACGGCTTAAGTCGGTTCCCGATCTATGAAGTTCAGCAAACAAATTCAGAGCTTCTATGTATTGTCCGCTCTGTGCAAACCCAGATATAAGGGCTGCCCAAGAAGCAGAATTGTGAAGGGGCACTCTCATAAACATATCTTTTGCTTCTTCAAGCATTCCGTTCTGAGCATATCCAGCGATAATTGCATTCCACGTAACCACACTTGGGTTGATAATCTCATCAAACATGTGTCTGGCTTCATGAATATTCCCACTCCGAGCATATGCAGCCATCATCGTCGTCCGTGTAGCAACTCCCTTCTCAGTAGCCCTCTCATACAATGAGAGGGCGTCATTTAATCTGCCACGTTGCGAAAACGCCGCAATCATTGTGGACCACGTGTACTCGTTCCTTTCAGGCATTGTCTCGAAAAATTTTATAGCACTATCCAAGCTCCCGCTTCTTGTGTAAGCATTCAAAACCGTCATCCCCACAACTACATCATCCTCATATCCTATCTTTACGCTGAAAGTTCTCAAACTCTCAACCAATCGGTGCGCTTTAACTCCAGTCACCGCTGATAAAGCAACAACAAAGATAGCCTGGTCCGGCCTCATTCCACACCTCAACATCATCAAAAACAGGCCCCACGCCTCTCGATACTCGCTCGTCTCAACATACCCCGAAATCATAACCATCCAAGATACATAATTCTTCTCCTCCATTTGATCAAAAACCTCACGAGCTTTACTCATCATTCCACAACGACAATATCCCGTGATCATTGAATTCCACGACGCGATGTTTCTCTCAGGTATTTCATCAAACACCTCTTTAGCTCGCTTCAGGTCACCATTTTGCACGTACCCACTAACCATGGCATTCCAAGAAACGACACTACGCTCCGGCATTGACTCGAACAGGCTCCTAGCTTCATCCACGAGCCCATGTTTCGCAAACCCGGTCAACAAAGTCGTCCAAGTAACGACATTCTTGCCTTGGAAAGAATTAAAAAGCGCGCGAGCTTCGGGCAACAGACCGTTCCGGGTGTATCCGGTGATCATGGAGTTCCAGGAGATGGAATCTCGTTGGGACATTGAGTCGAACACCTGGCGCGCCTCGTGAACTCGGCCGAGTTTGGCGAGTTGATGAATCTTGTTATTGCATTGGATGAGATGGGTTTGGGTTCGTCGGGAAGGAAGAGGAAGAGCCGATGAGAGCGAGCGAAAATGAAGGAGACAATGATGTCGTAACATGGAATATAGCGGGAGGAGTAATTGTAAAGTCAAAATCTTTTATTGGTTTGATATCTACGATCTTTTATTACATCTTCCATGCTTTTTGTTGGAATATCGGTTTTTGCTCCCTCTTTATCATGCATATCATTGTGAGTTATTGAAAGAGATGGTGAAATAAGTCACTAATTGGATGGATCTTTATAATATCGTGCATCCTCATTCGTTGAAAAATGGGAGAAAAGAAAAGAAAAAACGCAAAATGATTATGTCCTTTTTCAGCGTATCGATAACAAGTGAAAGTGCAAGTCAGCAAGCTGCGCGCATTCACAATTTAAAATGAAATATAATTATCACTACTAAAAAAAAATTAATTATATGCAAAATATTAATTCTGTTAAAATTAAGAGAAAAGTTGACAGAAAGATTTTAAAGAGATAAACTCATGAAAGAGAGAAGAAATTTCTGATATTAAAATACTGATATTAAAAATACATCAAATGACATTATTATATATCTACGTGTTTTCACGCATTGCGCCGGTCGTCAGTTAAAAAAAGGTGGACAGCGACTATCAGCCATATTCTTTACTGTTACAACAAATACCTAATATTAATGACTACAGTACTTGTATTCTATTGCTTTTCATCTTTAAACCATACCTTCGCTTGCTTTGCGTCCCATGTTTCACTAGTAGTCTTCGATAAATTCTCTGTCAAGTACTTAATATGCCCTACCGGTTATTCTTAACCGTTACATATATTAAAATCCAATCAAAACGTAAAATATAAAAACTTGATAAAAATACGAGGGAGCTTCGCAATATCGGTAGGTCTTTTTTTTTATTATTATTTTAACGTACCAAATAATTCTCCAAAGTGTAAAACTCTTTTCTTTTTCTTTTTTCTTTTAATGTACGGGCTATGATTATTAGTCATGATCTCCATGTATAATTGTACATTGGATTCATCACATGTATAATTCTACGTTGGATGAATCTCTTGATTCATATTGTTGATTATATATGTGTGTATATATATATATCAGTGTCAATGATCAACATTTCATTTTACTTTTTCTGTCTCCCATTTCATGAATTAGTATATCTTTCGAGTTCATGAAGATATAAATAAGCGAATATTCTTAAGCAACATGATCGTTTACATATTAATGGAAGACTGCTAATTTTCATTTACACTTTTTGCATATGTATCTATACTCATCTACAATATTTGAGTACTTTACATAAAAAAATAAAAAATAAAAAGAGGACATTTTAGGTGCTATGATACGAAATATGTCTTCTGGGGCAGTTAGAAGGAAAAGGGGAAATGAGAAATGAAAATGCAAAAATTAAGGCATTATATAAGGCTTATCTATACAAAAAAGTAAAATGTTTTCTTTCCCAGGATATATGATCAAGTGTTCTTCTCTAAAACGGATAGTGCAGGCGTCAAATAGTTATTTGCTTTGTCAGGCAAATGAGCAACCTGCATAGACAACAGATAGGGGTTTTAGCATTTGAGTCCACTGATTTTTTTGTGATTTGGCACTTTCATTGCTAAACTTTTTTTTTTTCAATTAACTATAATCATTAAATGAAGTTAAATGCTACTATTTGTAGAACTAAGGACTAAATTACCAATAAAAAACATTCAGGGATCAAACTACAAAAAGTTCAAGGGGCATGTATGCTAAAAATCGAAATTCGAGAGCTATTGATTATTTGTCCCCTTACCAGTTCATACAGTTCCTTTCCCTGCTCAGCAACATATTCATAACATACCTGCATAGGTACCCAAAAATTTAATAATAATAATAATAATAAATAAATAAATAAATAAAAAGTCCTTGAGATTCATCCAACGACCCTGATAAAAAACCAAACAAGATTAAGTTGTAAACGTACATCAAAGCTCTTGTTCCTTGCAGTGGAATCATGCAAAGCCTTCACACAGATATCAGCCACATCAGCACAGCTGATTCCCTGATCGAATTAAGAAAAAAAAATGGTTGAGAATTGAATATGATCACCCCTAATATGATCGTAGCTAAACCACGTAGAATCGCGCATATCAATCAGAGAATTCACGACTCTAGCTAACCTGAGAAATCCTATTTCCTTGATCAAATATGAGTGCACGTTGGCCACCAGGTTCTTCCTGCATAGACCAAAAGTCAATATATAGCTTTCCTAATTATATTTTATGATGAATTGCAATAACTTGATCATGAAGAAATAATGTTTGAATCCTTCCAATGTTGTATCAAAGTGATAGACTCCAAGTAAATCACCGCGTAATGGAACACAACTCTACGAACAATGTTGAACAAACCATCTATACGACTAATTACCGATGAGGTACGACCGAGATAGAAGATAAAATCTAAATAGAACTAAGAGAAATAGATGTAGAACGCGAACTCAAGAGAAGGAAAACCAAAAATAGCACTGTTCATTCACCAACCGTCACACATTGAAAATAGAGTTTTTGGCAAACTAATAACATAATAGGAAACTAAACCAAACTATAACAAGGAAACCTGATAACCATAAACTAATACTAATAACATAAATCCGTAATTAAATTAAAAAAATAAATAATTATTCCAATCTCCGTCAGTACTTCCCTTTCATCATTCAAATGCAATGATTAGAGATCCCACAAAGAATTCAGAAAGACCAAAGAGACAATAAAAAGATCAGCTTTCAGTTACAGCTTAAAAATAAGCAAAAAAAATTTACCTTTAGGGGTCCAGGACGAATGATTGTGTATCCTAGTCCTGATCTTCTCAAGGAATCTTCTCCGGCCTACAGAAATTGTGAAAATTAAGACATTATACAAAATAAATAAAAAAGAGAGAAAACTCTCGTGCAGGTAAATATACTCATCGCCAATATGCATATAAATGTAAAGAAATTGTTGATAATGTTAGTGGGACAAGAGCAGAAGAATAAACTAACCCTCTTGGCTTTAAGAACCTGCTCCTTCCTGGTAGGTTCCAATCCTGATCCAGTGCATGACACCAAGATAAAGTCCGTCTCTTGTCCGGTCTAGAATATCCATTATCAAATAAATTAAAGCTGAGGCAAACATATGCAGACCTCTGAATTTAAGGGAGTTTACCATCTAATAACTCCAAAATATTTCACATTAAAAATAGAAAAAAAAAAAAAAAAAAAAAAAAAAAAAGGTCTAAAAATCAATATCGTTCTTTTTTTTTTTTTTCAAGAGAAGACTCTAAACAACACACACAGGTGTAAAGGTGCTTACAGGCAAAGCTTTTATGTATTCCAATATAAGCTTAAAGCTTCTTGGATCTTGATTGGCTCCTGCAGGCCCTTCGACAGGTTTCTGTAGAAGATTAAGAGAATCGCTCAGAAGACATAACGGTATTATGCTATCGAGTGAAACATGATATTGCCAAAAATAATGAGACAGGACAATATAAAAATTTATATATATATATATATTTTTTTTTTTTTTCTTCAAAGAAAGCAATGTATTGGAAATGTAGACTCAACTTGTGAAGATGCATATCAGCACATGGTCGTAAACATGCAAGAATATGCATGTATCTGTGTATTCTCATGAAAAATAATCACATTCCATGTACTTGAGTTCTAAAGATGCAACTTTTTTCGCCGTCCATTTGAAAGCATTCATCACAATAAAATTCACAATCATGCACATGTTTTCTCAACCTGTTGATCTCAAGATCTTGAACAAAGTACAAACCTGTCTTCTGGGTTCAAACCGTATGGTCAATGTGTGTATAAGAAATGGATCTAATGTTGGATCATCTGGTTTCACAGGGCGGAAGGACGAAAATGGTACTCTCACCTGTTAATTGTAGAATTGGTTAAATTATGAGAATTGCAATGAATCTACAACCATCTACAGAAAGGGATCCTTACCCTACAAAATCCCACTTTTGTGTTAATTCGAGCAAAATACAATTTACTCTGAGATGTATCTGATAAGGGACCAGCTTCAAGAATCAAAACATAAGATCTTCCGTTCCCACCAACCGAGAGAACCAGACCTTCATACCTGAACACCCACGATTATTGGTAATACAGCTTTTGCAGTTTAGGCAAATAAAATGAACACAATTAAGAATTTGAAAGTTGCATACCTGTCAAGAGTGCGACCAAGAGGAAGCGAAAGCTTCTTTGTAAGTTCGACGTACCCTCCCCGAGTGAAAACATAGCCTACAATAGGATCCAAAACAGAGATAATTTTTCCTGAGAAAGTGGAAGTGAAAATGATAGAACACTGATCTAACAAGAAGAATGAAAGAAGGAGCTTTTATTTTGAGCCAAAAAAGAAACTTTTCTTGATAAAAATCACCGATACAAGTAAGTAATAAACGAAGCAAAGGCTGTAGTTAAGAGACTATCCAACTCTGCAGTCTGATAAGCACCCTTTACATTTTACATATGCGAGAAGAGTGAAGAAAGGGACAAAAACAGGGGCTGCTGGTGCACACATGGACGTCGAGTCAGCGACTGAGGCCCATTTGGAGAATTGACATGGCAACATTAGTGGGGGGAGGGGAAATTGGCATGAAGGCTGGCTAGAAGTTTGGAAGAATGTGACGCAAGCGAGGCTGGTTGTTAGTTAGTTAGTTAGAGTATTGAGGGAATAAAATGTGAGAGGAGAGAGATGATTGTTATGGATCATTTTTCACAGTTCACAGAACTTAGACGAGCTTAGCTCTTGGGAGTGCAAGGGTCCCTCGAATACCCCTTATCCTTGTATTCCTTTTGAGTATTTCTCTTAATTTGAGTCTAATTCAGCTATTGATCGATCATTTTTGCCTCAATTTTCCTGTTGTTGGTTGTTTGCTTGAGTCGTCCGTCTTATCACAGTCTTGGTTTCCCAAGCCCAAATGAATCGCCACAACAATTAACTAACTCTCATCAGTTGTTAAACTCTGTTTATTCTACTAGTATATGTCTAACAAACTCTTAACTGATTGTAATAGAACTACTGACCAACTTGAAACTCTGCTAACTTACTAACTAACCCGAATCCTATCAGAATACCTTGTTGAACAAATAGCAAATATTGAAATTCAATAATTGATGGAGATCTTTACCTGAAAAGACGGCATCTCCAGACTCGGTAAACTCAAACTTAGCATCCATTCCTCCATCATACTTAGAAGCAACCACATCCTGAAAGTACGTTCCCTGACGAACTTCCCACCCGGCCAATGACTCTTCAGACTTGAACTTGGCAAGCAGGAGCTTGCTTTTGCTGCTTTTCCCCGCTCGTATTTGAGCTAGCTTGTTGTTGTAGTCCTGCAAACACATAATAATAATAAATACAAAATGGAAAAAGGAACGAATTTTCATGAGATGAGGACTCATTTTAATCACCGGGGAGACCTGAAATGCTTTGCTGACGTTGTAGACACCGCGGTGATCGACCCTATAGAGATCCCCGGTGATGGCAGAGCGAGCGGTGGCGCAGTAGATGATCTTGTTGCAACCTTCCACAGCATCCATGAGGGTGGAGGGCTCACCCACGTCCCCAACAACTATCTCAACTGATCTCGGGAGCATGTCCAACACTTGCTCATCCGCCTTTCTCACCAATGCCTATTTTTATAACATGTAAATGTAAAACTGTATGCTACAAATTTACAATATCAATTGTTTTCTTTTTTGCTTCTCCTTTTTTAAGTAGATCGTCTAATTTTAGGAGGGGAATGGGAAATTGCCATTATCATATATCACATAACTTGCGAAATTTAGGTACAAGAAAAATTAACTTGCTATTTACAAGAATCCTGTGTTATACCCATCGAAAGTAAACTTCTACAAACCGTTTGATTTTCATCAAATTATGATGTACATACTACTGGTTTATAATCCCAAGCACGGAACAATGAAACCCCGCATAATTTACTCTATATAGCGCATATGGCATAACTATTATATAATCCACATTACATACAGACAGAGTCACAGAAATATTTGTCTTTTAAAATAATTAGTAAGAAGGATTTATTTTGGTTCATTCTTATAGTCCCTGAACTTAAATCTCGGTAGAAATAGTCCTAAAAACTTTCAGAAAGCTATAATACCAATCTGTAACGTGTTAGAAACTTTCTAACAATTTTGAGATTTTTTTTTTTTTTGGGGTGTTTTCTCATTTCTAGGATAGGAACCAAAATATACTAGTCTGTCAAAGTAGTTTTACATTAGAAATACTAATCTCTTTTATGAATGAATGGAGGGGAAAAAAAAAAAAAAAAAAAAAAAAAAAAAAAAAAAAAAAAAAAAATGGAAAGAAAAGAAAAAGGTGTAGTAGTAGGACCTTGACGGAGTAGCCCCTAAGCATGAGCTTACGGACGACAATCCGACCGATGGTGGAGGTGGCGCCGACGACGAGGACGGTTGTGTTTTGTGCGCCGGGGATGGCAAACTCACACATGGGGCCTTCCCTTATAAGGAGTGCGTCAAGTGCTTCTCTCTGGTCTGGTCTGGTGGTGCTTGATATCTGTCCCAGCCCCGAGAACTTCCTCCAAACCTCGTCCAACAGCTGCCTTGACCTCCTCCCCAGCCCCACCGGGTTCACGTCCTCCAGATCCAACAACTTCTGCTGCTTCTGTTTCTTGTCGCTTTCACTGCTACCTGCATTGGCCTTGTCGTTGGCGTTGTTGTCGTTTTTGTTTTCCACGGCCAAAAGTGGTTGTTTCTTGTTGTTGGTTGTTGTTGATGATGATGAAGATCTTCTCTTGTTCTTCTTCTTGTTCTTGTTGGTGTCTGGAGAAGTGCTTGCTGTGACAACCCAGCTGGGAGTCTTCATGCTCACCGATATGGATATGGGTTGTCTCCAACATGGATACCCATGGGGGCTGTTACAGTTGCTGCTGCTGCTTATGCTTCTTGTTGCAGTTGCTGAGGAAGCCATTATTCTTTCTATTCTCTTTGATTTCCAGAGGAATTACACACGTCATGTGTGTTAAATAATGTATTATTTATATATACATTATATTCTAATTTGTGTGATTGGATAATGCTGAGAGTTTGTTTTTATGAGAGGAATAGGAAAGATGAATATAACACTGGCTGGTGCGGTTGGTTGGTTGGAGGACCACAAATGTCAGCCACAAAATTTGAGGCGTGTATTTGGCTATTGCGTCAAACTATGAAAAACTAGAAATACCCAAAGAGACACGTAGAGTAATTTACTCTCTCTAATTCGTTGACGTGTGTTTGCCGCTCCTTTTTTTTTCTTTTTTTTTTTTTTTTTACTTGGAACCTTATATTTTAGAGAGATTCTCGCATGCACCTTATAAAATTTTTCTAATCATTAAATTTACATATTTATTTTTTTTACTTTTGTGTGATTTTATGCAGATTAAACGGATAAAAAAACCTAATAAACAATTAGTTAAGACTCTAAATCGAACCATTAACAACGGAGGGCAACTAAAAACAAGGATCTTCATTCAATTATTTACAATCTCCACAATGTAAACATAGCCTCAAAAGAACTAAAGTACGGGGATTTATATAATGATTTGAATCATGGTTCATGGTTTACTACAGTATTTTCTCTCACAAAAAATACACGTAAATTAAAAATGGTTTTAATCTCATGATTCTAATCCATGAACCAAACATCTCCAAAATACTTCAATATAGTGACAGAAAGGGAGACTAAAAAGGAAAATTTGATATTAGGAAAAAAAAAACATAGAAAAAGAAAAAGGAACCAAAGGAGGAAAACTTTATATTAGCAGCTCTTCGTCACATCATTCCTCCATAGCAGCACCTCTCTGTGAGTCAGACTGCTGCTCCTCCATCCTCACAAGTTCTTTCAGATCCCTGAATATAATTCAGGAAAAAAAAAATGTTCAATAAATTCATTACGAAATCATCAACAGAAGGAGAGAGACGACTCTTGATGATGAAAGGTTAATTCACAAACCTGCAGCGTGGAACGTAGCACACGGATTCTTTGCAAGCTCGAGCATGAAGTTGGAGAAGAAACCACATTCTCCTGCAGAGAGCACAGCCCGCGTGTGCACGCGTTTTGCATTGTATTTCATGATGGAAAAGCCCCCGCACCATTCAACAACCATGGTACGGACACAGTGCAGCCCGACATTGTGATGCATGCGCCACAAGATCAAGCATTTTTGTTAGCTGCAAAGTTAAAAACCAATAGTATCAGCTTTTAAGTGAGAAGAAGACAAATTCTGAAGTTTGTGGTAATGCAAGGAACAACGGATAGAAATTAGAAAGAAGCAATGCTACACAAAATATCCCAGCAATGAAAGTCATAATTTCATAATAAACATCTACAGTAGTCTAGAAAAGTATTCAATGACAGAAACCAAAGTTATGACCCAAAAAATAAAAAGAAGGAAAAGTAATCCATATTATTAACTACTAGTCTTAAATGAAATTGTGCGTTCAGTGCCAAATACAAAATCCTTTCATCTGCAAGTGAAATAGTTCTCTATCATGAGAGTTAAGTTACTGCAGCGATATGAACATATTATAAAACTAATTTTGAAAAAGAAAAGAAGGTCCAGAAGAATAAGAAGAGGAAATACTAAGAATAATAATCTTGGTTGTGTCCAATACATGTCATCAATTACGACTAAACTCTCAGGATATATGGTAGATTATTGACAACCTCCAAAAACAAAAATATTGCATAGATAAGTTTCAATTTGACTTTTATCATGTCCAGATTATTAGAACATAAAGCAAAGTCTGCTTTTGCAAATATAGACTAATTCGTTTCATTAATTTGAATCATAACTCAAGTTTTTACTACAGTGCTTTCTCTCGCAAAAATTTAAATTTAATTTTTTTTTTGCTACAGTATTTTTTCTCACATGAATTTACTTTTTAATTTAAGTTCTTAACTCAAAGGAGCGAAACGTACGAGACCTTAATCCCTTCTCACCACATTTTTCTTTATTTAGTCATGAAATAAATGCAAATACCAAACTGCAATAGACACACAACTCATAGATGACAAAGTGCAGGCGAGCTATTCATTCCGACTGCAGAAAATCTTAAACCACAAGAAGAAAAATATAAACAACCCGCTGAAGTAATCTCGCTTCGTCGTTTTTCTCATCGCAATCGGCCGGAGATGGACGATTATACAATCTATGGGGATGCTGACTGTTCCCAACCTTCAGATAACAAGCATTGCACAAGTCATTGTCGATGCAAACAGCACAAGACCATACTGGACCGGTTTTGACATAAAGACAGCATATATGGCAGCTTGTCACGAATGCGGGATCAAATGAGTTGTTATCCTCATGTTGTTGATTATTGCCAAAGCAAAGACACAACAACAATGCCCCATTTGTTTCATCGATTTCACTCTCAAGAATCTCACTTTTGCCTTTTGGAATCAGCAGGATGGTTTCACCAAGCTAAAGAACAAAAAGTAATTAAATCAAAAGTTACAAAACTCCATACCAATATAATATAATGAGACGGAAAGAAGCGACGAAAAATTTGGGGGTCAAAACTAGGTCGTGCCCTAATTCTCCTAGTGGTGAATGGTGATCGAGTGGTAACTGAGAAATTAGGAGACTGAATTGGATGGAATTAAAAAAAACAGAGTCATTAGCTGGGGAAAGAAACCATGTTACGAAACCCTAGTAGAGAGAAACAAGCATAGCTAGAGAGAGGAGGCCAACCTGATAGAGAGCGGAAGTGATTGTAAAGCCTTGTTGATGGAGACGTGAAGAATCAATGGCGATCGCCTATTTCTCGGCGGAGGAAATTGAAAAGAGAGAGGTCGGTTTGAGAAGGAAGAGAAACCTAAGAATTTAGGTTTTTAAAAAAATAAAAAAATAAAAAATAGTTCATGGATTAGAATTATGAGATTAGAACTATTTTCAATTTATGTGTATTTTTTGTAAGAAAAAATACTGTAACGAACCATGAATCATGATTCGAATCAGAGTACGAATTCTCTTACCAAACGTATTATAAGTAAACAGCTATTTTGGAACACCTTTCTTAATAAATGAACGAATTTTTTATTTTTTAGATAAGTAGTCGAACATTTTTATTTTAGTAACACATTATGGTTCATTTAGTTCGTTGATTTTAGTTTTTAATTTAAGTTGAGATATGATTTTATATGAGAGTTTTTTACTGTAATAAAAAAGTTAGATGTGACTATTTATGAAAGCTTTTTACTGTAGTAAAACTCAAATTCTAAACTAGAATCGGTGAAATGAACAGGGTCTTTTTTCCGTAGTCAATCAATAGAGCTACAACTTTAGGTTAGGTTAAAGAGGTCGGCCCAAGACCCATTATTATTGGTTCGGTTCCTCTCTAGCTTTAAATTTTTTAGGCTTAGGGTCAGGCTGGACCGAGCCTCTTTCTTTTAAGACTGGCCCAGCCTAAATATCATATTTTTATAGATTTTTTTAAAAATACCTTATAAAATTTTGGGCCCGAAATTTTCCTTTGGGCCACCGGGCCCGGCCCAAGCCAGGCGGCCCAAACTTACACCTCTATCAATCAATGTTAGACCAACGGTTAATTAATAATTAACCGACTCATTATTATAATTTATCAATGATTTGTCATTAATAAACATGTGATTTGTTGATTGAAGTTGATTAATTACTAATTGATTTCGGTTAATTATCAACTGATATTGATAAATAATGAAAAATTATCAAGTTAATCAGTGATAAACTTAAATCAATTAGTGATTGACTGCTAAATCAATCAATAATTGACTACTAAATTAATCAATAATTAATCTCTAAGTAAATCAATGAAATGATCATTTTGCTAATTTTACATCAAAAAAAGACCTCTGGACATAAATAAATTTAAAAAAAAAAAAAAAAAAGCTTTCTAAAACATTAAGTACCCGCATGAAATTTTTAAAAACCCAGAATACCAAACTCATATCTTAATATAACACAAGGTACCAAAATGATTCGGAGACGTTTTGGTTCATAGATTAGAATCATGTGATTAAAACCATTTTTTATTTACGTGTATTTTTTGTGAGAGAAAATAGTGTAGCGAATCATGAACCATGATTCAAATCATGATTTGAATCCTCCAACCAAACATTTCTGCTTTATTAATTCTCTAAGTTTTTTTAGTACAAGCATTAGTAAATTGCTGTTGGAGGGTTTTTTTTTATTTCTTTGGCTAGAAGCCGCTATGTAGGGATTTAAATATGAGCATAAGCAAAAACAAAAAATTGAAACTCAAAATCACACGTCTAACGGAGATTACAATATGAGCATAAGCAATAACTCTGAAACAAAAACAAAGAATTAAAACTCAAAAGCACACCTCTGATAATAAAGAACAACTAAATATAGGAATCTTCATTCAATTGATTATATATATATATCCAAACGGAAATGAATTGCTACAATCATGAAGAAACTACTTATTCCTTCCATCTTTAAATAAGAGCACATTCTACAAAATGGGTCAATATACTGACTGAAAGGGAGACAGGAAAATTTTATATTAGAAGAAAAAATTAAAAAAAGAAAAAAAGATTCAAAACTACTCCCTCTCAAATTCCTCTGTAAAAAAAAAAAAAACATTTAGACAGATTAGAACAATTTTATAGTACACTTGCCACCCTGGGATGGCATTGGACTTTTAACTACGAGACCATGAAATCAAAGAATCACCAAATTAGGCCAGAAGACATACACATCAGTGCGCCAATTTCTCCGACGGGCATGGTTAGCCACTGTTGAAAGAGGACGGAAACAGTCGATAAAACTTCACTTGTTTTTCTCTCGAGGGAGAAACTCGTGTCGATGAAGAACGGAAAGAAAATACTCCCCTGAAAGCAAATCTGCTGTACTGAAAAATGCATATCCCCTTCCAACCATCTAATTGCTCCACTGTTGCTGCCGCTACTGCCTAGTTTCCAGCAGCTTGTTAGCAGAGCAGTAGAAAACTATTGTCTAATCTTCTTCCCCCACATTCTCAAGGATTTATCCAAAACATCCATATTTACATATACAATTTGGTCAACCAGCATTGCTCGTAAGCTCAGCAGCCCTCTGTCTCATCATCTCCATTACGGCAGCTCTTCTCCGTGAGTCAGACTGCTGCTGCAGCCTCCTCAAATGTTCTTTTAAATCTCTGAATTTAAAAAAAAAATGTTTAATCAATTTATGGTGTAATCATCAACAGGAGAAAGGAGAGAAACGAGGAAGAGGAAAGAACCTGCAACGTGGAACATGGCACTCTGATTCTTTGCAAGCTCGAGCATGAAGTTGGAGAAGATACCACATTCTCTTGCAGAGAAGGCAGCCTCCAGATGCACGCGTTTTGCATTGTATCCCATGACGGAAAAGCCCCTTCACCTTACGACAATTGGGGTACTGACATAGTGCAGACCGACATTGTGATGCATGCACCAGAAGATCAAGCATTTTTCTTAGCTGCAAAGTTAAAGCCAATAGTATCAACTTTTTAAGCGAGAAGAAGACAAATTCTGAAGTTTGTGGAGATGCAAGGAAAAGCGCATAACGAAGCAATGCTACGCACAACTTTGCAGCAAAGAAAGTCATAGTTCCATGATAAATGCTACAGAAATCTAGAAAACTATTTCATGACAGAAACCAGAGTTATAGACCAAGAAACAAAAAGGCGTAAACCACAGAATTTACTAGTTCTAAATCATGTAATGCATATCAGGAGCATCAATTAAAAAAAATTCTCAAGTATTAAGTTGAGAACAGCAGCTATGATGCAATCCAGCCCCAAATACAAAATCCTTTCATCTGCGAGTGACATGGTTCTAAATCATGACAATTTTCGTTACTGCAGCCATATATGAAAACAGTATCAACCTATGACTAAAAAAGAAAAGAAGGAAAAAAAAAAAATTCTTGGCTGAGTTCAATCAATGCATGTCATTAACTTACAATTAAACTCTCAGGATATAGTACCTTATCAATGTCTACAGAAAAGCATTTACACAGATGATTATGAAAACGTAAAGCAAAGTCTGCTTTTGCAAACGTAAAATAGTTAGCAAAGTATAGCAAAAACGTGACCACTTTCTATAAAATGCAAATGCTACTCTCTCTATCGCTTCCAACCACGTTTTTCTTTATCTAGTCATAAAATGAACAGAAGCGTCAGACTTATGTGAAATAGGGAACATATAGACAAAAGTTGTGTGGAATAAGAAAATGCAAATACCTTTTCAGCAAAATAATAATAATAATAATAATAATAATAATAATAATAATAATAATGACAAATAAATAAATATAAAAAAGCAAATACCAAACTAAAGAACTTATTAGATGACAAGCACAGATGAGACTCCTTCAGACTAAAGAAAATCTTTAACCGCGAGAAAGAAAATAAAAAGCACCTGCTGAATCTGCCTTGCTTCCTTGTTTTGCGCATCACGATCAGCTGTTGAGGGATGATTTGTCAATTTATGGGGATGCTGACTGTTCCCATCCTTCTGATAACAAGCATTACATACATCATAGTCGGTGCAAACTTCACAACGCCATCCTTGACCAGTTTCGATATCAAGATGGCATATATTGCACGTTGTCACAAATGCAGGAGCAGTTGGGTTGTGAAGATGGTAAAGGACCATCATTGACGAATGTTTAGCCCGTCGAAGAGTATCATATTGATAGTGATTGCCTTGGCAAAGACTCAAAAATGCCTGTCTAGTGTCGAAGAATTCACTCTCAAGAATCTCATCTTTGTCTTTTGTATCAGCAGGTACGTCAGTAATTTCCACCTGCAGGGCATAGTAATTCCATTTGAATCTCGAATAATACTATAAAGAAAATAAGAAATCAATTCTGAAGATGGTTTATTACGTTTAATAAATAACAATATAAACTAAAATCATGGGATGATAAAATACCGGATGAAGCGCATGTTTCTCCCTCTGATTGATAGGGTGTCTTTCTCGTTCTTCACGTTTCTGCTCTGCTTCATAACACCTGCCATTAAAAGCATTACAAAGATGAATATAATAAAGCAAAATAGAAAACTGCAGCAATCCATACCTCATCCTTTCTCCTTGTAATTGATTTGCTATCAATGGAAAGGGTTTTCTTATTTATTTAAAAAAATAAAAAAATAAAAAAAACTAAGGCCTAAATCAAGGTAGAATAAATGGGACAGCACAAATTCAGTCCATAAAAAGTGACGCCATCACATCTATGTAACAACATGGGCACACTGGAACAGGCAGGAGAGATGACAGAAAAAAAAAGTGAGAATACAAGTTACACTAAGAGATTAAAATAATGCGCATGTTCTAGAACCATACAAAACAAAAAGTTTAAAAGCAAGGAAGAACCCAATCAACTCTTAATTCTCGTAGAAAATAAAATCTCTACAAGGCAATTATCAAATGAAACTCAAGTGTCGGAGTCAAGCCAATCTCTTTAAAAGATACCCTAATCACATTGCTCATATATGAAGAGACTGTAATGGAAAAAAAAAGGTGGTAAATATTCGAATACTTCCTGTTCAACAGATCAGACACCCAAAAAAAAAAAAAAAAAAAAAAAAAAAAAAAAAAAAAAAAAAAGAAGAAGAAGAAGAAGAAGAAGAGAGGAATTGAACTCACTTTCTAGAAGTAAAAGCTAACAAAAATCAAGTTGACAACACAAATACAAACTTGAGAAGAGTTCTTACTTGTCACAAATCTGAAAATTTTTGCACTGATCGCAAAACCAACGATTTCCAGATACCATTAAAATGCAACAGTGAGAGCACGCATGCTGTAGATGAACCATTATAAAATCTTCCTTCATAGGGCATATGGTTTCACCAAGCTAAAGAACAATAATTAGATCAGTAACACACCTTAGATTATACTGATAAGAACTGCAATAAAAAACAAGTCTCAGCTGAAAGATCAAGATTGAGAAAATTACTTTATGCATCAGTAGCAGATCCTTCGAGGCATTACCAGAGAGATCAGACTGACCGGATGCTTTCAAAGCTCTTTTTGTTATAGTCTTCTTTGTTGTTCCTTTCTTATTTTGTTTTCTACCATCCTCTTCTTGACGGAGTTGATAAATGAGATCCTCCGCAGCACCAGGCCAGTAATCACCATCAAAATATGGCAGCCTAGCTGCAGTGACCTTGGCTTTGCACTCACCAGTAGATACAAAGAAATGGTCGTATAGATTAGTGAGATCAACTACAATGTTTTCCTTTGCAGCTTTTCTAAGCATTGATAAATACCTGCAGTTTAAAGATATTCAAGCATGTGAAACACGGATTAGAACATAATTAACCTCACGATACTAAACACAATAAAAGAATATGGAAAGTTCTTTGAAATATTAAGCTCACCACTCCCGGAGCTTGTCAGATTTTGGTGTTTTCTGAATTTCAGGGTGGCAATATAATATGTAATCTTCACCCTTTAATGGAGGACAGGCCCATATATAACAGCTTGTGAAGCCCCGTTTTTTGCAGTATTCAAGGTATCCAATCTGGAAACAGTATCATATAGATCCTCAGAGGATTTCATTAAATGAAACACAACATCAAGTACAACAAAAAGAGCGCCTACAACACTTACCAAAATTTCATGATAAACGAATGTACGGAGAGCCTCTCCAGTTACTGCCTTAATCTCAGGCCTGAAATACTTGACAGAATCCAGATACGAGAGATAAACACGGCGCTGATTTGGAAATTGGGCTTCAGATCCAAATTCTTGGACATACATGCCAAATAAGCATACTTCCACACCTTCAATCTTCTGAAACAATAAAATTACCTAGACGAAAAATTTTAATACATTAGAGCCATTCAATACTATATACATATAATAGAACTTGCTTTGCAAGTATTTAAGACTTGGGCAAGCAAAGAAATGTAACAAAAAGTAGATCTGTCATCCAACCTTAGATTTATAGGGGAACTCAGTTGGATAATTCTCTTCCTGAAAAATTTCAAGAAATCGCTGCTTCACTTCTAATTTTTTGTCGACTGAGGAAACAACTCTAACTACAAGTGCTTCCGCTCCAAGAACCTAACAGCAACAAATAGAAGTAATCAAAAAAAAAAAATACAGAAAATCCAGAAATGTCAGAAGCCCATAAAATGAAAAAATCAGCAGCAGAATTATCACTAAAGGGAACAAAAAAGGAGGGGAAGGGGAACTGTGGAACAAACTCAACCATAATATCTAAAGGAAAGGAACCCAAACACCTCAATCAATGGATTTTTCCAACAAGAATTACGTAAGAATTCGAAAAGAGATTTGTTCCTTAGCACAGTCTATGCCAACATCAAGTCCTTAAAAGCCAAATAACACTATCCGCACAATCCACTTATTTCCACTATTCAAATATAATATTTAATGTATGTGTATAAATTCAAAGTAGGCAATATATACGCTTATCTTAGGAAAAATAATGTGAATCTAAATAATTTTGCCATGTTATCCTTTTTCGATGAGGATCTTCAGCCCAAAAAGAGGGATAATAAGGCACAATCAATAAATGAAAGTTTTCTTTTTCAGCATGTATAACAAGTTCAATAGACATTTACAAATGAAGAAGACAAGTGCCCCGGTAACCACAATCCCACATATAATCCCAAATGAAAGGATGGTATAAGAATACCTGGTCATAGCTTTTTCCTTGAAGTTTAGCCCTCTCTTGCCTTTCATACCTCAGTCTCTTAAACAACCGTTGTTCTATATGGTCACTGAGGATAGTTTTTGGCAAATCTTTGGCTCCAAGAACAGCACTTTGTGGCAAGGGCTTACGTTCTCCCCTTTCAACCTCTTGTATATAGCAATTAGGGCAAGTGTATTCAGCTTGCCCACCATCATTCCTTCGACCATTGAATAAAGCACAAATTTGATGCTGCCAAGCTTCACATTTATCGCATTGAACCCACTGAAATAAAGCATTTGAGGCAAAAAGAAATATGAGAACAATGGTCCATAGCAATAAAATGAACACATAACAGAAAAGTACATACCCATTCTTCAGTCTCCTCATCATTTTTCTTCTTCTCTAACCTTGCTTTTGGAATGCCAGTCCCATCAACACTTATAGTATCTCCACGGGCCTCATTGTAGCATGGAATGCAGAAATAATGCCTTGTATCACCAGCACCCACACAATAATACATTGCATTGCGTTTGATGCGAGCACCACAAGGTGTACAATATATTGGTGGTGGTTCAAAAGTAAGCTTCTCAACTGCACACAATTGACAGGAATTCTCACTCATCGCGTGCTCCATAGCTTGGTTCTTCTCAGCCTTTGCTTTACTCTGGCCCAAACAACAAAACAAGAGAGAGAGAGAGAGAGTGTGTGTGAATTACTAACTGAAATAGATATCTAATGCAATATTATAATATTTGAAGGACAACGACTACAGCAGATCGTTTATAAAATATAAACGACAATGAGAAAAGGTAAAAGAACCCCAACAAAGAATAAAATAAAATAGTCAAGTTATAGAGCATGAACTACCACTCATGCAGCTGGAGAGCATAATACTGGCCCATTCACTTGAAAAATAGGACTACCGATGTTGGACAATGCATTGCATTATCAGTTTACATTAATTTAAATTATTTTTGCTTTCTCTATTTTAATGTGTTTTCAAGACATTTGAAGCCAATATTCATGAGCCTTTTATGTATAAAAATAATGGGTATAACTCGAGGCTATAGAACTTGTAATAGCCTCTTGAAAATTGGTCCTCAAACATGAAACAATCTGTAATCTACTATCCACTCTCAGTCCTAATTCTCCTTTTTCCTTTTGGAACCAGGACAGTTTGTTGGGCGAAATCAGGCACATGTAATTTACAGCAATTTCTTCCACTTTCTTCAAATTTTAGGAAGCAACTATCTCAGCATATAAATCCATACACTAAAAGATTGACAAAGTAGAATAAATTTTTTCAGTAACAAAATACATAAATAATTATCAAAGATAATGCCCAAGGCTTGATAGTATCTGATTTCTGGTCTTTAAACCAGCTATCATCAAAGCAAAAGCAAAGATCTGTTATAAAGTTTGGGTCTTTATTTGGATACAAGCTCAAAGAAAGGAAGCTAATGCGATGTTATCTAGTCAAAGAATCAAGGGTTGATTTTCCCTGCTTGGTGTGTGTGACGTGATGTCACGTCATGTTTGAAAATGTGCCTTGGTTTTGGTTGAGAACTACTCTGGTTTGGGTACTAGTAAGTACCAACAAAACAATTGTGCTAGGAGAAGCGCACAATTTGTCTTGTTTTGGACCTAAATTAAGAAAGGAATGACACAACTTTTTGAGATATCTTTCAGAAAGTGTTATTAGTTATGGCAGAAGATGAAATCTAGGACTTCTCTATAGGTTTCATCAGCTAAGACTTTGAATGTCCTCTCTCGACTTTTTCTTTGAGTTTGAACGCAATTGTTTTGTTCAAAATTTTATGATGGTTTTGTTTTCCTGTTTTGGACCAAATATTGAAAAAGGAATGGCCTGGCTTTTTGAGATAACTTTCAGGAAGAGTTATTAGTATGGCAGAGGATGAGATCGAAGACCTCTCTTCAGGTTTCATCAGCCAAAGCTTTTGAGAATGTTCCTCTCTTGACTCTTTCTTTGAGTTTGAACACCATTGTTTTGTTGGAAATTATATTATGCCTTTTTTTCAAAGGAGAAGAAAAAGAAGAATATCCCTAAGCAACAAAATTGGAAGTACAGAAAATTTAAAATAAATCAAATTAAAAAGGCAGCCTATGCAGATCCTGGACATACCTGGCCAACCCACTGCCTCAGGCCTGTAATGTGCTCTCTTACTTGCTCAGGAGTAAACAATTCAGTCAATGAAACTCCCTTTATCTTTGGCTTCCCAGACTTGGTTCCAGATGCATGTTCTACAGGCTGTATCGTGTTTTCTTGCTTAGCCAGTTCAATCTCACTCTCGTGTTTGACACTTTCTTGGTGGGCAGAACAAGCAGGATCACCATACTTGACAGGTTCATCAGGGCCTTGGTTGCCGCTGTCAATATCTTTCTTCAACTCATCAAATCTCTCTTGCCCAGAACTTGCAGGAACTTCCAACTTCACTTCTGACAGCTCAGGTTTGATAGGCAAAACAATCTCAGGTTGCTGGAACTCGAGGTGCTGGATATCCTGAGGCAATTGGGGTTCAGCAATCAAAGAAACTGATACAGGAGCACTATTACTCTCAGGAACAAAAGCCTGAGAAGACTGCTCTAACTTCATGCGTTTCATAGAAGGCTGTATGTCTTCTGAAGCTTCAACAACCGGGATTGAAACCATTTTTGTGAAGTTGTCTCCATTATCATAGGATTTAGAAGATTCCCTTACTGCACTTGGCAAAGCAGAATCAGATGCCATAGAATTCCGTGACTTATTCATATGTGTAGCCAAAAAAGCTTTCACAGGAGCACAGACAGGGCAAAATGGATCACTACAGTGCTTGTGATGATGAAGCAATCTCCTGGTATGATGGCATCGTGCATAAGTGCATTGAGGTAAAGAGCATTTTTCAATATGCTTCCACAATTTTTGGACAGTAATACAGTTATGTTCTTGACATTTTCCTTCTGGAGCTGAACACCGACGTGCATGGCGCAAGAACAAAAGCCACCTCTGCTGATTTCGATACTGTTTCTCAGTATTTGCATTGACAGGTTTCCTTGTAGCAGTTACTGCATGTTGGAGATCAGCTGAACATCTAGAAGCAACATTTTGGCCAAGGATAGATCCATCTGATGCTAAATTATTGCGCTGAGCTTCATCCTGCCCAGATATCCTCTGATGAAAATCCTCTTGCAAATTCTGTTCATGCATTATTTTTCCTCCTCTATTACTCAAGTCCTGGGGTTGAGGATGCCATTGACCGTGCAATATTGATTCTGATTGAGCTCCAACAGAAACACAGTTGAAATCATTTTGAGACTCTGCAATCACTTCATGGGCATGTAATGGTTGTAGCATTTGCTGAGAATTCTGAGGCAGTGATGAGCAGACATCTTGCTGACTAGATAGAAGAGAAATCTGTTGAGCACCCCTCAAATGACCCTCAACGGAGTTCTGGAATTGATTCTGTATATCAGACAATTGGAACTGCTCTGGAGCATGTGAGTGCAGAACCTCATTATGGTGCTCTACAGGCTCACGTTTTACTTGATTACTTACGTCAGATGTCAACTGAGACTGACCAAAAGCATCATTGTTTAACAAATGTTGACCTTGCTGATTTTGCTGCTTCAACTGGCGCTGCTGGTGAACAAATTGTTGCTGTTGTTGAAACTGATGAGGCTGTTGCTGGAATTGCTGCTCTTGATGAGGATGGAGGATACTGTCTCTCGAAGATATTGAAGGTTGAAAACTCATCTTTTCCATCTGATCCATTGGTTGAGGCTTTATATGGGCAGCTTGTTGTGTGTGCATATTCGACTGATTACCTATGAGAGCAGAGTTGGTTTTAGATATAGGTGACAAAGTAACTGAATTCAAATTCTGAGAATTCATCATTGATCCAGAAGATGTTGCGGAACCATAATAGTTGCCAGACCCAAAAGAATCAACATTGCTTATTCCATACCCATCACCTGATAAATAAATTATTCAATAAGAGAACACTTCATGTCATAGTAGAACACTAATACACGATTTCTATAATAAAGCAGAAGATACACAGAAACAAGTAAAAGGAATGAAGAATCACATGAAAATTTATACACAAATTGGAGGAGAAAAGAAGAACGATTGGGTGGAGGGTTGGGAGGACAGAGAGGGAGAGAGTACCTTGCATCACTGGCCGCTGATGTTGTTCAAAGCGATGTTGCAAGGGTTTGGGTGAATTAACATATGATGTGCCAGTCAGATACCCCTCTGAGGCACCATGTTCATTCACAAGTGGTAAATTATTGCCCATCAACCCTAGCCCACCACTGAGAGCCCCATTTGAGAACCCATAAGGTTTCTGTTGCATGTTAGACCTTATTCCACTACCTAATTGGCCACCAAGATTGTGCAATATACGACTGTTCTGACCAATATGTGGCTTTTGCTGTTGCGGCTGGGACACCATGACAGATTCCACAGTAGATAACCCACCACCATTACTCGAGGATTCTGGATTCATGTAGGACTGATTAGTACTGCTAGTAAACCCAGGAGTGGGAATCATTTGGCTTGTAACTCTTTGCACATTCATTGACGACACATTTCCTCCAGGGCCAACGGAGTAAGTGGCAGGAGACTGCTGATATCCATTTGATACTTGACCTGAAAAAGGAGATTCTGTAACACTGGTCTTAAGCAAAAGGATTAGCAATACATAAGAAGAATTAAAGCCAAATATTACCGTCAGATCTATTGAAGGAACCACCAGGTAAGCCACCAGTCGGTAACATGTTTCCAGTGTTGAAGTTATTGGGTGAAATGCTATTACCTCCTCCAGTGGAAATCATGGAAGTATCCATAGAAGAAGTAACCATCATGTTAGAATTCCCACTGTGTGACATGCCGGGGGTCGGTATCATTGCACCAATAGGAGATGAATTACTGACAATCTGTGGATATTGTTGATTTTGATTATTTATGGTCGGACGCTTGATTAGATGAAGTAAACGGATCTCCAGCGTGTCCAGGTTCATATACTCCTCCTGGAACAAGATTTGCAGAATCGAGACAGAAAAAGAACTTAGCTTATTGCATCAAGATACTCTGAAGAGCAGAACGAGAATAAAAAGACATCTGTTTCCAGACTGTAAAATTTATACACACACATATATCCATTTTTACAAGCAAAACTAACCATAGTATGAGCAGTTCTAAACAGACCCTCCTCTAGGCGCTTCACAATATCCTTAAACCTCTTTCTGTGCATGTCAGTAATTGGCTGATGGTGCCGCTGCAGTAAGAACTCATAGCTGGAAGGTGAAAATCAACAAAGTAATTAGCGTTCAGTAAATAAGTAGTAAATTAATTTTTTCACGATCAAATTGTGCTACAAAGATTAAGAGATTCACACACAGATGTCTTTAGATTCCCACGGTATCACAAGCATTATGAAGTTCAATAAAACAATACGTCTTAAGGAAAGAAAAAAATAACTATGGAAGAAACAGGTTTAAAGCACTAATAAACTGGCATACATGGAAATACGGGAACATAATCGAAAAAAATACCTATGGAAGAAACAGGTTTAAAGCACTAATAAACTGGCATACATGGAAATACGGGGACATAATCGATTGGGAAAAAAAAGGGTCTTACATCTTCTCCTGCATAAATGTGCGTGATCGTAAAAGCTCAGGGTCCATTCCAGTCGGAGTACGAGGAGGGCCACCTAGATTTTGCATCTGAGGAGGAAGAGCATTGCCATTCTGCTGAGGCAGAACGGGCAACTGAGTGCCCGCCTGATTAGGTACTTGTCCGGAGATTTGTCCGGACATGTGTGCCTGCACATTCATCTTCTTTATTCTTCACCACGTTGCCCCTAACTACCAAGTACCGCATTACTCAAAAAACACAAAGAAGTTTTCCGAGTTGGTCGCCTACGCATGCTCTTTCAATAACTTACACCATCCACGCTACATAAATCAAATCCTCCAGGTGCCAATCCTATATATAACAAAGTAACAAAGTGAAATTGACGTCATGAAAGCTTCTAAACAGCATTTTCCCACGATCGATTGCTTTGCTCAAACACAGAGTTACCAACTCTTTTACAAAGCCAGATTCAAATTATGAAAGCTTCTAAGCAGTTGATCAATTGCTTTGCTCAAACACAAAAAGTTGCTAACTCTTTCTATCTATGGGTATAAGTGATCACCGTGCGGAACAACATATTAATATCGGATGGAAAAAGTCAAAATTAGAGACTTACTTGAGAGCAAAATTTACAAACAAATAAAGAAATGCCTATTTCACATTGAAATTACAAAACTTCATACAAATACAACGAGACATTAAGAAGCAACGACCATGATCCAAGTTGCATCAGCTGGAATACACGAATCATTGAATGAGTTAAAATTGGGGCCAAAAATAGATCGTGCCCTAACTTTCTTGTGGTGATTAAGGGACAATTACGCAATCGAGCAATTAGGAGACCAAATTGGATAGAATTTCACAGACAAAGGAAGTCATCAGCTGCAGAATCGAATCAGATTACCAAAAAAAACCCTAGGAGAGAGAAAGAAGCAGAGCTAGAGAGAGAGCGCGCCAACCTGATAGTGAGCGGAAGCGATCGGAAAGCCGAATTGACGGAGGGCTATTGACGGCGACGTGGAGAATCGACGGTGACGAGCAACTCAACGGCGATCGGCGATTTCTCGGCGGAGGAAATTGAAGAGAGAGAAAATAGAGAGAGAGAAGTGGAGAGAGAAAGTCGGTTGAGAAGGAAGAGACGCCTAAGAATTTATGGAGACACACGTGCGAATTGGCACGAGCGATAAAGAGAGAGATAAAAAAAAGGCAAAATCTGAAGGCAAAGAAGAAAGAAAAACCCGAAGAGTTCGCACGGCAAGAACATAGAAGGAGAAGAACACGAAACCGAACGAGAAAACGCAGTCGCTAAGATTGAAAAGAGAGAAGAAAAACGAAATTATTATTATTATTATTATTATTATTTAATAATCAAAATAAGACCATTATTATTGTTTTGCCTTTGAGTTTATTAATTAATTGAACGATAATAAAAAGACACTCACACAACAGAGAGAGAAGAGGCTTGAGGCTGAGAGCAAACTCCGAATTTGGGTAAAACTTACTTGGGGTTTGGTTTTTCTTTTCTTTTTTTAAGAGGTCAAAAATAAAAACGTATTTCCCACCTAAAAAAATACATTTTTCATTTGTACCATCTAACAATTATTTTGCTACATACTTCTCAAAAAAAATTATTTTGCTACATAAAAAACAAAAAATATGCAGTATTTACTAATAAAAATATATGTGTGTCAGGAAATTAATTGAATAGTATTTTTAATAAACTTGTGCTACGAAATTCATATATACAAAATAACAAAATTTTTAAGAATTTAAAGTAGTAATAATAATGACTTGGAGATAAAAGAGTAATAAGAGGGAGAGAGAGGGAACGAAATCAATTTTTTTTTTCCACAACTCAAATTTTTTACGTGAGACAAAACATTATAACAAAAGAAGTAAAATTTAAATTTAAAAAAAAAATTATAACAAAAGAATTTAAATTGTAATTTAAGTTTACTTTTTCGGGGCATGATCAAAATGATCCCGCATATTAAGAAATGTGCGCATTGAATTATATTTAAGACGAAACTTGTCACTTTAAAAGATTAATAAAGATTCAACTAATAGTTTGAAAATTAACATTTGATATTACTTTGAAGTATTAGCCCATCTAAAATCTTGTGGGATGACATATAAAATTTAGCCTAATATTAATTGCAATAATAAGAGTCAGCTCAGCTGGTTAAAAATTACGTTGAGATCATCCTCCTAAATTCCTAATGAAGATCAGCAGGGTGATGATGGTATAACGTAATTTTTTCATACATTTATGAAGCCATTCCTAAATTGACAGTTGAAGGCGCCGCCCACCACTCCGCCTCAATTAGAGCCTTTACACGGTTAGTAATTTTTTACCAGCTGTCACCTACTTTGAGACAAATATTTGTCACAAAATATTTTACTGAACATTTAATTCATAGATTCAAAACCTTTTTTTTTATGTGTATTTTTTATGAAAAAAAAATATTATAAAAAATCATAAATCATGATTTGAAATCATAAACGAATACAAAAAATAAACATCCCCTTAAACTTTTAGTGACCAATTTTTTGTCATTAAATATTACTTTTGAGTGATAAGTTATTTTAGTCATAAAAACTTGAGGCATGTTTAGCCACATGATTTAAAACAGTTTTTTGTACTCTAAGCAAAAACACATTGTTTAGATAGTATGCTCAAAAAAGAGTTTTTTAAAAACAAATGGTCTGTTTAGTTCCTTGATTCGAGTTTTTAATTCGAGTTGAGATGTGACTTTATGTGATAACTTTTTACTGTAGCAAAAAAGTTAGATGTGACTGTCTATGAGAGTTTTTTACTGTAGCAAAACTCGAATCAGCGAAATGAACGGGACCAAAGTTAAAAAAAATTAGAGCTGTGTTTGGAGTTGTTTTTATTTTTGTTTTTCACGTTTTTTGAGAAAGAAAAAATGAAAACGGGAGAGAAACGGCGTTTGACACAATTAAAGACAATAAATGGAAATGAAAACGATTTTTTGGTTTAGCGTGAAATAAGAGAGAAATAAAAAATGACTTTTAGTCGTTTTTCATTTTTTGTTTCCATTTTCTCCTCTCTTGAGCAGAGAGAGAGACATTAATGAATTTTTTTATACTGAAAGTAATCTCTTGATAAAACTACCAAATGCATTTTCAAAAATGATTTCTCTCTGAGATTAAAAACGTTTTCGTTTTTATTTTTATTTTCATACAAAAAATAAATTTATTTTAGAACAAGTTTCAAGCACACCCTAAAATACTTCGCATTTTCAAAAATGATTTCTCTCTGAGATTAAAAACGTTTTCATTTTTATTTTTATTTTCATATAAAAAATAAATTTATTTTAGAACAAGTTTCAAGCACACCCTAAAATACTTCATTGTTCCCTAAGAGCATGATTCTCATTCCACATTGAGAATTTCTCGAGCCTTTGAAGGTATTTTTGCTCCTCTCTCTTTTTCAACCTTTCTCCTCTCTCTTTCCGCTCTCCCTCTCTCAGTCTCTCTCTGCTCCTTTTGCTCGTTTCACTCTCTCGTCTTTCTCTTGCCTCTCCAACTATCTTCTATCTCTAATTTTCGCGAGGGGAGAGAATGATGAGAAAGAAATAGAGGAGAGAGAATGAATAATGAGATAGAGAGAAAGGAGAGTACGTGATGAGAGAGAAAGTAAATAGAATGATGAGAGAAGATAAGGAGAGAGAATGATGACAGAGAAAGTGAGGGACGAGAATGATGAAATAAAAAATAAAGAGAGATAATCATTATGAGCCCGTTTGGTTGGAGGATTTGTTCTCTGATTTGAATCATGATTTATGATTCGCTACAGTATTTTCTCTCACAAAAAACACACGTAAATCGAAAATAATTCTAATTTCATTGTTCTAATTTATGAACCAAATGGGCTCTAAATATAATAAAAATGGAAGGAGATAAGAGGCAAAAAAAAAAGTTATATGAAAACTTTATTCAAACACAATTTTTTTGTTTTTATTCTCAAGTCATAAAACAATTGCCAAACTCTACTTATTATCTGAAAACAACTTTTGTTTTCATCTTTAAAGGCACAATTTTGAAAATAGAAAACAGAGGACATGGCCAAACAGGCCATTGATCTTCCCTCCATCTTTAATTTTTGGCGCAAGAGTTTTTTACAACTAAAGGCGTATTTCGTTGATGATTTAGTTCTGAAAATAATGTACCTCTTGACGAAGCAGTCGTTTAGTTGGAGGGTTCAAAGAGTTTGAACTCATGTTTAAATCAGTGTTTACTTGTAAAAAAAAGTTAGAACCTATTAATGTGACATTTAAACCTTCAAAATAAAAGGATTTTTAAACCCAAATCTCTCTTGAGTTTTTAAGATTTTAAATCAGGTTCAAATCCCACAGTTTAAAACCCATATGGCTCAATAAAGTTCAAATCCACCTTAATTTAAACTATTTTACCAAATGAATCTTAAAATAATTTTGCGGCTAGTTGCAAAAAAAAAAAAAAAAAAAAAAAAAAAAACCAACATTTAGCGACTAACTAGCTCTAGACGTTGAAAATTAGTCGCTAAAGTGTAACATAGCACTTCAAATGAAGTCTATTAATATACTTTTGCCATGCTTCTGTGTTTATAATGATTATGCTTTTGTTTGCTTGTATTTTGCTATTAAAACTGTAGAAGTATAATATTGAAAGTGTTTTTCTTGATAATTCTATCATTTTACCCCTTCTCTCACTCTTGGCTCCTATTTCGCTTCCTCTTGTTGAGACTGCTTCTTCTTCATACACTAGTTAAAGAACACGTGCTATACACATAAAGTAATCGTGTATTAAATTTTAATTACCGTGTTATTATTAAAGGTATATTAAAACTTAAAAAGAAACTAAAATTAAAAAAAATTTAAGTTTTAGGGCAAGTAACACGTGCTTATACATGTGAAGTAATCGTATATTAAATTTTAATTACAGTGTTATTATTAAAGGTATATTAAAACTCAAAAAGAAACTAAAATTAAAAAAATTAAGTTTTAGGGCAAGTAGCTAAAAAAAAAGGGGAAACGATATTTTTTTTTAATTACAGTGTTATTATTAAAGGTATATTATTATTTTTTTAATAATTGTTTTTCACGTTTTATCTATTTATTTCATAAATGTCTTCTAATTTATTGATTAATTTTCTATAGGCCTATCAACAGATCCGTTAAGGATATAAACAAAAGTAGAAGAAGGGAGTATTTTTGAACTGTGTTTAAACATTAGGGTGTTTTTAACGGTTACAAAAATTAAATAGACTTTAAAAAATCCATAATTTGGGAGTATTTTTGAAAATAACTCAATTTTTAATATGGACACCCACATATTATAACAACAAAAATTTAATCTAACAGTTAAAATAACAATACTTAGGGTTAGTTTGGCATTATTATGTTGAAAATTTTTACTATTGCTATGTTGTTAGTTATAAGTTGCTGTGACCAGAAGGATATAAGTGTTGGGTAAATATTTTTACAAAATTGTTGTGAGTACCAGAAGCATTTATTTAGGTGTTTAATAAATTGTATATAAAATTGTTGTTGAAATGTATAATGACAAAAGTAAACATATTTTTATCACACATGTTTATAATTAGTTTTATTTTTATTTTTATGACCAATATTCATACTATAAAAAGTATATATATTTTAAATTTTATTATTTTAAATAATTCTTAAAAATAAGATAAAAATTATTCATCTACTAATATTGATTATTATTATTTTAAAATATTTTGATAATTATTATTTAAATGAAATTTAGCATATCATACTTATTAAAGATTTTAAATTTTTAAATAGCTATTTTAAAAATACATATTTATAATTTAGTATGAAAAAAGTAAAATAGATATATTAAGAATTAAGTTTTATTATTCGGGTTATCTCAGTAAATTTAAATAATAGAGCAGAAGTTATTGTGCACAAACAACTCAGGATATACTTTTCAAATTCTATTATTTAACAACAGGTTTTAAAAATTATTACACAAAAATAGAATTTACTAAATACAACCATGCTTATCAAATTTTATTATTTAACAATAATTTTTAAAAATTATTAGATAAAAATAGAATTTACTAAATACCGTAAACTGTTGTAATTTTTTTTAGAAAAAATGAAAAACAGCCTCCAAAAATAATACTAAACGGGGCTATTCCTAAGCGAAAGTTCAACTGGACATGTTCTGCTTAGAAGTTCCATAACAAAAGTAATTTTTTCTTTAAAAAATTTTCTCTAAGAATTTAAAAAAAAAAAAAAAAAAAAAAAAAAAAAAAAAAACCAACAACGTTATCCATTCCATACAAAACGTCTTGGTCTCACTTCAGTCCCGCAATCTTTTACCCGCCTACCTTTTTCAACTTCGCCTCTCTCTCTCTCTCTCTCTCTCTCTCTCTCTCTCTAGAAAGCCTGAACATAGCAGCTCCATAAAACTTCAGAGGTTTTCTTTCATCCTTCATCGTTGCTCCACAGTCGCCGACCGACGCTCTTTTTCTGTCGACTTTTTCTCCTCCCAGTGCGAATTCAACACTGTACTTTTTATCCACTCTTTCTTTTTTCTTTTTTGTTCATTTCTTTTAACTTTCCTTGTCTTTTTTCATGTGGTTTATCGGATAACGTGATTAATTTTGTGCATAATTTGGCTGGGTATTCCCGAATTTGTGATGTTCTTCAAATTTCGCTTTTATAATTTCAAAATGTGTTTCGAGACCGCAATACTGGTTGCTTTGGTTGTGATTTCTTTTTTTGTTTCTTTGGGTGAGATTTTGTGTTTTCAGATTTGTGATATTGTTTAGTTGCTGGTTTTTATTTTTTATTTTTATTTTTTCCTTGTTGTTTAGAAAGGCATAATAGAAAACTTTTAAACATGATTAGATGTGAATAGTCAATAGATGAGCTATGTAATAAAAGTAAGTAACTATTTTTTTTTATTTTTAAAAAATCTATTTAAGAATTGTTGTTAATCATTGAAATGTATTTCTTTTATCCTTGAAATCAATTAAAGAAATTTATAGAAATATATTTAAGGTTTTTTTTTTTAGCATTTGTGGAATGTGGTTATTCCATGCTTGTTAAAACTAGGGAGCTGGATTAGGGATAGGACTACACTGAAGAATTTCTGCACCAGCAATTGCAATCCTCACTCTCCAGTTAATTTATTCCATGCTTGTTAAAACTAGAGTGTAGGCCGTACACCACTTTTGATGTTCATTTATTCATTTGTATGTAAAAATTAGGCTTAAATGTTCCAAAAATTGGTATATTTAAGTTTCATTTCTCTAGAACTCGTATTCCTCTAGTATGAGTTAATGATCAATTGAGTTGGGAAACTCAAGGGAACTAATGTGGCCTAGTTTGAAAAATGGAAAATTTTGAGAACAAGTCATTAGGGATAAACCCAAGTCTGTTTAGATAATAAGGGTTTCTGTACTGTGGGCCAGGTGTGGGATCAGTTTTCCCAATTCATATACAGTACTCGCCCCATTGCCATCCCTAAAAACTGATAACTCTTTCCCTTTCCAATTGATTCAGAGAAAGTGAGTGTAAGGAGAAGAATGTCACTTTCATTCTTTCAGAGTGCAGTTGTCCCTTCCCAACAACTTCAGCTTCAAGTTGGGATTGGCCTCTCATTTCCAAGGCTGCAACGAGTCCAATCACTTGTTGTTGAAGCCAAAGCCAAAACCCGACAAGAAGACCGAATCGCTCGCCATTCTCGTATCAGAAAGAAGGTACAATAATCTGTTCTGTGTTTGTTTACTTAACAAGCGTATTCTGATATTTTATCTGCTAAGCAATGAGGAGACGATAAAGAAGGGGTTCCATCTTAAAAATGTAATGTTAATGCAATGATTCGACTAGTGGAAATGGAAAGAACTTTTGTATGTGGTCGTCTTTCAAATCTCTTGACAACGAAGGAGCTTCAGATGGTTTTTAGATTATGGTTAATATAATTAGATTTTTTTTTTTTCATTGGTGTATTTGCAATGAAATTTTTGTGTTTTATTATCAGGTTGAAGGGACTCCTGAAAGGCCAAGGTTAAGCGTCTTCCGCTCCAACAAGCATCTCTATGTTCAGGTGATTGATGACACCAAAATGCGCACACTTGCTGCGGCTTCCACAATGCAAAAAGCCATCTCAGAAGAGTTTAGCTACACTTCTGGTCCTACGCTGGTGAGTTCTCAGTATTAGTGAAAACTGTGGGCCTCTTTGGCATTGCTTTTGCTTACGCTTTATTGCTTCTTTTTTTTTTTTCCTTTTTTTTCCCTTTTTTGGTGAAAAGATGCCTTATTACGTTTAGGTAGTAGAAGAAGAGAAGTAAAAGATGTGCTTTTTCAGTCAGAATTTGGAAGCATATCCTTTATGCTACCCAATGCCACAAAAACAAAGTTTAGATTTTCTAATAAGCACGGGAAATATTAGAGTGCAGTTCATAAACTTTTTTTTCCTTTGGAAAAGCTACATTTTATGACGCTGATTGAAAGGTCTTATGAAAGCCTATCCAAACCCTTAAAAGCATTTTTTGGACTTAGGAAGCCAATAGTAGCTTCCAGTAACAATGCCAAATAGGTCCAATTCAGTATGTGATGGCTCATGTAGAAAATAGCTAGCTTATTTTTTGTTATTTGAAACTCTTCTCTAGGATATAAAAATTGTTCACAACATGTTCTTGTTGTGTAAAACAAAATTCAATCTACAAAATACGACTCACCTTCAGCTTATTGCTCTCGAAAACTTTCAACTTGAATGCATTATGTATAGGTGAGGAGGTCCTTTAATTGCTAGGCTTTGGATATTGGAGCAGTGCAGATATTACTAATTGCGTTTTTTGGAACATTCATTTTTTTCTCAGGAGGTTGCAAAGAAGATTGGTGAAGTCATTGCAAAGACCTGTTTGGAGAAGGGGATCACAAAGGTGGCCTTCGACCGAGGTGGATATCCATACCATGGACGTGTAGAAGCCATCGCCGATGCAGCTCGAGAACATGGACTTAAGTTTTAAGATTTTGGTTTTTTAGTTTGTTTGTAGAATCTTTTGTTTGTCTTTGAATTGTGAACTAATTATTTTGTTTTAACAGTTATTCATTGGAGCATTTGATGTTTAACTGTGTTTTAAATTTTGTTCATTTGCATCAAGGAACCACAATCAGTGCATGAAAATTTATTATTTGCTGCTAAATGTCCAAAATTAGTGTTTGAAAATAATTGTGTTGGATCTTTGGCGCCATTCTCCCTAACTGCCTTCGAATCATGACGAATCGATGATCATGATGTAATCATGGTTATTTATTTATTTTTCCTCTGGTATTGTCGCTTTAGAGAATGAGGGTTTTGCTCTCATTTCTGTAGTCCTAATTCAGTAATTTGATTTGCTCTTTATTGGTCACTATCTGCTTTTGTGTTCTAGACAATCTACTTTTCATTCTTAATATAGAATCTTTAGTAATTTAGGTCTTCTTCTTCATCTGCTTGTAAAGATTTGGTGCTTTAATTTATTCTTCTTGTTTAAACTATGTAATCTCCTTCTACTTATGTTGGTTGCAAGAACTCCTTCCCTTTGTCTTTTCCCTAAATGAGAATTTCACTAAAAACACGCCATAAGGAGGCGCAGCGCCGCAGCCAACAAAGTAACACACCCGGCCATGACTACAATGTGAAGCCACAAAACCGGCAAAACAAAACCAAACAAGGCGAATAAAAAACACAACATAACAGTCTGCAAACATACAGCAGACCTTAACAAACTCAAACCTGACCACTGACCACTAACAAACTCAACCTAGGGTACCATTCCACATAGTCAGGAAGAACCTCAGGAGAAACGATTTCCAAAGGGATAATTTCAAAACAACTAACTACTTTAGACCATTTTGTAACGATAATTGTACCTCAAAATACAGGATCACTAAATGCTTGTTTGGTTGGAGGGTTTAAAGTCATGGGTAGAGCTGCGAAATGGGTTTGGTCGGCCCATTAGCACAGGGGCATGACACGGCACAACATGTTAATCCGTTACCGTTTGACCACTCTAGTCATGAGGATGCATGACTTATCAGTTATCATTAGCATGGCATGCAAATATGATCTGAAACACGTACAGTAACACGTTCCAATATGCAGTTAGTGATCAACAAACAAGTGAAAATGTACAATTGTTTATTAAAATTGACGAGGGATTGATTCATCTTTCAGAAAGTGATTCAAGGAGCTCTATATGAGAATAGGCGAATCGCATTTTGATAGCTCACTTCAGCAACTTCCTCTTTAGTCAACTCGAGCAGAGATGCAACATAACTGAGCACCTGAACATAGAAGCATGAAGCAAAAAAAGGAGGATCAACCATTAACAAAAGAAAGAAAAGTGAAAAAGAAAAAAAGGACGCGATAGTACTTAAATATTTGTTTTGAATTAATAATACTCATGTTATGCATATTACTTAGCTTTGGTCTTCCACTAAACTCATCCATCAATACCATGAGTATAAAGTACTTTACCCCTTGTCCTTGTACCCACCTTTTACTTTACTCCCAGTCTATTAAAAAGCTTTCACATGAGTCCGATCGGTGAAAATAAGTTGGATAAAATGGTCAAAATAACCAAAGCATTATGTTTCGACTTTGCATATACTAAGGAATTGTGCAAGGAAAAAGTTAAATTGAACAAAATAATTGGATTAATATGACAAGATCAATGATACAAGCCAAAACAGAAAGCAAGAAAAATCAAAGTGGCAAGGGATAATCTAATGGTTTTATGCATTAAGAGCCAAAATGCAAGTCAAATGAAAGCTTGGGAGAGTGCAAAAGTATTTTTCCTTGGATAATGTCTACCACTAAACAGATATAAGCAAAACCTATTTCGATGCAGACTCACATTCAAAATGTTCGCAGGATGATTAAGGGTTTCTTTAGGCATTGTTGATGCATCACTTGCAGAACTAAGATCGTCAATGCCTTGTTGCGGTTGAAGCTCTTTGGAATTGTAAGAATCTCCTTCAACTAGATACAAGGAATCCGATGCAGACTTGGGTAGGGCATCAGGTGCATCCGTCTCCAACAAAATCCTTTCAGAAGGCACCTGTGGAGCTTATAAGCTAAGAATTTCTTTATTTAATTTTTTTAATAAGAAATTAATTAATTTTATACTGCATATCAGAACTGATAAAATCACCATCTTCAGCATCTTCTTTGCCTTGCGTTGTTCCATAGACATGAGAAATCCTGAGAATGAAAAGTAAGCACCAAGCTTGGCAAATTCAGGAACCATCTCAGCGGAACCCAAGTAGGAATGAAGAATGACACCAGCAGGAAAAGGCCCTATACGCCTAAAATAAGAACAAAGACATCGCAAGAATTTGGTTAACAGTTATGCAAAGGACTGACGTGACTATATGAAAAATGGATATACAATGTAAACATTGCACTAAATGAAGCCGTTGATATGCAAAGAAGCATACTGCACTATGGGAAGAAGATCGCCAAAAGCACGAACGCAATGGACGGACACCGGCCGTTTCAAGTCTTTTGCGAGCTGAAGCTGCTGCTGAAACACTTGAACCTGATGAGGATATTTCATATAATATCAGCAAACAGATGAAAACACTGTATTTAAAAAATTTTCTTCTAAACTGACACCTAAAAAACCTGATCCGCAAAATCAATTTGCTTTCCCCGTGAACTTTTGTCCAACCCAATCTCCCCAACAGCAGCAGAGGGGGTGGAATCAAAGAATTGCTTCAATGTGTCGAACCAACTCGGAGTCCTTTCTTGAATAAACCTACAATACTACGTGAATTTGAGTTACATTTTTTTTTTTTTTCTGAAAACAAACAGAACTATATTTACACTAGAAATTACAAAGAAGAGGATGAGCTATCCTCGCACAAACAAAATTCTAGAACAAAATAGAGCCCCGGTCTCTTGTAAGATCAGAGAGAAGCAAACCATTAAAATCCTTTTCTCCATGAACCCGTAAAGCTACCCAAAATCTAATTCTATCCCATACAACAACGCCCCCTTCCCCATGCTCCTAAAAAATTCTTCGATTTCTCTCCAACCAAATCCCCCCTACTTTCCCCAGTGTTTTCTTCTCTTTCCCGGCACAAGACAAAAATGAGATTCACAAAGTTCTTTACAACTAGGGAATACCCACAAAATCCCCACTTTCCTAAGTAGCAAGCACTAAATACTAAAAGCAAATGGACACTGCAAAATAAAAGATCAACGGTTTCGTTACTGTTTCAGCATAAAATGCACCACCCAAAGATATTGAGAGAAACAGTTTCCTCTGCAACAAATCATGAGTGCTCAGTTTGTCAAGAACAAGTAACCAACAAAAAATCGGTTTGTGAATCAAACCAAGTTGGTATAAACCATTAGCCACTGTTCTTTAGCAAGCTTGATTCCGGGATTGACTTCTACCTAGAGAGTGCTACCGTATATTTTTTCACTTCATAGACATTTAAGCAACTACAATAATACTTACCAAGGGTGGAGACCAAAGCAAGGAACTATGGAAGCAGGGTAAGATTGACCGAGTTGCTTGACCAAATGCCAGTCATTTTCAGAGACTCCGTTGACCGCAAAGCCGACCACTCCAACTTCATTAGCTTTTGCAATCAGTTGGGGAGCCTTGCTCCATATTCTTGGGTCCTGCAGGTGACAGTGCGCGTCGAACACCTTCATTCTATTCAGTTTGAAGGGATATGAGTGCAAAAGATATTAGAGATATTTCTCTGCAAACCATAGAAAAACTTGGTGTTAGATCTTAGACCTAGGGCCGTTTGTTTCACGTGTTTGAACCCAAAATTATAATTTTGTTACAGTACTTTTCTCTTATAAAAAATTTAAATAAAAATAGCTCATAAAATTTGAATTCAAAATCAGAATCACTAACTAAACATGTGGACCAAATGGGCCACTAGTGTTCTTTAATCTAAAAAGAAACAGAAGGTATTAGTTTTTTAAGCTGGTTACTCTAGCAAACCAGATAATTAGGAAAAAAAAAAAAAAAAAAAGGAAAATGATTGTTAGCAAGAAATCAAATTTGGGCTTAATTCTTTTTCCTCCTTTTTGTGTTATAACCTTTAAATTTTGGACATCTTCAAACAAGCTTCCTTCTACTCAATCTGAAATATCAGTTGAAGATTCTGGTTCTTCCTTTCCAAAAGAAAAAAAGTCATTTTATGCTAGCCCAGAACTTCCTTATTTTAATGTATATATCCGACCAAAAAATACATTTTTATAAATGAACCCCACACCCTTTAAGGGGGGAAAACTAGTTTTAATTACTAGAGACGAATTTCCTCCAAAAAAAAAAAAAAACCCCATGAAACATTGGTTATCAGTCAACATTGAGGCAATGAATGTGAACCTGTTAGTAATTAAGCAAGATTTTTAACATAATGAAAAAACTTGAAGAAACTCAATAATTTGAAAATCGTCTAGTTCACTTCATTTATGAAAGGAAAAAAAAAAAAGATGATTGAAATGAGCATAAAAAGATCAAATAAAATGAATGAAAAGGGTACTATAAAATAAAGGAGAATTAAACTCGTACAAAAATGACAATCGATGAAAATAACAATTAGAAAATGGAGCTCCGAAGGTCAACGGAAATTCAAACCAAAAGAGAGAGAAACCTGAATAGAAGAACTTGAACCTGACGACGACGACGAAAGAGGAGGGGACGCTGCTCCACAAGTTGTCACGTTTCTTTTGAGTTAGAGATATAATTTTATTTGAGAGTTTTTTATTATAATAAAAAAATTAAATATGATTGTTTTTATGAGTTTTTTATTATAATAAAATTTGAATCAATAAAATAAATGAGATCTTTACTTATGATGATTGGACATCGGGAGTGGGCAATGAGAATTATGTTTACTTTCTTTTCTTTTTGAGAAATGTGGAGGTCTTTTTTTTGTGCATCATGTATTTAAAATTTAATATGTAAACTCTATTAATATAATATATTATTATTTAAAATAAAATAAAATAATAATAAAAAGAGTGATATTTCATTTAAAGGTACTTTTGAAATTTTAAGTGGTTGAAATGTAAATTTACATTAAATTAGAATATTTATCAACTTCTCTTAAACATTAGTCTTCTGTTAATTTTAATTCCTCTCAAACATTAGTTTCTCTCCTTCTCTTTCTAAGAAATGAGGAAAGAAAATATCAATATTGTCAAAGGGAACGAATGTTTAATTTACTTGTTTATTCTTGATGAATTACTATTTGTCTCGTTTGGTTCGTTGATTTGAATTTTGTTGATTTAAACTTTTTGATTTGAGTGTAAAAATTCAAATTGTGTGGTTTAAATTGACGTTTCGATGTGTAGTTAAAGTTTTAATTTGATGTTTGGTTCGTTGATTTGAATTTTGTTGATTTAAACTTTTTGATTTGAGCGTAAAAATTCAATTTGTGTGGTTTAAATTGACGTTTCGATGTGTAGTTAAAGTTTTAATTTGAACAGTGAATAAAATTTGAATTTGTGTTTGGTAAGTGTGAAAAGCAGAGAGAGTGAAACATTTTTACTGTTCGGAAATAGTTTGAACGGTTGAATTTAAGAGAGGAGCTAAACTCTAAGTTGAGTCATTTAACTCAGTTCAAACTTTAAACAGATAATATAATTCAAACTGCATGCTTACTAAATGTCAGTTCAAATTGTGCTCACCGTTCATACTGAGTTGAACTAAACTAAACCAGTGAAACAAATAGGGGTATTGTTATTTTTAATTTTAGTCAACATTAGAAAAGTGAAGGGATTGTTTCCCATTAAACCACTTAGTAGTTAAGTAAACACTATAATTGCAACTAATATTTACTATTTTGTATGAATGTTAGATTAAAATTAGAAATAACTAAAATTATAAATAAAGTTTGTTTATTTTAATCATTATATATATTCACAGCACTTTTATACATAATTAGTTTTGTAATGTGCTCCACACGTATTATTATGTTGTAGATACCCAAAGAGTTTATTATTTACTGAATAATGAGAAATTCATTTATAGAACTATTTAAGGACTTTTGAATTTATTTAAAAAAAAGAATATGTGTAAAAATTAATTGACAAAAAATAAAATAAAGTAGAAACACATTTTAAGAAAAATATTTTACTAATTAAAAATAAAATATGAATACATACGAAAAATTACTTTTATAAGAGTAAAGTGAAGAATAATATATTTTTAAATAACACATAAACACTAAAAATTTAAAAAGAATTAAAAAATAAAGATAAAAAATCAAAAAGGGAAAAAAAAAGTAAGTAGAGAGACTGCCACCATTAAAAAGAGTTTTAACTCTTTTATGTATTGTTAGATTTACTAAACAACTACAATTAGACTTTCTGCTCACACAACTTTGAAAAAAATTTATCAAACGCCACATATTTCTAATCATAGTAATTTATGACTAATAGTATACCTATAACAAATGCAAGAATTAACCAAAACTTACCCTTCTACCCCTACGTCATACCTTTTTATTTGTTTTTAATAATTAACAAAACCTTAAAGACTAAAATACTCTCATTGAGACACGATCTTAATTAGAGGTGTGCAAACTAACTAAACCATTTTATTTTAGGTGAAAGGTAAACCAAACTAATTATAAATTAGTTTAGCGATCTTCAAATCAAACCAAATTAATTGAGGGATTTAATCTAATCCAAGTCAAACCGATTGCAATTGGCTTGGTTTGGTTTTTCTAATTAGTTTGAACTAATATTTTACAACTTCTTCTCAAGTCTCAAGCATAACTGGTACTAATATTTTGTGTGTTCTTTTATCTCTTTCTCTCTTACTTCTAAAGACAAAATGAAGTCAAAGCAATTAAATTATGATATATTTATGTAAAATTAGTTGTAAGTTGTGACTCATGATTGAATATGATATTCAGTTTTTCTAAATACATAAAAGAAAACGAATATAGACAAATTAAAAACATTTATTATTACAAAAATCATATTCACGTTAACAAAGAAAAAAGGCTTTATAGAAAATCACGATTAGAATCCAGAGGAGCAGAGAATGAGAGAGCTTGATGGTAAATCATGGAGGCACTGTTAATACCGTGTATGCATAGGTTATGATAGAAACTTCTAAAATTACGATCATTTAATTTTAAAATAAAAGAGTCTTTTAAATAGAAATAAATTATAGATATATGAGATATATATAATTTTAGAAAAGTTATATAGATATAAATTGGTTTGGTTTGGTTTGGGTTGTTTTTTTAGGGGTAAAATCACAAATCAAACTAATTTAATTGGTTTTTTAAAAATTTTAAATCAAACTAAACTGATTATTAATTGTTTTGATTTTATTTTTTTCTGATTTAATTTGGTTTAATTTGTTTAATTTGGTTTAATTTGTTTAGTTTGAATGGTTTGGTGTATACCTCAACTTTAATTCCTCTTGCTTGTTAAAACCTGGGAGGTGAAGAAATAGAATTCCGTAAGGTTGCGTTTGGTTGCATTATTGAACGGTTGGCATGACAATAAAAATAAAATGGCAATAGAAACATAATACAAAGAAGAAACTCCTTTGTTTGGTTTAGATATTTGAGTCCATATCTAAATATGATTACTTTGATTATAATTAAGTAAAGAAATGGAATTAACTCTGATTTGACCAATATACCCTTATCTTTAATTAAGGAAAGATAAATTGAGATGGGAAATGAAAATGTAAGGTGCGATTAGAATTAATTTTAAAATAATTTTGCTTTCAATAAAAAATAAAAATGAGATTGTTTTAAAAATTATTATGAGACCGATTCTAAAATTACGTGATTTTTTAAGAAATTATTTTGAGTATAATAAGAAAGTGAAATCGTATTTATTAATCAATATACTATAATATTGTTGATAAGTATTAAAAAATGAAAACAGAAAAATGAAAACAACTTTTAATCGTTTTTTAATTCATTCACAAAAACCATTATCACTGTTTTTATTTTGAAAACATTTAGGGTGTGTTTAGAATTCGTTCCAAAATGATTTTATTTTTTGTATGAAAATAAAAATGAAAACGTTTTCAATATCAGACAGAAATCATTTTTAAAAATGTGTTTGGTAGTTTTATCAAGAGATTATTTTCAGTAGAAAAAATCAATTAATGTCTCTCTTTCTTTCTCTTTGCTCGAGAGAGGAGAAAACGAAAACAAAAATTAAAAAATGACTAAAAGTCGTTTTTCATTTTTCTTTTATTTTACATTAAACTAAAAAATTATTTTCATTTTTTATCTTTATTGCGCCAAACGTCATTTTAAAAATATTTTTATTTATTTTAAATGTTAAAAATAAAAACGTGATTAATTTCAAACACAATCTTACTAACGTCATTTTATTTTCATTCTCATTTTTTACTTTTCGAAATACATAAAAACCTTTTTCCAAAACGGCTCCGAACACGCAGGTAATTTCGATTCATTCGGTGGAAATGGAATAGTCATTTCAACAATAGAATGAAAATTGAGAAAAAAAATAAATACTGATTACATTTCCTATGTCCATTCCTAACCATTACCCCCGACCAAACACAACCTAAAAGAGTGCGAAGTGCAGGAATTTAAAAACCGAACTTTTACAAGTGATTTTTGGTTTTCTTCGTTGGAGCAAACTGGAAGAAGATCAGAAGAGCAAGCCCTAAGAAGAAGAAGAAGAAGAAGTTGGAGCAAACTGGAAGAAGATCAGAAGAGCAAGGAATTGGGTAATGGAAAGAAGTCTAGGGTTTTGAAGATTCGATGAGACAAAGTGAAGAAGAAGAAGAAGAAGAATGAGCAGGCTGTCGATAAGGCCTCGGCCATTGGACATTCACAAGAAGCTTCCGATTGTGAAGTCCGTCAAGGATTTCGAGGACGACGACGCCCCAACTTCGTCTTCCACCCGCAATTCTCAGTTCCTCCGTCACGCCGCCATCGCTGACGACAATGAATCCCACCACAACCTCCAGCCTTCCTCCAAGCCAATCCCCACTCCTCAGTTCGTCGTCGTCGACACCTACGAGAGAGACTACTCCCGCACCTTCTCTCAGCCCACTTCCTACTTGCGTGCCCGCGGAGGTCACCATTCTATACATTCTTTCTTTCATATATATATATATATTTATGCATACATTCTTTCTTTTTGATTGTGTTCCGCGTAAATTTTATCAGTTCTGAGTAATTTTTGCATTTGAATTTCCGTTTCGCAGCTCGGGCGGAGTTGGGAGAGTTTATCGAGTACGACCTTGACAATGAAGACGAGGATTGGCTTGAGGAATTCAACAGAGACCGCAAGATTCTTGCACCCGATAGGTAAGCATTTTTTTAGTATCCTTTTGCTGTAGTGTGCTTTTCCAAGTTTATTGAATTATAGTTACTTGCCCTTTTGATCATTTGGGATATTGTATGTTCAGTTGAGCAAACGTGTCTTATGGTGGGTATATAAAGTACTATAGTCACAAGATTAGGTAAATTCAATGTTTCTTTTAAGAAATTTGGTGTTTTGAAGAAACTTCGAAAAAGCTATAACAATCGATCTAGGAACTGCTTTTTCTTTCTACTAGACTCAGTGCAATTTATGGTTTATGTTTTTATAAGGCTCAGGTTTCCTTGTTGTCTCGCCTGTTTCCTTGTTTTATGATCTTTGCATTTTGATACCATTTCTATTTCTCATTAAAGAAAAGGTAAAAAAATTGGTTTTTTGAGCTAATTATCGATGTTTTCCTGGACTATCTTTGATATGGTATTTTCATTGACCTTAATTGTAAATTAAGACCTTGACGACTATGTGGGCATTGGCATGTCATCCTTGCTTTGATTTTATGTAATGAAGAGGTCCGGTTGCAGGTTCGAGGGCCTTCTTTTCAAGTTGGAAGTTTTGGATCATAAGGCACGAGAAAGGGCTGGAGTAATAACGCCTACTCTTGGTTTGCCAATCCCTGTTCTTCTGCAGCTCGATTTTGCTATGGAGGTGATATTGCAGTTTTTAACCAATGTTATTATGCATTCAGCTTCATACTACAATCTTGATTTTTATCTAGCCAAATGGTTCTTTGATGTGGTTTTGGTACTTGAGATTGTTGAGCACTTGAGCTTTGGCTTTGTGGAATTATTTGTTGAAGTTATATCTAACTTGACCTTATATCCATTTGATGATGTAGGCTCTACAAGCTCAAGCTCAGAACATAAGATATGCTGTTATCCAGTCTGCTTATAATTATTGGAAAGAGAAGGTACATAATGTAGGTCCCATACAATTGGGTTAGCTGGAGACAGTTATAGTCCTTGCAAATGATTCGGTAACTAGAAACTGTTAAATTGGTATAGTTTGTTCTGTTCTATTGTAGATTTGGATGAGTACTTTTATTAATTGTTTTTGAAAAGCACCAACTCTCATAACATATTAGAAAATGCTGAGAAGATATGTAACAATAGACTCTTTGACCTTTCTACCTAATAATATATATTTGTTTTACAAGAAACTTATCCTTATATTGATGTATGAAATGATTGATGACACACTATACAAGGAAAAGAGGATAAGGTATCCTCTTAAAAAGTCAAAATTAAAAACATCATCTGGGGAGGGATCTCGGACAGTAGGGTTTAGCAGTTAGAGAGTTCCAGGTTGTTTTCTGTCTCGTCTTTTTTCTCTTCTTTGGTGGATAGTTCCGATTTCCCCAACTTTGAGTTTTTGAATATCATTTACCTGTGTTCCATCGAAGGTTCAAGTTAGGGGTGTCAATTCGTGTCACGTGACGTGTTTTGATCATTTCTTTTTAAATTTGCAGCAACTCGAACACGACCCGTGACACGAAATTTTTTAAAAACCGCAACACGAACACGACACAATCACTTTGCGGGTTGACACGACACGACACGAAAATGGCTCGTGACATGAAATTGACCCGTGAACCCAAAATTGACACAAAAATTGTATACTTTTATTTAGTTTTTTACATATTAGAATAACTTCAAATTCATAACACACTAAAATGCAATGACATCTATTGAAATAAGCAAATAGTAGTATAAGATTTTGAGTATAACTATCATGATATCACAAGTTCATAATAAAATCAAAAATATGTAATGAAAAATATGTATTTTTTAGTTTTTTACGAGTTTTGTGTCGTGTTTGGGTTAGGCGGGTCCAACCCGAAATTGACAAGTATTTTTCGTGACAATTTCAGGGCGACCCAATTCTGACCCGAACCTCTTTTTTCTCAACCCTAACCCGTGAAATTCGTATCGTTTTCGAGTTGTGACCCATATTGCCGGCCCTAGTTCAAGTATTTTGTTGGTTACTAGTCCTTGATAAGCTGAATACTCATGTCTCAATGCAGCATAGGAAACCGTTTAGTTCACTGTCCCCAGGCTGGTGTGTTCTCTGTAAGGACAGCAGTGGATCAACTGATCATCTGTTTTTACTGTCCTTACACCTATGAGATATGGTGTTGGATGATTAGGGTGCTTGGGATTTACTAGGTCTTTCCTAGATCTTGCAAAGAATTATGCAAGAATCCCTCTGTTTTAGATCAGGTTTTAGAAGAAATTACTCGAGTAGAGTGGCTGTTTAGCTATTTTTTGGGCTGTCTGGTTGGAGAGAAACCACCGAATCTCTGTGGGAAGGGAGGAGGATAGCATTTTTATTTCGGATAAAGTCAAATTTTGGGTAGCTATTTGGATCCATAAGGAAAGAGATTTTAGGAGCTTGCTCTTCTCCAATCTTTTTAGGAGTTGGGCACCCGTTTTGTAGCTTAGTTTTAATTCTTTGGAGGATAACTCTTCCACCTTTTGTTTATACATAGTTTTTCCATTACTTAAATGTTTTCGTTTCTTTTCCATAAAATTAAAAAAAAAAAAAATCAAAGAGGAACAAATTAAACACAATTAATTAAAAACAATAAAAAATATCAGCAACTTGAGTTTCTGATTGTAAGGCTGCACTCATGAGTCTAATGCGATAACCTTTATAAGCATCTCCTTCTCCTCCCTCATCCATGTACATGTTCACTTGAATGGAGAAGATTGTGTTTCACAAGGCTACGGAGAGAAAAAGATGTGTGAATTCGTGTTGTCTATGTTTGGTATCTAAATGGATTGTCTTTCTATTTAATATGGTTAATCGAGTCTTCTCTTCCTGTAAATACTGGTTATTGATGTAGCCTTTTGTTTTGTGCAGCGTGAACGGTGGCAAAAGCCTATTCTACGGCGTTTGCAGGTTCTTTTTAAATCCTTTTTGCCATATAAGTTTTGCATTATGGGTAGATCTTTGCATTAACAAAGATTTGATAACCCGTGTGTAATTTTAAACTATCTTCCTCATGTTTTTTCGAATTAGTTTGCCAATGCGTTGAGCACTGTTTGAATCACCCTTTAATGGCCTTGGTATTTTTTTTTTTTTTGGGTACAGCCTCCTCCACCTGTTAATGACACCAATCCGTACAATGTCTTTAGGCCAAGGGAGAAGGCTCATAGACTACACACAAGAAGGGTAGGTGACAATTCATATATGCTTGCTTTTGGCTTTTGGTCACAAATTTTTCTGTTGTGAACTTATATGTAAACATAAATGCATATGCTGTTTTGTTGATGAGTAGCTTTTGTTATTGTTTTTCTTTTAGATGCAAAGAAGGGAGAACAATGTGCAATCATTTGAAAAGCTTCGCCAGGTTGGTGCTTCTTTCACTTTTATGTTATTTTCATTTTGTTCCTAGTAAAGGGAAAAAAAAAAAAAAAACTTTCTGCTGAAATTGACATTAACAATAACGTTCTGCTGAAATTGACCTTTGCAGGTTAGGCGTAACCTGGACCAAGCAAAGACGTTGCTTGAAGCCTTAATTAAGGTATCTGTACTTTATTCAAATTTTCTCACACATTTATATGTTGTCATATGATGGAGGAGAATTTTTATTCTTGCTTCAAATTCTCATTGCCAAGTTAGATAGGAACTGAACCTGGAGCCATGAACTCATGTAGATACAGTCATCCACACACAGATTTCATAGAACAGAAAGTTTTAATTTCTTAGGTTGTTAATTGGACGGATCATATACTGTTAGCCTTACGTGGAGTAAAGTTGCAAGTTATCTTCATCACTATTAAGGGGGTGGATATTGGTCATATGGAAGACAAATTTTGCAGTTCTTGACAGTCATGGTGCGTTGAACTTATTAAGGAAGTTGGGAATAATTCATCCTTGTTGGTACGGAACAGCACAATAATGGCAGGAACTTCATGGAGTTTGAAGATTCAATCTGGAGCTGGGACTGAAGATATTGATGTTCCTTTTGGTTGTACTGGCAGATGGGGATGGAGTTGATGGGACATGGAAGGTAGATTAGAGAAAGATCAAAGCGTCAAGAGATTTGAGGAGGTGACCAAAAGAAGACTCCTAGATCTTAAAACTCTAAAGATTCTATCTTGGTTATTTCAGGGGAGACATCATGGATGGCTGGCAGATGTGGTGATGGCCCATAGAGAAAGGAGATAATAAATGTGTATAAGATTCAGCAAGTAGAGGGCAGAGTGCAGAATAAACCAGATTGGCTCATCTCTTCTTAGGCTGACAACCAAGTTTTTTTGGCGTAAAAATCATGGGGAATTCAAGTATCTGCTTGGCTGATGCTTAGTGGTAAACTGAACTCATGGTAGAATTTCAGTGTTGGTCACCCAAAGAGCAACTTAAGCATATTCGAATTTAATACAAAATCGGGTTGTAGGTGTAGGTGGGCTTCCTTATAAGTCATGGTAAGATCAATACGTATGACATGTTCTGAAGGAGATGATCATGTCTGCAATTTCTCCATCTTGGTGTTTTCTGTGTAAGCGTATTGAAGAGACTTTAGATAATTTGTTTCTTCATTGCAGGGTGGAGATGAAATTCCGAAATTCTTTAGTTCAGGTTTAAAGTTTATCACGGGTTGCTCTTACTTCTAGATGTTTTGCTGCTTTACTACCTTTGTGATTTGTTGGGAGTTTGTAAGGTTCATTGCTGGATAATTTGGTTGCCAAGGAATATTAGAATTCTTTCTAAATCCGAAGTCTTAGTTAAGTTCATTCTGGCCTTGGGCTGTCTTAAATCAGTCAATTTTTCCCTCATTGATTGTGTTGAATTGGAAAGATTTCCTGGGATCTTGATTCAGTTTTTTTTTTTTTCCCTTCATCTTGAAACTTTTGTTCGTAAATTATTTTTGATTTAAGAAAGCTTACTGTTTCTTATTAAAAAAATGGAAATATTTCCTAGGGAAATATATATATATATATTATGTATATTTATTTTAGTTTTAGTTTTTTCTGTTTGGCTTTTCTCTTGTCTCTGAGGATGCCTTGTCTTCTTTCCGTTGTAATTGATTTTATCAATATAAGTAATTTACTCTTATAAAAAAAAAAAAAAAAAAAAAAATTTTTGGGGATGTCTTTCCTGTTAAGTTGGAACCTGGAAGACAGTTTGTAATTTTGTTTTCTTTGTTTCTGTGGTCTTTTTGTCTCTTCTTTTGAGGGGGAGTATTTTTGGTCCTCCTGATTGTTTTTTGTTCTTTGTTTTTTTTTGTTTTTTTTTTGTTTTTTAAATAAGAAAAACCCTTTTCATTGGTAGTTAGTTAATCAATTACAAGGAAAGAGGATGAGGGATCCTCAGAAAGAAGAAAAGGAAGGTCCTCCTGATTTTATTTGTTTATTCCCTCATCTCATCAATAGAATTGTGTTGGTTGAAAAGCTCTAATTTCTGCTATGTAACATGTGCAGAGAGAAGAGAAAAAGAGAGAAGTCATGGAAGCTGAAGTTAGTCTTCAAAGGATCCAAATGAAATATAAGGTATGCATATTTTTATTATTCTCTTTTGTGGCAAAAAACATAATGATCCTAAAGCTTTCACTTTTACATGTACCGTTTTAAAATATACAACTGGAGATATTGTATCAGAAGCATTGTTTTCATGCAAGTTAGGAATCTCTGTTTCATGCTTATGTTGTCGTTTGTAAGATTTGATGGCAATAAAAAAGAATTCTTTCATGCTTACATTATGGTTTGAAGATTTGATGGCAATTAAAACAAAACGATCCTAAAGATTTATCTTTTACATATAACCTTGGAAAATGTACTACTGGAATTATCGTATTGTAGCACTAGATTTTGTATGCCTTCTGAAATGGTTATTATTAAGGTGGTTCGAACTTGTACATTTTAGTATGTGGTGGTTCGAATTTCTACTCAAGCCCACGGGATCTTTGAGTTAGCATAAGCATGAGAGCAAAAACAAATTTTGAAATAGCCATGTGGTTTAAATTTGGTATAATTTAAAAACTGTTTTGTATGGTGCGTGCTTTCTCATCAATTCCAGCATGAAACGGAGCTTATGGAAGATGGCTTGGCCCTTTCTGGATTCCCACCATCAACTTGCAAATTTGGTTCGAGTGAGGAAGAATTTGTAGATTCAGATGACATTGCAATTGCGAACAGCCGTCCTGGTACACGGCCTTCTGCAATCCCAAATCAGCCCTTGGTGGAACCCAACTTAGTTTTGGTACCCACTGGACATGTGAAGCAAGAGTTTAGGCGGCGTCAAGTGCCACAAGGATGGCTTCATAAAATGGTATTCACTTATTCTTTTCCTGTCTAATTTGAATCTCTGATTGCTTGTATAAGCATCACGTTTACCCCTGAATTTTTTCAACAAAGAAAAAAAACCCTGGAATCTGAATTGTCATTGGGTGTGCTTAATGCAGGATCCCCTTGAACCAGTATTGTTGTTCACGAGACCTCTAGTTCCAGAAAAGCTGGCAGCTGCTGGCATCTCATTACCCCCAGAGCCTTCAACAAAAGATGAAGTTTCTCCACAACCATGTAAATTTCGCGGAAGAATTGGCCGCGGGGGTCGATTAATCTTCGATAGATGGAACCCTTTGATGCACACACCTATCGACTACGGCAATTCCTTTTACATACCTCCTAAGGCCAGGGCTGCAACATATAATTGATTTGCAGTCATTCTGCTTTTGCTTGTTCTCCATCTATTGCAGGCAAAAACCGATGAAAATAGGTCCATACTTTATTTCTGCGATCTGATTGCAGGCGGACCTGCTGGTATGGTGGGGTTGGATTTTTTGGGGGGACTGACTTGGATAAATGTAAAGCATGGAAGGTGAATCTTTCTCGGCATTTTGGCTCCAAATAAAGAACAGGGCTATTTTTGTATTTGTAGAAGGGCCGGGTGGTGGCTGTTCCTATTAATTTTTGTTTAGTGTATCCGTCTGAATGTCCTTTTTTTGCCATATTTGTTTCATCTCTGTCTCCTCTCTTGTTGCTGTATTATAGTTGTCATTTAATCTTCGTTTAAATCTCATAATGGAAGAAATTTATTATGAGAGAATCCAAGCAGGAAAAATACCACATGATTCGAGTGAGAGTGAAATTATCGTCCGTGTTCTATGGAGCGTTATCCTGCATTTTTTTATTCTAAGAGAAAATTACAGAACTTGTTCTTAAGAGTGTATTAACTTGGATTTTTATTTTTTATTTTTTATTAATATTTTTTTGTTAGTATAGTTGTTTGATTAAAAAGGTTATTAATAAAAAATAAATGATAAAAATTTGGATCGATACACTTTTAAGAAATATGTCTCTCTTCCCCAATGCGACAAGAAGAGTGACAAGAAGTAAGAAAGAGAGACGGTAAGAAATAGGTATACATTTAAAATTTATGTTAGTAAATAATTAATTCACTAGTGTATAGAAATTAATAGGCTTTTTATATTTTGACTTTTTTCAATTTTCAATTTATCTTTTATCTTTTTATTTTTTATTTTTTATTTTTTAGTTATGTTGGAGTTACTGTATGGTAAATCTTGAATTTATCATTAGAAAATTAGAAATTTAGAACACATTGTGTTTATTTATAAATCCTAAATTTACATGATAAGTGCAAGATTTATAATTAAAATATAATATATGTTGATTATGTTCCTCCATAAACCCTAAACTTACAAGTAAATTCATAATTTACTGTTACTAAATTATATTAACTTTACTACTATAAGAAAAACATTATTTAATTCTACTCGTAAATCTTTTACGAGAGTTAATTCAAAATTTACTATCAATGTAAAATGTGTTATTCATAAATCTATCCAGAATTTGTCAGATTCTTTCGTACTTATCAGCTGTGGTATACAATAATATAACATTAGATAAGAGCGGATAACCAAATCAAGTGAACAGGGACAATTAGTAAAAAGCAACTCAACCAGTTGCGAATGAGTTGTTTTTTTTTTTATATATGTATATTATATAATATATATATATTGCGCCCATTTTCAGCTTATAACTGGGGTAGCATCAGCATGTCAGAATAGATAGCCAAATCGAGTAAACAGGGACTGGGAAAAACCACCTCAACCTAGAGATGAGCAACTATTTTGATATTTCCCATTTTTGGCATTTAATAGGATGTAATATAATGTACAACGTACAGATTAATAGAATCGGATTTCAAAAACTAGGAAACCAAAGGCCTATCTACTCTTATTTTCTGTACATAATGAATGACTTTCGATAGCAATGGAGCTATATAATTAAGCTCCTCAATTACATCATATATATAAACAGAAAAAAAGGAGGAAAAATAAATTCACATTGTGACCATAGGGTTTATTTATGGCATGGTTCAAAGGCTGCTCTTTCGTGATAGGAATTCAATCAGTCCACCAACATGCAGAAATGACCAAATATCCTCACCACGTTTCTTGTATGCATGTGTGGATCGATGGTAGTCTAGTCTATCACACTCCGTGAAGAAATTCAGTTCTTCGAAGCATGCAATAGGCAAGCCCTACTCTGAATCTCGACTTTATTTCAAAGAAAATTTTATACAAAATTGGTGAGTAGACCGTGTTGCCATAATGAATTCATGTTAGGAATAGATATTTTACTTCACTGGCCTACTTGATACCACTTCGGTGCAAAAGATATCTGCGGCCCCAGCCTTGATTCTTTCCCCGTTCAATTGCAGACGACAAAATCTCTAACAAGTTCTCCGCATCTTCTGTGTGTTCTAGTTCCAAGTTAGTTTGAATGAGGGGGAGAGTAGGACTATTCCAACGCACAGACGTTCCACTACCTCCTTTTGCCCGCTGATTTTGCCGCGATAACGTATCTGAACTGCTTCCGACAATGTGAACCACTCCTTGATGACTATCAGCATGCATTACAGTTTCTAAACCGATTTCTGACTCTACTACCCACTCCAAATCAGCAGGAATACCTCGAAACTCGGGCTTGCCCAAGTCCACTAAGCGGGAGCAGCTCACAATTAATATGAGCCTCTCAGTGATGACGACAAATTTACCAGCTTGTTTAAGTGCCTTGCATGCGACCAAGACCTCATCCTTGAGCTTCACGCCATCACCGGCCTCTGCAAGTACAGATGTTCCAAGAGCTTCTTCCCAAGAGTAGGGTCTGAGAGGAGCTTCCCTGCTGAGAGGCCTTGGAAAACGGACCCTGAATCTTTGTCGTGCCATCTGGTATAGTCTACTCCGATTTCTGATGCTCTGAGCAGTTTTTCCAGTAACTTGAAGAATACTAGCAGCTGGCTTTGCCACAAGACCCGTAACACCTAATGCTATGCCTGAGCCGTAGACATGATATCACAAGAGAAACAATTAAAAGCTATGCAATTGCCACTGACCATCTGTCATCTCAAAAACATATATTGTCTCTTCATAGGATTTGATGATCATAAATAAAATAAGGCACAATTCTAAAGGGTTGTTTGGTTGGGGGATTCATACCCCGATTCGAATCATGATTCATGGTTCGCTACAGTATTTTCTCTCACAAAAAATACACGTAAATCGAAAATAGTTCTAATCTTATGATTCTAATCCATGAACCAAACGTCTCCTAAGTGATCCATACTAGCACTCAATTCTGAGAGGAGGGAGGGGGGGAAATAGCAATCAATTACCCGATAATACACCAGGGAGACCATGTTTCTCAGCTCCTTTAATTGGTGATTGAAGGAGACCAGTGAGTCCCTGGAAGAAAAAGGTCAAAACAATTGAGTTATATAATGGTAAACGAGTCTTGAGAACTTCTAGGATATGTTCTATAGTGAAACATATAAATTTGTTCATCCTTCACATCAAAGATCTCAAGAATGAAATTTGTCATGAGACTTGGTTGATAATTGTAGAAAAGGGTATCGACCCTTATGTAAAGCAAGGAAGTTTATTTACTTTCTTTATTTAGAAAAGATTAGGTTTAGATTTAGTTTCTGATTTTTCCGAATTAGTTATTGTGATTTATTCACTTTCCTGTTTTGTTGGGATTCCTAATTAAAAGGAATTTCAGTTTCCTACTTTGGTGGACTGGGATGCCAGCCACTCGGTTAGCTATATATTAGGTTGTAAATCTCTTTTCAATTCAAGAAGAATAATTCCGCAATTTCTTCAATAATGACTAGGAATACCTCTAAAACTTCATTTATCACGCCTTTAGAATGTGATGCAACGCCCGTTTGTAGCTGTTCCATCCCGGAAACCGCCTGGTCATCGAATGTAAATGCAACAATACCCTGCAAAGAGACGTTTAAATTAAATAAAATTTGTGAAATTCGTCTACGAACAATTCCCCTGCCTTTCCATTTACTGTCCCTTATATTATAACAAAATTTCTCGTTCCTCAATAAAAATAAAAGAAATTATACAGATGTTATTAGATGTAGAATTACCTTGTGCGCGGCTTTGCTGAATTGCGTAGCAGCATCACTTACAGCATAGACTGTGTTCCTTAAAAGACTAGTGGTGCCTTGTGCCATACCAGTTATCAATCCAGTAGGGCTCTGTCAATGGAATTGTTAATCCTCAACACGATGAAAGTGGGGGAACATTTCAACCAATTGGAATAAGTTTTACCTGGAAAATGGTTCTGGCAGGTACTGATAAGAAATCTCTGATGCCAAGCCCAAGAGTCCTTGCAAATCCCATGGGGTTACCTATGACACCAGCAGAGCCAAATACCTGTAGTTGAAAGAATTAGATAGCACACTTGTTTGCCCTCTTAATGGAAACAAATAATCCATGCGTGTGGCTAAGATGTATTATAATCTTAACCACAGAGACATATACTTACAAGTACTGACTTTACTAAAAAACCAAGCAGTCTGAAGCCAACAATAAAAGACTGCTATTTGAGTCCACATAAACAGAATTTTGCATAATGATCAAGACTGAATGCTTAAAATGTCAAACTGATGAACTTCACCATATTGAAAAGGTTTTATAATTGTTAGATTCTTATTCTGAATTGTTAAAAAGAATCAGATTTATGTCTAAAATACTGTTTATAATTGTTTGATTCTTCTGAAATGCTAAAATAATTAGATTAACATCTAGACTAACTAAGGTGAGACCAATCTAGCACGCTGCTCACATTGAATTATGGAGATATAGAATGCTTAATATCCCTATCGGTTTCCATGTAACTGATAATCAACTTCCCAAGAATGCAATAGTAGAAACTACAATGCTATTCGAATAACATTAAGTCATGCATTTTCTCATTTTTGCTTCCTTTGCCCAAGCAATTGATCCAATTATCCACGTTGCTATGACAGATGAAATAGAAACAAAATAAGACCCCTGAGCCCTGTGTTAAATAAGTATTCATCACATTTTAGGATTGACTGATTCAAGGCAACAGTTAAACAAAACTATAATAAAATTTGGGAGCTCTCTGCTAGATATTTTAGAAAGTTCAGCAGTAGTTGGATTTGAGTTTATAGTTTTACGTAACTTTATCATTTGAGGTTGAAAACCACTGAAAAAAAGAACCTGCAACTCAAAATGGTTTACAACCAAAGCTAGAGATTAAATATCAGGTTCAAGAAAGGTGAAACGCTCAAACCAATATATTGCCTCAATTAAACATCTGGTAAAGGGATTAAAAATTGTTTATAATTATTAAGCTTTCATGCATTATTTACATTTTACCTTGTACATTTCATGAAGAAGTTGCCGAGTGCAATGCCTTATAAAGATCTCCTGAATGGATTCCCAGCTAGAAATGTGATGTGAAATGGTCAATCGCTTAAGATGAACTTGTGCTCCCTCAACATCAGCAAGCGCCATGAGACCTCTCTGTAATTGATTGTTATTAACAAATAAAATCGTAATAATGTAACATTTGGAACGTCTACAAAAACCTAAATTACTGCTTTTAAGTCTATTCCTCTAAAATAGTAATAATGTAACATTTGGAACATATAGCATCTTTTTTGAATTATCATGTACCAATTAGAAGCAACAAAAAAAAAAAAAAATTGCCCATCTAAGTTGTCCATATCACACTACTACTCCACTAAGACAGACGTGGAAAATGGGAAATATTTGGAACGTCTACAAAAACCTAAACAACTGCTTTTAAGTCTATTCCTCTAGATTATTTTCAGTAGCAAAAGAGAATGTATATTATTTCTATACCGCGTTCGCTTTTAAGAATCCTTCTCTCTCTCTCTCTCTCTCTCTCTCCTTTCTTTTTTTTTTTTTTTTTTGGGTATAGTGCAGTAAAGCCTTGAACACCAATTCTAGGGGGAGGAAAACTTACATGAACAAGAAACTCTCCTGATGTAAGGATCCCCTTTCTAAGTATCCATGGAGCACTAGAAAAGCTGCGACCAGAAAATTTGTCATTTTTCGGACCTATGCTTTAAGGTGAAAATATGGAAATAAGGCGTTCTCTCTAGGGGATTAGTGATCAACCTCAAGGTCAAATTGACGGGGCTTATTTCAAACACCTCTACATAGATTTTCCTTTGTCTTTTAGCCAACAGGTAAATTTGCTGCCAAGGAGCTCCGATTGGAATTACCAAAGGTAGTGATTTGCTGTGTTTGTTATAGTCATTAAACACAGGAACATTGATCAAATAACTATTGTCCTCCCCTGCTTTCTGATGATACTCAGAAGTCTGAGCATGTGAAGAGGACTCCACCAAACTAGCATCAGAGATGAGAGGAGATGATAAAGGGTCCGATAAATGTACAACAGTACTCTGAAACCTTGATGTTACTTCTTTGATGAAGGCAAACAAGCTTAATATCAGCTCTTGCCCAAGCTCAAGGTGGAAATCTGCTACTCTGCAAGCATTGGAAAAACCATTAACATCGGGAGTAACTAATGAAATTGTACTAAAAGCAGCAATTGACAAAAAAAAAAAAAAAAAAAAAAAAAGCAATTGACACCTTAAGGTTATGTATTCAAATGAAACCAATGAGAGATCCTTTTTTCTCCACTTTGAGACAGCAATGGAGAACACAGGTTCGTAAGAACCATCAGAAGTTCTTTGCAATATCCTTTCAGCTTGGTTGCTTTTGCATTCACGATCAAAAGACAAGAGGACGGGATATGGTGAAGAGCGCAGCTGGTTATCTGCAATTGACACCTTAAGGTTATGTATTCAAATGAAACCAATGAGAGATCCTTTTTTCTCCACTTTGAGACAGCAATGGAGAACACAGGTTCGTAAGAACCATCAGAAGTTCTTTGCAATATCCTTTCAGCTTGGTTGCTTTTGCATTCACGATCAAAAGACAAGAGGACGGGATATGGTGAAGAGCGCAGCTGGTTATCTATTTGCAATGATGAGATTTGAAAGGAGAGCTTTTGTTGATCCAAACTCTGCAGAAGAACAACTCTTATGTTCTGTGCACAAGCAAAAAGCAATTCCTGCACAAGTACAAATAAGGAAAGTGTATAGAGCAGTTCTTAGTTTTTGATGAATTCTCTCTGGCTGAAAGTTTCCATTTTCTGAGTAGAAAGGTGAAAATTTTAAAAAGGAAGAAACAATATAAAAGAAGCAGAACCATAGCTACATATTTACATACCTGAAGGTAAATGTTAATCAAGGAAATACCAAGATGTGGAATTACTACTGAGATTTGTTCCTTGTTACCAACAACCTTGTCTTGTTTCTGCTCCTGTTTCTTTTTCTCTCTTAAATAGGGGCCACTTGAATTTTCCGTATCATTCAAAATATGGTAATTTGAGTCGATAACACGGAGGACCTGTGACAAAGGAAAGCGATTGCTGAGCTACTAGGATTCAGATGCCCCGTAGATATATCATGCCAAAGTATCAGGAATTTACCTTCGTAGCTCCTTCAGCATGTACCGATAAGACTAATTTTCTCCCAGGTTTCTGAAGACAAAGACATACTTGAATAAGATATAGATCTCTCCATTTCCGTGCACTTAATTAGTGGTCAGAGCACAAAACTATCCAAGAAGACACTTAAGCAAAAAAATTATTCATCACTATATTATGATACCTCGGAAGATGGTGGTAAGTCAACAGGAATGTATTCTTTAACCTCATCCAGGGAATACGAGCCTAAAACACGCTCACCAGGTACCTTTAAGTTCCAAAAACAAAGAGTTCTGAGTAAACATAAAAGCTAGGAAACATTCTATATCTATACAAGAGAAGACAAAGTTTACCTCCACTGTGAGGCGATGAGGATAACATGGTTCATCCCAAGCATAAGGGCATGATGTGTATGAATGAACAATAGTCTCAAAAGTATCACATTTTTGTTGGAAGATCCTTAGCCTCTAAAAAGTGGCAACAAATGACGTGGAAAGAAGCTTAGTCAATGATATAAGAAAAAAATAATAATAAAATGTCAGCTTTAATACATATTTATTTACGTAAGAAAGAAAATTCTCAAATCATGCTTCTCTCTCTCTTCTCTTCTTCATTTTTTTTTTGAATACAAATGGAGCATAATAGGTGTGAAGTTAACAATACATCACATAAAATCTAATGACTAGCATTTCCCAACTTGAAACCTAGCTTGGTATCCTTTGTCCCAGGTTGTTTTGGTTGGGCTGGTGGACCATTGGTCCTCCTTTATCTTACACAATTGAATTTCTCTTGAACAAAGTTTATATTCGGTATTAGATAAAAACACAATAATAAACTACTGTTATTCTAAGAGAGGGAGACACGAAATGAATTGAAAAATCAAGAAACCCACTTCACTTATTTATGTACGTACTGTTGATCCAAATAATTGGAGAAACCTAAATACAAACTTTACCTCAAATAAAATTCCAACTATTTTGGTAAATAAGTATTTTGAAGATAGAACAACTGAACAATATACTAACCTCCTTTGAGAAATTATCAATTTTGTAAGGCATATAACCTGTATCATCATCCGATAAGAGAATCAACATTGTTCCAGAATCACCATGGAGGCTTCCAACAACCTTCTCATCTCTAACAGAAACATCAGCATTTTGCATTTCCACTCGTATTACACTTGATGATCCAGACACATAATTCTGCATTTTCACTTGAGTATCTCCAAGATGATCTGGTAAAAAGCTTCCTGACCATTGCCATCCGGGTTCATTGTACCGAACAGAAACAAGTAATTCCCTGGGCGATGCCGGAAATTAAATATATACAAAGAAGAGAGAAAACTATGAGGGCTGACGAGTAATAAAAGGATACCTTGAAATAATGAAAAAGATAAATGGACAAATAAGTTAAATGAACAAAAAGGTTAAAACATTCCAATTACTAGACAAGAAGTAGCAATAGTGATTCCACGTAACTTATTTAAACTATATAAAGCCTTTACCTCAGTGGTCGAGGCCTCATGTGAATTGGTGCATTGTTAAACTATCAAGTCCAATTTTGGGGACAATAAAACAAGGATAGATCTGACTAGGTTAGTCCTACCCATCCTTGGCACTTCAACCACAACTAAACAACCAGTTTCCCAGTTTGGTAGTTTAATAAAGCGAATAAAGAACTCAAATCCCTCAGAAATATATTTCCATGGATTCCTAAAGGAGCCTCTAGATACAAGGTTAGAATTTGAACCATTAGAATGTAACTCATAAGTCACATATTTCTAATGTGTAACGACAATTGCCCAACTAAACTATTTGCTTCTCCAAACTCATCATCATCTTTCTTTTACGCAACCACATTACAAGCTCCTCATACCTCTAGCTCACTGTTAGTGCAAACAATAATGTCAATTAAATCTTTAATACATACTAGGTTTACAATAACAAGTAAGCCGAAAAGTGTAAGTTTCAGACGGCATTTTGTTAATAAATGAAATTAAGTTTCAAAGATGCAATGACCTATACAAATGTTCTAAATTTGTTGCCTGAGACAAATTCAATTCATCCTCTTAATTTTCAAAAACTAGCCATCTGTAATGAAACGAATGCCTAAATTTAATGCTTTGGAGACTAATCTAGTTTCTAAAAGGGTATGAGATCTCAAGAAGGTAAGACCGTAGCAGGGCATATTTATTTAATAGCATTAAAAACTATTTTAAGGTGAAGTAAGTGAACAAAGAGATCTTATGCTAAACTATTAGTAGACTAAAAGTTTTAAAGTTAGCAGGAACAGTCTCCAGATGCCTTGCATATTATTTAAGGCAACTACCTAGTTGTGTCCATCCAGTGAAGATGAGAATGTTCCCCCATGCGCAAACGGAAAATGTGATCAGTACCCTTTTGCTTAAAGCATAGGTCTTTACTGCATGCATTACTGATAACATATCTGAAAAGTGAGGAAATATAATGAGAACAAACATAATACAAATGTGAAGAACGCAGCAATATGTCGGAAAGGTTACCTAGGCTGAAAAGTAATAGCACTTGACCGCCCAGTTAGTGGCCCAGCAACCACGCTAGATGTCAAAGAAATCATAAATGCAGCATTTGGTAATGATTGAGGAACAAGAACAGTAGTGGAACCACTAGGCGGGACAAGAAAAAATGGGCTTGACCACACCAAATTTGACGTGTTTTCTGGAACATAATCAGGCTGAGCTCTACTTAACATAACCATTAGCTCATTAATGGCAGAAAAGGGAACAGGGGAGTACATGTCCGCCCCAACTTTTCCACGATCATAGCCCATAAAGTTGTAATTCCTCAAATCACCACCTGAAGATGATAATCTATTCTTTGAGCTGTTAAATGAAGCATTTTGAGTCTTGTAGTCATTTTCGCTTGATTGTTCATGAAGACTTTCTTTGGAATTTTCTGAGATCAAAGAATTGTAACGAAACCTTTGCTTCTGAGGATTAACACCATTTCTAGTTGAGATAACATGACTTGAGGAAGAACATTCTATAACATGTGGATTTGAAGCACGTGAACCTTCTATAGAAGACACCAGATGGAGACCATCTATTGTCTGATATAACTCTTGCTCACCCATATCATACGAGGAAGAAATGACAGAAGGAACTCTGTTCATTTGACTTCCATATTCTGAGATCAAGAGAGGAAAACCAGTGCAATTATATAACAGAAAGGGAACATAAATTGAGAGCTCCCTGGCACCAGAGAATGCATCCGTTGTCTTTTCAATTGTAACATATGTTGGACCTGAATAAACCAAAAACAGACACCATTAAAATAATCTATCTGGCACATAGTTAATTGAACAGAAAATTCAAAAGAAGAATGATTACCAATTGACTGGTGTGAATCAAAAGCAATGACCTCCAATACTGCAAACTTTGTACCACTGAATTTGGCCATCGTACAGAATGTTTCTATACGTGGGAACTTCACAGTTGCTGGTTTGGACCCACAAAAACTAATCTCAAACCCCAGGTCATGCGAAGGATCAACATAGTGAAAGAAAGTTTCAACCTATGACATTAAATAAAAATATTATTTTTTGGGTGCAATTAGGTTCCATAGAAATAGGAAGAAAATGCTAAAAGATATTAACACAACTACATATTCAATCAAAATATATTTGCCCACATAGCGCCACAAACCTCAGAAAGAAATGCAGTGTGGGTCACCCCACCACTTTCAATTGCCAATGATACTTCCTTGGGTAGATAGTTTTTCACCACAAGAGGAGTACATAGAGTCAACTGATGAACACACCACTTATTCGGCTCATCCAACTTTGATTTTTCACAGGAACTTTTAGCATATGTATTTAAATCACTCTTGGTATGACAAGGCAAGCTGACATTTCTAACTGACATGACACAGCGAAAGGGATCATTACTAGGATGAGCTGGATAGCAAACAGAAGATTTAAGAAATCCGACTTTAGTCTCCTGCAAAAGAAGGTTTGAAAGGTTATAGACTTCACTCCAGAGGTAGGAATTTCCAATTGGACGCCACCTGATCCGACCAGCTTCCGCCAGATGTAGAGGCAGAGGCAATTCCTGGCCTGGGTAAATTGGATCTAATATCTGAAATGGAAATTTAACTAATAAGTTTCTATTGTGCAGTCATAGAAGCAAGAAGTTATTTAGGCTTCGTTCATTTCACCAATTTGAGTTTTCAGTTCTAAGTTTCTATAGTTAAAAGCTCTCAGAAAATGTCACGTCTAATTTTTTCTGCTACAGTTAAAAGCTCTCAGAAAATGTCACGTCTCAGCTCGAATTGAAAACTTGAATTCGCGAAGCGAACGAGGCCTTAAATAGGCTTACATGAAGAAAAATGTTTCTGTCCAAACCTTTGGGGATACGCCGAATGGAATATCAAACCGCAGCTCCAATGGCGTTGAAGTAGCATTTGAAAGGATAACCTGGATATATGAAGCGTTAGTGGCACTTCAAATTCATTAACAATCTTAGCATAGATGTGGGTTTTGCACATACCGTGGAGTATATTCGTATAAACTTGCTATAGCGGTGCGCTGAAACGTCAAACACAACAGGAACTTCAAAACCACTTCTAGTGTTGGTGCTATTATCTCGGCCATTTTCATTATATGCCTTGTAAAAATCAACCTCAAAGTAGGTAAGCCCTACACGCATAGAAATAGGAGCAAAAGGTGCTGATGTTCCATCAAGTTGGATGCTGATATAGTGATGAGCAACCCCACTTAATTTCTGCTCAGCAAGTCTGTCAGAGGAGTGGGTTGGCCACACATGAAAAAGTTCCTCCAGGGTATCATTAATATATAATGGAATTGAAGCACCTGGTTCGACAGACTTCACGTCCATTTCGGTGACACCAGAGTCATCAATTGGCCCTTTATAAATATGATATACTAGTGGCAGAGAAGTCAAATTCTGGAGCACGTAGGGTGCATATCTTCCATCATACATATGTTTGTGTGGAGGATTCAATAATTTTTGGCTTTCAGGAACATTATTTGATTCAACTGCATCCCAAGAGTCCTTAATCATGTCAAATGTCCTGAAAACGCACTGAAAGAGACAAATGAAATAATTAGGGAAATTACAGTAATTTTTTAAATAAGAAACATATCGTTTTCAATTACAAAGAAAGAGAGAACAATATATCCTCATAAAACAGTACATAAAAAGTAAATGCAATCTGAAGAAAAACATAGATATCAGAACTAGACTTATACAGTTAGTCTCCACCACATCTTTCCAATTTAGAATAATCAAAGGAAAGGAAATGTACAATCAGTTGATGTCCACAAAGATGAAAAAAAGTTTTTCTTTCTCAAAAGATCCCTTGTCTCCAACACCCAGTCCTCAAAAATCTTTGAGTTTCTTTCCATCCAGATGGCCCACAACATTCAGAGCACAATATTTTTCCACACAACTTTAGCCATTTTATTAGAATCAATCAGTTTTCCATTTGAACTTTACGAAAGTGGCAACAAAAAATAAAAGGACACCACTTAACCATCAGAGTCTCAATTGATTCGTCTCATTAGTCTAAAAGGTAAGACTCATTGAGGGCAATAAGGTAAAAGTACATTGGATGTTATGTCCTTGTCTTTTTCTTTTTTCCTTTTCTTTTTCAGGAACAAACCCTTAAAGGCTATTTGGTTCCTCCTTTCAAGTAATTGTTTCAAGTTATGCATTTTTGTAAGGTCGTAGATAATCACAAACCGTGAATATATATATATATATATAATGAAAAAGAAACAAATTAAAGTAAAGATAAAAAAGGAGAAGTACAAAGAGAGGATGAGATTTCCTCAACAACCAAAACAAAGCCTAAGAGAAGTTAGGCTATAAATAAGGAGCCCAACTCCAAACTAAATCCGATAAGCCCTGATTACCAAACTGTTTATCACGGACACCCACAAGGAAACCCAAAATTTGACTTTATCCCACAAAACAATTTAATCCTCCTCTACATCATTAAAAATCCGACAATTCCTTTCTACCCAAATACCCCAAAAGATAGCTAATGAGGCAAATTTCCACAAAATTTTACCCTTAGGGCTAAAGCTAAGGGGAAGAGAGAACTAGAGTAAATCCCTGCAACCTAGGTGTAACCCATGAAAAGCCTAGCTCTTTCAATAAAAGCAACTAGATGTAGCATGAACAATGGAGAAAAAGGTGAGCCGCTGTTTCTCCCATTTTCTTGCAAAGGATTATATCAGATGAGAGGTTTTCAACTCATTGTCGTGAAGTGCAAGTTAAGTGTAATATGTTTTGCTTCAGATTCAGAAAAATTAACATCTTTCCTTCAAAACGACGGTGAAATAAAAAAATCAAAGTTTTGGTGAATAATTGCTGTGTTTTCTGGTCTGGCTTAAGGCCCCGTTTGGAATGGCTTAAAATAAGCAGCTTTTGGCTTATTTAGTGCAAAGCAGCTTTTGGACGTGTTGGATAGACTTATTCATTGGGCTTTTGACTTTTATAAGCTCTCTTGAACAAGCCACCTCCTTGGTGCTTCGTAAAAAAGAGCTTATGAAAAGCTTTTTTATTTATATTTTTAACCTTTTATTGGTGAATAACAAGTTAAAAATTCCATCAAATATCCTTGTGTTCATTGCTTTTATAAAACTAAGAGCTTTTGACATATTTAACCTAACAGGTTCACAAGCTCTTCTGAAATCAAAAGGCTCTTTCCATGCACCATCCCACCAGTAAATAAAAGCCTTAACTTATGCTTCTCTTCTTCTACTGCTTGAAAGTAATAGCAAAAGCTATTCCAAATGGGCCAAAATGGTGAACAAAATAGAGTTAAAAGAAGAAAATATAGTTTCCCTTAATTCACTTATTGATTACAAACTTGCTTCTATCTCATGCAACAATGGATAATTGACCTTAATATACCATGTTGGGACAGCTAGTAATAAAAAGCTATAACCAAGACTATGATCTGAGACCATTTTTTCATGTTCCCACACAAAGATATTACAGTTCTTGCATAAAAACGTGTCTTCAGTCATGTAAAATTTTCTTGAGATATAGGACGTATATCAAATAATTACCTCCATTCAGTTCCCAAGGAAGACTTAGCAAATGATTAGAAACATGCTAAAGCTATGCTATTTAAAGTTCGTGATGACAAAGGATATGAGTACCTCAATGAGGGGTTCCGTAACATTTAAGTTAAGCTGTGCAGTTGATTTGAGCTGGATATCTGTCATAATGGAGCTATTAAGACTCATTTCTTGTTTCCTTGTCACATTAATTTCAAACTGCCAAGGCTCGATGAAAGGCTCCCAAAAGACCTTAAAAATTAGAACTAAATGAGAAAGGGATATTATTCATATTGGAAAATAGAAGGTAAATAATAATCCAAAGTAACATACCTTATGAATGTTATTGTAGCTCACTTGGAACTCACCACTAACCAACCCTTCTAAGTAGCTTTCCATCATATTAATATACAGGACGATGTTCCTCACAAGAATTTCAAACAGTGGTCCACTGCAACTCCACTTGATTCAAGGAAAATAGACTCTTAGCACAATACAAACCATAGTTGAAATAGGATGATTAAATACGAGTGTTTAAAATCAATAATCAATATCTTTTTTATAAGGAAACATCCTTTTTAATTGACGATGAAATCAATGGCAAAGAATTGAGGACAAGGCATCCTAAACAAGCAAAATAAAAACAGACAAGATAAAATAAACGAAACAAAATGCTAACCAAAGACACTCAAACGCGACATTTAGCCGTCCATCAAAGAGAAGTATAATAAATGTAAATCTTATGGAAAGAATTCAATGGATGACTAATTAATCAGAGAAGTGCAAAGGGGTGTTTGTTTTAAAGAGTATTCGATACATGGTGTTTCTAAGGCAACAGGTCCTAAACCTCTATTGTCAAGTCCTCCTCAGTGCAAGCATATAAGAATGGTATTTCTAAGGCAAGGTGATCCAACAAAAATGAAAAGATCTAAAGATAGATTTCCCTGCAAGAGTATTTGGCTCTTCAAAATTTCCACAAACTATATTTTTAACGTCCTTTTCTCTTATTTTTTCAAATGCGGCTTGGGGACAAATATAACCATGGACAATATTCCATCAGCGTAGATAATCATTATAATCAAATCACAGGAGTAAAAAACATGCTCTATTGGAAAAAAAAGAAGAATGAATTAACACCGAGTTAATAAATAAATAAATAAATAAAACCTTCCTCGATTGCCAATTTGTTTATGTTAAATTTGCATCTTTCAGTCCCAAAAAAAAAAGGGAAGAAGAAGAAGTCAAGAGTAGCATGTATCTCCTACTTGTCAATAGCATAGTAAAAAGAATTCATATAGAACTATCTACCTCACTAAGAAAGGAAATGGAACAAACAATAAGAAAAAGAGTAAACAACCAAGAAACATCAGAAGCAGATAAGTAGAAAGAAAAAACGAAAAGAAATACTATATTTTTTTTCCAACAAAAACGGGGGGCACTCCTCATAAAAGAAACTGCAATAATCTGAACAATATACCATATAATAATCAGCATAAAAGAGGATAACATGAAAATAAAAGATGCTTAAGAACCGATGCGAATTCCATACCCTTCCATCACTTAGAAGAAAAGAAACTTTCCTCATATTGACTTTAAAATCAACACCACCAAAAGGAAACTGGGAAGGCCCTGCTTCAGGAATGACGAATGTAACACAGCGCAAAAAATAGAAGAAATTATGAGAAAGCCACACATTTAGATGATCACACTGAAGCTCAACTTTGACATGCACTGGCTGAGTCTTGCCATGAAGTTCAGCATCCAAAACAACATGAAATATCTGAAAAAAGGGCCAAGAAAGAACATTATTGTCCTCACTGAGTGCAATCGTGCCACTCAATCTTTCCATCTTAGTTTTCAATTTTGTACTTCTTCCATCTATAAGTAATCCACTACTTTTACTGTGCATACTAACAGAAATATATTTTAAGTCGTTTCCTCCCACTACACTAGAAGAAGTGACTGGAGAAATATCCCTTTGACCTTGAGCTACTGGAAATTCTCCACATGCTTTGTTGCTGAAATAGATGGGAAAATGAAACGTAACACCGATGTTTTCCAACTTAACAGTCATGACCATAGCATCCTGCTCCGTGTTCCCCGATGAAGGATATGTTGAAGCACCTGAAGAACAGAGAGAGTATGGAGAACCAGTGGATGCTGTATTATCCAATGTGTCAACCTTATAAAGGTTAAAACTCTTAGATGATGTACCCAAGAGTTCAGTTTTGGACAACTGTCCGGCATATGAAACAAACATATCGATCATGTCAACCCAGTCAGACAAGTGTACCCAAATGTCAAGGGATGGAATTGAAAGATATAGTTCATTTTCACCTTGGTTTACTTCAGAAAGAGAAATGTCAAGAACAGATGATGTTAAGGATGGGGAAGTGCACCTTGCTAGCACAATGGAACTAGGTAATGAAAGGAATTCTAGGTAAGAGAAAGTAAGATCTAAACTTGAAAGAAAGTCATTTCTCAAAATTGCAGACAATGTAAGTTGCATTTCAGCCTTAGCAATCAGTTCAGTTGAGCCTTTTGTGAACTGATGAAACTTCATCACCAGTGAATTAACGTGACATCTAACTTCTGTAAGTACAACACTCGAGGCAATAGGTGAGGCTACACTGTTCTGTTTGAAGCACCTTTTCAATTGAAGAAACTCTGGAACATCAGATTTGAAACATTTTGATTGATCAGGAACTAGGGAAAACTGATTCATGACATCCAAGAGTGCCTCAAATCCAAAGAAGAAGTGATCATCTGTAAAGAAAAAAAAAAAGAAAAAAGAAAAGACAATGAACAAGTGTCAGTCTACATATAGTTATATGGATCTGCAGGAAGCGGATGATTGTTTCAGGTATAACAAGATAAGAAGATTAAAAGATGAAGTATATCTGTTAAGAAAGCTTATATAAAATGTAAGTCCTACCTTCAGCCAGAACTTGACATTCTGATATCCTTGACATGATGCATGTGGTTAATGGAGTACTTTTACGAGAGGATTCACTTTCACATGGTAATCTGACCCAGATATCCGCACTTAAGGGTGCCAACAATGTAACATCTGCACAGTTCGCATCTTTGTCTAGACTTAAGCAACCATGATCCTTGAATGACAAGAATGACAGGAACACGTCCCTTCCAAATATATTTAAACAATCACTTCTCTTTGCAAGCTTATCTTCTGGCACCAAGGATTCACATGGAATTCCCTTGAGAGCATTATCTGGACTGCTGCTATTAATAAAACTAAAGTACACTTGTTGAAACTCAGCCTTTAGAAACTGAGGCTCACTGCTTTCCACGGGCAAAATTAAGACCGAGTCCAGTATCTCAAACTTATACACAACAGAACCTTCATTTTCAGCATCAGAACTTTCATGCATTCCATCTCCAGTTTTATTTGAATCGGAACTCCAATCAGGTAATGAGAAATAACCAAGTATTATCGCCAGATATTCAGGAGGTAAAATGCAGTATACATGCTGCAAACTTAACCCTACCTCCAAATGAGAACCTGACAAGCTATGTTTGTTCTTCTGCACACGCACATTTATGATAGGGGACAAATTTGGCAAACAAGGACCCCAGATGAACTCATGGAAGTTCTTTGTCCACCAATCTGAGGTAAGAGTCACACCCTCTAAAGAACATAATGCATCCATGCAGTCCTCATAAACAAATAGCGAACAATTAGAGCTAGGCAGGGTGACAGTACCAACAATACCCGACGCATCATGAAAATGCAGCCTGATTTCGCATAGGTTAAAATCAAAGAAAGATGGACAATTTGCACCTGAACTCCTAGATACATGATATGCCTCTGTTCCAGACGTAGATCTTGATGATCTAGCATGAGTACTGGCACTTTTAGATTCTGTACTCACATTAAAATGTTGCATTCGAATCCTTCTGTCCCTTAAATTGAAATATTTTCTCCAGTCAGAACTAGAATAAAGCAACGAACTCTCAAGATTACCAGGCGAACTAGCATTGGATATTGTAATAAAGGGAAAACGATCTAAAGGAATGCTTGCATGCTCAGGGGAACCGGTCTCGAAGTAGTTTGAAAAACCAAATTTTTGAAAGCCAAAATCAGAAATTGTTTTTGGATCTCCAGCATATACAGAGGAGCTAGAGAAGCTTTCATTTGGGCAAGAAGTACCAGAAGCAGATAAATTCTCAAAAAACCCAGTCAGCAGTCTGATCACATCTGGGTAGCAGTGGATTTCAGCACCATTCATGCATATGGTGTATTTGCAACAAGTTAACGCTGTATCAAGAGCTTTGAAATGTAAGATGATGCATCCTTCACTGAATAAACTTCTATCAGAAAGATTATCACTTCTGTAGCCACGCCCACTATCAATGTCTTGCTGATGTGTGGAAGAGGTAGAAAAATGATTCCCAGATGAAAGCAAAATATGGCCGTCATTTTCACCTCTCAGCTGTGAAGTACTTACATTCAATGCTTTTAAACAAATCCAGCACTCTTCAGATAAGAAAAGAGAATAGCTGCATTTTGTACACACAACATTACATTTGTATATCAGAGATAAGTCTAAAGTACTTAAATATCTATTTCTTCTATTCTATAGTCTTCAAGAAATATAACGGTTTTATTTTTTCTTTCCTTCAGGACCAATCTTTCGCTCTGGTGGTTCACATTATATGGAACTCATCCATATCTCCAGGATGGCATTTCTTTTTGGAGGACATTACCTCCACAATTCCTCTTACAACTATTTCTTGTATTCCCTTATTGATAATCCTTCTTTCCAATCTTTTGAGCCTTTTCATTTTATCTTTCTTTTTATATGGAATGCCCATGTTCCTCCAAAAATTCAGATGCCTAGTTTGCTGGTTTTGCTCAATACTCATGATTTAAAGCATAAAAGACCTTTCCTATCTATTTTTTTCGGCTGGTGTATCTTATACAAGAAAAATGCGAAATCAGTAGACCATTTATTTTTTCATGAGGTAGATTGCTCAAAAAACTAGGGCTATACTTCTTGTTCTAATGAGGTTTAAAAATACGCTGTGAACGATCCTGAAGTGTGTAGGGTTGGTTTCAATAAGGTTGAGCCTAGTGGAGTTCAGCAATTGTGGCCATTTGCTGCACAATTCAGTTGGAAACTAAAAAGGATTTTTTAAGACCTGACAGAAGATCCGTGAGGTTGTTATTCTTGATGAAAATTCCAACAGAAATTTTAATTTTGGCTTTAGAAGAAACTTAAATGATAGAGATTGATCAACTTTCTGCCTTAGTTCATGCTTTAAGTAACTTCTCTTTTAGGCACTGTTGACCAGCGAGTGTGGGTGTGCGATTCAAATGGTTGCTCATGATGTTCCTACTTTCATTCTTTGATTTAACATCCTAGTTTTCTTACTTGAATATTTCAACTTTATTTGGAAATCATGTGCTCGTTTTCAAGTTAAGGTCTTTGCTTGGTTATTTTATCATAGAAAACTGAACACTTGTGATTTGGTTCAAAGAAAACATCCTCAATTTGCACTACCTCCAAGTTGGGTGTTTTGTGCAAGGCAAGTGAAGAATCGGTGGATCACTGGTTTCTACATTGTGATGTGCCACGCTTTTTTATTACTTAGGGCTGCAGGTATTAGTTGGGTATTTTCCTGTGTGTAGCAATAATATTTTTGTGAAAAAATCTTTTGGCTTTGGGACATGTTAGAAAGCACATGCTTTATTAATAGCTGTTAATATCGCTATCATATGTGTTCTCTGGCTTGAATGAAATCAAAGGATTTTTTAGATGAAGGAAATGTCCAGTGAAGATCTCTCTGAGAAGGCGAAATTTTGGACTCTCTTTGGGCGTCGACAGATTCCTCTTTCAAGGACTTTCCTCTTTCTCTGATATGCTAAGTTGGGAAGACATATTGGCTTAGGTTTGGATTTCTGATGCTATGCTGTTTTTGTTGTTTCTTATCTATTCTCGTTGGGGTTATCAGTAATTCTTCTAGGCTTCTTTTTTTTTTTTTTTTGACTTTCTGGTGGATCTCTTGACAATTGCTCTGTTACGTAACCTTTAATTTTAAATTAATTTTTCATTTTCTTGTATTAAGAGGAAAAAAAAAAAAAAAAAAGAAGAAAGAAAGACCTGACAGAAGATCCTGCAGTGATGGGGGATATAGTTCAATTAGGATTGTTTAAGAAGGATTCAATAGATTAAAGATTTCAGGGATTTTGTGCGTTGGATTCCCTTTTTGTAATACCGTTCTTCTTTGGTCTTTGGTGAAAACTGTACTTGCTGTAATTTTGTTTGTGTTTTATCCCCCCCTTTTTTTTTAATTATAACCTAGGGTATCCAGGCCTCTTTGAGCACCTGACTAATCCCTAGGGGTGTGTGTCCCTTTTTTGTTCAATAAATATTTATTTTCTTACCAGAAAAGAAGAGAAAAGGAGAAGGAAAACTTAAATCTATAAATTCACTCCGAGCATACAAACAGCTAATTAAGACTTCAATTTCTTTCTCCTAAAGGGTTAAGTATTTCAAAGATCTTAATACAAAAACATAAGTGCAATGCATGGAAAAATGCGGGAATCGCATAAGACACATACGGTACAACAGTAACAATAAGAGAACATACCAGATGTCTAATTCTTGAAGGACAAAGATGAGTGATAGACTGTTTTCTCCGTCATTTGCAAGGTCAACAAGTAATCTGACTGACTCAAATTTTGCATTGACGCAGAAACCAAAAACAGGAACCATTGCTGCCTTTAATTTGACAGTGGGTGAATCCACAGCTTCAGCGTTTACAGATACAGAGTTTGATTGCACAGTCTGAAGATATGCAATCAATCCCAAAACTGCACCATATATTGTTGGTGAAAAGTACACCTGTAGTGGTGATGCACTAACACAAACCTAAAAAGGAAGAATTGAGAACGTTCAAGTCTGAAGAAAAGTTAAACGAAGCTTCTTTAACACAACTAGTTCACAAATACACACCAGTTCCATGCAAGGAATTCATAAAATACTTTTTTTTTTATAAGAAACAACTTTTATCGATAAAAATCAATACAAGAAAAGGAGATGAGATGCTTCAATTAGAAACTAATTGACCTAGAAGACTCCAAGGAAGAAATCCTCTTTTTCTCTCTGCCTATATACTATATATGTATTTATGATATGGCATAGATAAGGGACAAATAAACATATAGTTACCTCTAATTGTTTCAATATTGATTCATCTGGCATAATGCAACATGTCAACATGATAGAAGCACTACATTTCTCAAAGATAGAGATTGGTTCAGAATGACAATGTGTTCTTAGCATCATCTGCGTGACAATCATTTTGACATTAGTTTTACAGGAAAAAAACAATTATACATAGATAGAACATAACTGATCTCAAAGAAATTGGGGAGCTGACCTCCAAATCTTTTATTTCGACCTCATAGTGAGCATTGAGATATTCAGGTTGGAAGCACATAAAAGAACTGGAGTTCTCACTAGAATTTAATTTTTCCAGAGCATATGATTGTTTACTGTCCTCTGATAAAAGATTTCCTGCAACATTTTTAGTCGTAACAACTACAGCGCCAGCTTCCAGTGACTGTAACATAGTAACAAGTAACACTTTTTATTATCTTCAAACAAGAGAAGGAGAGACAACAAAGGACGGATGACAAGAAACCCTTCGCTAACCAACAAGTAAAACAAAACAAATAGTGCAAACGGGAAAATTCCTAAACTTCTTGGTGGAATGGGTCCAAGGGAAGCCCAGAATTGCACTCTACCCCCACAAAAAGTCACTTTACTAATCAGAAATACGTGTCTCCCTCTCCAACCATCAAACCCAAAAGATGGCCGAGACAGAACTTTTTGCAGACCCCTGCTTGAGGAAGGAAACTTATCTGCTAACAGAGAGACTGGACTTGGAGGAATTGGTGATACCAAGCTTCTTTCAACAATCATAACCATAGTCTCAGCCACATGTCGAGGAAAAGTATTATTAACCTTTTTATTATTAACATGTAACCAAGCAAAAATCTCGTCAAGGAAAATGGTCCCAGATAGTAATTTGGAACATACATAAACTATATGAACATCGAAAGTTGATTGGAAAGAACAAGGTGATGATTAGCTATCAAGTGATGTATAGGAATTACCAAATTCCATTGCTCAGCTAGTTCAGTTTCCCAAGGAACATTTATGACAACATTGTTGATACAAATATCCCAAAACACTTTCTTGTAACTTGATAAAAAGTATCTGCAAAAGATAAAGAACACCGATAATGGCGGAATAGAAAAGATGTCAATTTATATGGATGATCACTCTTGTAGACCTCAACTATTCTTACAGTACAAGTGATTCCTAAATTTACAAGAAAACTTACTCAGCTTTTGATTGCAGTCGGCTATTAGCATCTCTAATCCCATTCAGTGATGAGAGGACCTATTAAAAGGTAATATTTTCAATGCATCAGATCAGAATAGCAAGTAGGAACAGCTTGGGATGAACGAGGCCATCCAATAGCTTATTAAACTGGAAAGGAGATATTGCCTTTAGCATGTCCTCTCTCTCTCTCTCTCTCTGCTCTAGGAAAAGATAAACTCACATCATATACTCTTCTACAACTCACCTCAAATAAACTACAACATAACCTCAAGCACTATCAATGTTAAGACTTTGACCCCAAAAAAAAATGACAATAATAATAAACATAAATACACAGAATTTACATAACAAGTAAATTGCACTGTTGCACCCTAAACTTTTCATATTTTGCATAATACACCCCAAACTTTCAATTTTGACAAATTTCATCCTGACAGCTAATAAGTGTTATTAAATTGACGGTTTGAAACACGAGATTCGCACATGCAAGGCAAAGCTCGTCATTTTTCAAACCACGTCATGTGCAATTCTTGTGTCCTAAACCGTCAATTTGATAACACCTGTCAGCTATAGCTTGAGTTCTCACAGCTAATGGCACTCGATCAAACTTTTTCTTTTTGGCACAAGAAACAATAAACTAATGAAAAAAAAAAGAAGCAGAAAAGACAAAAGAAAAACAGAACAAAATGCGATAAAAGAACATTTTCAAATTCACTAGGAAAAAAAGCTCATAACAAAAGCAAAAAAAAAAAAAAAGGTGTTCTCTCCCAAAGAAAATAGTAACTTTAGCTAATGTATAAACATGCTTACCCTCCTCTGGTGGTGAGATTCAAAAGAACTAAATACACCAAAAAACTCGATGCAATTCAAAAAACAGCCCACATCACAAGTAACTTCAACCGGTTCAAGAAAGCCCTGAGTAGAAAGTTACAACAGTAGCAAATATCCATCATTCATAAATATAAATATAGTAGTGTTTTTCTTTTATTTAAAATATATATATGGGTGTGGTTTTAATGATTACTCCAATATTTACCCATCAATGAGTATTATTGTTTTAGCCACAAGATATTAATCCGACGGTTGTAATAAATTAAATAGTTGATCAAAAAAATTGATGACAATTAATGAAATTTGATTCTTACCACGCCACATCATTAAATTTTTATAGTTGGAGGTGACCACTGATAGAAATATAACCATTGAAAACTCTTCCATATATATTTATATATATATATATATATATGAATATAGTTAGACATCAACAGACAGAATCATTTAGCCATACAGTTTACTTCAGAGCAAAATTTGAGAAGAATACCTTCACTGAAAACTCAACCTCATGGCTTGGGGAAGTATCCACTTGCAATTTTAAGGAAGGATGCTCAGATTCCATAAAATTATTTTCATTATTACACTGAAAAGAAACAAGGTAAGTACAGATTATACCTATTCCGGAGGAAAAAAACAGAAAAAAAAATCCATATTATACCTCAAAATTAGGAAATAAAAAAGAAGGAAACAATTTTCATCATAACTAAGTATATCTTGCAAGAAAAAGCTTCATTGCCAAGGTGAGTCATTTTCCTCTTCAGTTATACATTTCTGTATTGATTATCCTTTTTTTTTAACTCCAGCTACAACCAAACCTTAAACAATCCTCACCAAATAACAACACTCAATTCTCATTTAAGAACAAAAATTTATTGAAAAATCAAAGGTAAGAACATGATATTCAGTTTTATGTTTATGGAAACCTGTTGTAACAGAAAAAAACTACATGTCTATGTCTCTTCCCTCGCATTAATGTTTTACAACTCAAGAACAGGTCCCCAAGTCCCATAATGGGAGGGTTACTAATTCAATAAGATGGTCAGCAACAATAAGGAATATCTCACTCCCAGTTATATTCCAAAAAAAAAAACAAAAAACTAAACTAAACAAAACACATAGATCTTGACAAAATGAAATCTACGTGAAACATAATAAATAAAACAGATGCAAAACAGCACAACCCCATGGATTTTTTTTTTTATAGGAAACAGAAACTTCATTAAAAAAAGAGACAGAATTGAACACAGAGAGAGTACAAACCTTTTTCATGTGCAGAACTACTTTCCTGTTACATGGATAGAGCATCTCAACTGAATTGATAGTGGTGACGAGGCTTGCAGATTCTTCCCCGAGTTTACACTCAATAGTTGATCCACACAGAATCAACTGAGCAATTTCTCGGTTATATTTCCTTTAATAAAGAAATTAAAAAATGAAATTCACATATGTAATCTTTTCTTTTTACACAAGAGAAACATGGAAAAGCAAGTGTTTTTTGACGAAATATATTAATCTAGCACGTCTTAAAGTAGATGAAAGAACAACTTGTATTGAACGATATATGCAAAACAATATCCATCAGATAAATAACAAGAAAAATGATAATTGCAATGATAGCACGTTACACAATCACTGTTTATGCAAGTAGAAATAATTTACGCGGGCAAAGAGCTCGATCTAGAGACAAGAAAACAAAAACAAGACAAATAAATAAATAAATAAATAAGCAAAGGGGCCGCCAACCAACTGCAAAAACCGACCAGATATTGGTCAGCGTTGGTCGGTTAGGCAGTTTTGGTTCTGTGGTTCCTCTGGCCTGGAAGCCGACCACTTGATTTCAGTCACCAAACCAGCAACGATGGTTCAGGACTATGGTTCAGGCTACGAACACCCCTAGTGGCCATGACATTCCTAAAATACCCCATCAAAGAATCTAAGAAAAAGTGCCACCTACAAGTTGGAGATGAGTGACTAAAATCTCATCTCCACCCACTCTAAAACCTTCCACCACTCCTAAACTCACAGCCTTATTCATAAGCTGAATTAACACATCAACCAAGCAGTAAACAGACGAGAAGACAAAGGGTTCCTGATTATAATTTCAATGGAATAGATTCTCAACCAGGAAAGTAAATGCACAATCGCTAAGGGTCAGGCTCACAGTCGGCTATTATGGTGTAAATCATTCAAGTTAAAAAATATTATGGTGTGGGGCCTACGGCTCCCACTTTACCCAAGAAATGAAACCATCAGGATTCAAATCCTAGTGGACAGAGGCACACATTCATGCACACAACCACTTGAGCTAGCCTCAATTGACAACGGCTAGGTAGTTCCCTCAGTAATTAACATTTATACAAATAGAGTAAAGGAGAGCGCAATCATACATGCTACGCAACATTGTAGACACCTGATGAATGCAAAATTTTATTGCACAGAAATAGATCTTATCATTTGTGGCAGCATTGACATTAGATGTATTCGGATGGAACTTCGTTGCCTCGTATATGTCCTGTTCAAGAAGACAATACTTAAGTTAAATCTTCTTTATATAAACAGAGACAGCACTTACTAAGCAGCTCATTTCCTAGTGGTAACTGACTGGAGCAGAAAGACCTTTATGACTTCATCAGAAACAACACCGGAGAACTGACTAGAGTCATCTGTTCCTCCAGCACCAAGCATGCCAAGGGAGAGCCAGTTCAACCATCCACGGGATTTACCTGCCAAATGCTCATCGTTCCTTGATTTATCCACAGAAACACCGCCAACATTTATATTTATGTTGAGAGCTGATGGGTTGGACAAAAATTCCTGCAGGGATGTAAGAATTTCTTTGATGGAAATATTGAAGCCATTAGACAGCAATTGTATCTTAATAAGCTAAATGAACAAGCAAGCCATTATACAATAGCATACTCTACACATCACCTGTTCCATAAAGCGGTGCAACCATACCTGAAGCTTGCATTCTGCAGCAGACCTATAAATTAAGATGTCTTCTATATCCAATTCTTTCTCCATTTGCTCCAATTCACCAAGAACATTTTCATCAACACCCTGAGAAGCAGAAATAAGATGAGATAAATTAAATGTTAGTGACAAAACAACTCCTTTTTTCCTTTTTAATAAGTAAAAAATAAAATTGAATAAAATATCAACATTACTTTCACTACAAAGAAATCAAATGCACGCATAGAGCCTGTGCAAGATTAAGAACACCAACTTGAAATTCTTTCCATACAAGAAAGATTAGACCTGAAAGCGACAAGAAATGAAACTATAAAAGGCTCTTGATTGATTCATTTATATAAGAAACAACTGGAATTGATTCCATTCACTAAGGCACATTTAGGGTATGTTTGGTTTGAGGATTCTCAAGATTTGAACCGAGGTTTAGGTTCAAACGAGTGTTTGTTTGCAGAAAGTAAAAAATGGTTTGACCAGCCCTAACAAAACCAGTGTTTGGTTTAAAAAGAAAAGATTCAAGGTTTGAACCCTGATATGATGTTTTAACCATATTAAACCCCAAAATATAAAACCACTCATCCCCTTGGTTTTGGCCGGTTTGAACTCCAAGTTCAAACCACGCATGGTTCAACCCCCTAAAGATTCATGGTTTGAACCCCAAGTTGTAAAATTAGCACATATTTTCTTCTGATCTTTCTAATAGGACAAATTATGTTCAGATCCACAACGGTTATTACTTTTTTTTTTTCTTTTGAAAAGAAAAATTATTTCATTAATAAGAAACCAATCAACTTTCAGATCCTTTGCTATAGAGATGAATATTAAACACAGAAAGAAAGAAACCAACTTTGAGATCCTTAATAAATAAGAATGATTAGGCCTGAAGAGACAACTAAACCGGTACAGAAAATAAAATATAAAAAATGGTGTTTAATTGTGCTTCTGCTTATTCAATATTGGAACAATTAACAACACTTTGTTTTTAAATTAGGATACACATCCTATCGTATTCTCTTCTCTTTTGATAGGACAAACATTATATTCTCTTTTCTTTTTCTTTTTCTTTATGGCCCAAAAAACCACCAAACCCAGTCCGTGGGCTTTAGTTCGAAAGTGGTGCTACTACCAAAATCGACAATCTTTGGGAAGCATGCAACTCTTGGTTATTCACTAGGTAGGTGGCCCTCAGGAATTCAACCCCAGACACTTGGGGAGCAAACCACATGCATGATGGCTCATGAAAACCTTGTACAGTTTATCAGTGTCATACAGAAGTCTCAAACAGCAATGAAAAGCAGCCACTACAAATATGAACTTGATGCAATGAAATCAGCGAAACAATCCAAGGAGTCAAGTCTGTCTAAAAGAAGAAAGACAGAGGCGGCAGTATTCCAGCTAGGAACAATCCCGAAGTCCACATGCCACTTAGCTAAACAAAATCCTAAGTATCGGCTGTCGTGCATCTTTCCAATGTGAACCTGCCGTTAAAAGGCTATAAGTAACAGCACACTCACCTAAGATAACAGGTTTCACGCTTGAAAAAGTATATGAGCTTGTTTTGTAATAAGTAGATGTCGGGTACCTAAGGAACCACCCTAACCCCCTCACCCGAAATACATTGTTAGAGGCATTATCTATTCGTAGATCTGTTATACAGGCGATTTAGCTACTTTCAACCCTTAGTAACGCCAGATAAATTTCACATTGACAAAAAGAATGATTAAACAGTCATTATTATTATAATCATTATTTTACATAAAACCTTTATGTATAACAGAGTTTAATCAATACAAGGTAACAGAGGATGAGAGCCTCAAAAAGGAGAAAAGCAAACAACAAATGCAAAAAAAGGCAAAGAAAAACTCCAAAAGAACAGCAAACAAAGACCCAAAACAACAGTCTGGAACTAGAAAAAAGCAAAGACTAACACCCAACAATTATCATATCTCCCTAAACTCCAAAATGTCCCTCCAATTCAATAAAATAAGGGACAAGGAAATATGTTTGAACTCCTTATCCATTGACACCCAAAGGGAAGATAGGAAAATAGCCTTATCATCAGCGCCTCAGACTCTGTCTAGTCCTTATTATGACCACATGATGTAAGAATATAAATATTTGTTTAACTAGGAACAACAAGATTACCGGGGCCGGCTGAAGAGAATACAGCTTAGCCTTGTATAAGGTCACATACTTTCGACGACAACTTCTGAAATCAAAGTAGTTCATTTCAATGTTAAAATGAAACTTTAAAAAAAAAAAAAAAAAAAAAACACACCTGAAACTATATTAAATGAAAAGGGAATATACGACGGGCGAGAGGAAGATGATTCGTCAGCATAAGCAGACCCAGCAAAAACAAAATAATCAAACAGAAAAAACAATCAGGGACTTCAAGCAAATTGACCATAGGAACGGTGCCCAGCTCCTAACAAAGTCCAAGAAAATCAGACGGACAAATTATTTATCTCTGTAAACCCACAATGAGACCCAATACTTCACTTTATCCCAGAGAACAAAAAGTTAAAATAAGCAACTCAGAAATAATAACGAGAAAAAACTAATCAAAGCTACTTGTACATCGTTGTTTAGAAATTTATGTAACAGAAGAGCGAGAGACCGTTGTTGAACCAGTAATTTCAGGAAATTCTAGTTTGGGACCAGATTTTGTGGAGACAAAAGACAAAAATATGGAGGATGTACCACATATCCCCACAGTGACAATTCAAGTCACAGTGAAACGGACAATTAAGTAGGACTTCACTATCATTGCAGTAATACCAAAAACAAACAAATTTTCATTTTCTAAGGATAAAATCTCAAGAACATTTCCTTTGGGATAGGATTCAGTTGTAGGCTTGTTTATCTTAAGAGTTCAGAGATGTTCCTTTCTTCTTAATTTTTAGGAATTGGGAAATGTGTGTGTGTGTGTGTGTGTGTGTGTGTGTGACTCTGTGTGTGTGTCATTGTCATTGAATTATTGATGATGAAATCAATCAGAAAGAAAAGAGGACAAGGGTGCTTCTAAAGAAAAATAAAACAGAAAAAAAAATAAAATAAAATAAACAAAAAGTTGAGCGAAGACCCTTAAGCACAAATAACAATTAGCCTACATCACATCCTTCCAATTTTTTCCTTTTAAGAAGAAAGAGCGTATATCAAAGAAAAATGAATTAAGATAGTTTTAGCTTCTGTTTCTAGTTGCTAGTGATTTTTTTATTTTTTTTTTGTGGCCGTTGTCTTCTGTCTTCTATTTTTTATGGAATCATCCATCTATGTCCCCAAATCAAGAAGCAATCATAATCAGCCCATTACAAAATTGAGCGATATGTATACATATGTAATGAATCTATATGTATGAATGTATGGGTGTGTGTGTGTGTGAGAATGTATGTATGTATTCGTATGTACTCATATGTACACATATAAGGATATATATATCAACAATTTTTAACACTCCCAACATCTTTAGCAAATTGTTCCACAGCTTTGACCGGTCCCACAGTGAAGAAATCACTGTTTCAAATGCACTCTTACAAAAAAGACAGACCAAGATGTAGAGAGAATCAGATAATCAAGACCTTGTCTTTTATACTCCATGAGCACTAGTCTTCCTACGAGCCAAAAACGAAGCAAAATAGATGGAGAAAGAGCTTTCAAAGTGAACCGAAAAGAAGTAAAAGGAGACAATGAAATAAACAAGAAGCAAGCAAAACAAACTTACAATCTTTGTCCAAGGTTTCTCCATGATGTTCTCTTTAATTTCTTACGAACATCTGACAGGACAGATTCTTGTGCATAACGCCACCACAATATCTGCCACCCGTTCTGCTTTTTTGATAATGGACTGCACCAGGGACGATAACGTCCATACCTGATGATGCAAATAAATAGTGATACACTCAGTAGAGCCACATCAGCTTCAGGTAGTAAGATCTTGCAGGGTCTCAATTGAGGATATCTCTTTGCACAAGTGTAAAACAGAATAAGGGCAAGAAAGACAACAGTCATATTAGAAGCGATAATATTGGATTAAGAATGATATGTTTGATGTCCTTAATCCATTGTATTGCAATACGCAAGACAACTTGTTATGCCAGTCAGTGTGTTTCCAATCTTCACCAGAAAGAGAAAAATAAAGATAAAATCAATTTTAAAAACATTACTTGTTGGCCCCAAAAGAAGTTTAAATGTTCCTTTCCCGAAAATGACTAAGGGTCCGTTTGGTTCATGGGTTCAAACCATGGTTCATGATTCTGACTTTTGAAATTCAAATATTTTGTGAGAGGAAAACACTGTAGCAGAACCAGAAACCATGGTTTGAACCATGAAAAACCCTTAAAACAAACAAGACCCTAAGCAGTTGTAGAGATTTCTTGTAAGATAAGTTTTCTTTGGTGCAAAACATGGTCGAAGTGAATTTTGATTTGCAAGCAAATAGAAAGGACTGGGTTTTAGGATCAAGGGCTACTTATGGAAGTCCTTGGAAGTTTATTTCTCAAGGTTTTTCAAAGTGCAATGTCCTTAATCAAGAAAGCAAAGGAAGAATACAAAGAAAACAAGAGTGCAAGCAGTCGTCAAGAGAAAAAACACAGGAACACAGAGAAGACACCAATTAAACAGCAACTACAAGAAGCTACACCACTGCAAAAAAAAAAAATGAAAAAAAAGGCATATCTAGACATGATATTTAGACAGGGATATTGAAGATAAAGAAATGGATGAGTTGGACTCGTATCGGAAAGCTAAATTTTCAGCCTCATTGTGGACTTCAACAGACAAAACTTCCGAGGATTTTCCTCTCTTTGATGAAATGGATGAGTTGGACTCGTTTCGGAAAGCTAAATTTTCAGCCTAATTGTGGACTTCAACAGACACAACTTTCAATGATTTTCCTCTCTTTGATTGTGCTGCACTGGAGGGATGTTATAGGGAGCTAATATCTTTTGGTGTTGTAGTTTTATTTTTTTCTTTTTTGCCTTCATGTTTTTGTTTGCTTTAGCTTTCTGTTTTTTGAGTATCTCTCATCCTCTTTCCTTCGTAATTGATTTTTTTTTTCTTATCCAAAACAAAAAGATATTTAGCCTCTGTGTATTTTTGAAAATGTTGAGAATAAAGTGTACCAAAAAAGATGGACTCGCAAATACTTACTTCTCTCTCAACTGATATGTAGATAAATAATCCCACAGAATTAAGATCTGCTGCAACTGAACCTCATCCAAAGATATCTCCTGTATGTGCATTGAAAGAAAGATAAGGACCACAAAAACAAACCCACCAAGCATACCCATATGCTTCAAAATTAATTAATTTAATAAAAGGGTGGGGGAAAAAAAAACTACCAAGCCCATTATCTCGGCGTTGATGGAATGTTGCGGATTGTTGTTATCAAGCTCTCCAGATCTGTTGACCTTAAATAAAACAACAACCACAAATTATGATTGAGAATGATGAAGAAAATTTCTTAACCTGAAGATAAGAAATTCAAGAGTCAGTGAGTGTTTTACTGTTTTCTGATTAATTGTGCGTACTTTATGAGCTGTTTTAATGGAAGTGGGGTTTCTTCCACAAAAATAAAAATAAAAAAATAAAAGGCCCCATTTGGTTCAAGGGTTCCAGCCCATGGTTTTGATTCTGCTACAACGGTTTCTCACAAAAAATTTGAATTTAAAAAGTTCCCGTCAATGGGTTCTCTCACAAAATTTGAATGCAGAACCAAAACCTCTGGTTTGAACCCTAAATCAAACCGGGGAAAAAGAACATAAATCTATCACGTTTGGCCAGAGAATGACATACTAAGCATACAAGACAGAGGACAAGCGTTCCTCAAGATTACAAAATCAACAGAAAAGATCCACCAAACCTTGAACTAATTTCTCCAATTTCAGAAAATGAAAAAGGAGGATCACTAAATTGCTTATTTTTATTTGTATTCTGTAGTTCGTTTTATTTGTATTTTGTAGTTCCGTTTTGCTTTTCCTACGTTAGGTGGCCTTGTAATTGATTTTTATCAACGAATGGATTACTATTGAATAATAATAATAATAATAAAAGCTTATTCGTAGAAACCCAGAGACAGTACAGCAACCTATCTCTTAAATAATCCTTATAAAAATCCTAAAAACTTAAGCAGTTCTTTCAACCGTAAAACCAGGGAACAGCTAAAATTGAGCACCACCAGAGAGACGTTACTCTTTTCTTGCCTACAAAACCCCCAAAAAACTTCAAATAAATAATGGCCAACAAACTAGCCGGACCACCCAAACTAGAAAACCCACCTGCAACACCTATTCCAAAGCTATAAAGTCATCTGACATGGTGACAATGAAGAAACATTTGAAGGATGCCCTAAGAATGCCTTTCCAGGGTACATGCCGAAAAAGAGTATAAAAGGCTGTTGATTTCGGAAGAGAAACAGATCACAGGTAATCAACTCACAATAAGCGTCTTTTTTTATTACCATACGGTAGTGTTATATTATATTGAGGTAATTATAGAAGAAGATGCCACTAAAATAAGTAGCAGATCAATTTTGCAACTCCAAAACGTTTTTACACTCAACGCCAATTTTCCTAACAATAAACTCTGAGGATAAGTTTAACCTTGTGGATTTTTCAATTGATCTTACACTTCTCTCTACCTCTTTCCCACCTTCCTCATCTTGGTACGCTGGAGACCCATAAACCATGCCATTGAGTCCCCCTACCACCCCCAACAAGCATGACAAAGTGTTCCCCTGGCACAGGCAACACCACCGTTGACTCACCCTCCCCTGAAATGTCGTCAACGAGTTCCCTAAAGTTGTGACATTGCAATCAGACCTACCCCTACCCCTGCCGTGAGGTCCACCCATCCCCGCTTCCGCCTATAGCACAAAGACCCCTCCCCCTCCCCCTGCCGTGAGGTCCACCCATCCCCGCTTCCGCCTATAGCACAAAGACTACCGCAGGTAAGACAGCAGGCTACCATCATTAATATGGTAGACTAACACTAGCATAGAGATCTGCAGTAATCACCAATATCCTCGAATTATACTGCCGCACATTTTTGTTTTTGGAATTCCAAAAAATTTTGTGATTACGTCTTCTGCCAAAAAAAAAAAGAAAGAAAGAAAAGAAAATCCCATGACATAAATAAATCCATACGGACTGATTGTGGCATTTGTCTTGAAGACCTATTATAATTACTCTTTTTTTGGGACAAAATCTTATTATATTGAGCACATAATTTGTCCACCTACATTCAGCAAAAAATAATAATAATAATAAACAAATTAATAATTATATATACCACCATATTCGTCCATCCACCTACCAACAATGTAAGCGTTTGGAAGAATTGGTAAACTAATATCGGATTATAGGCCAGAGGTCTTGAGTTCAAACAACAGAATTATTAAGTACTCTCCAAAATTATCATTACATGTTGGACTTTATTACGTTTCAAGCTGATCACTAAATGTTCAGGTGTCGGACCTACTCAATTAATATTTGTCCACCCCCAATGTAAGGGGACTGTCAAAGAACTAGTATCAGTCCACCTAACAGCTTAACCTTTTATGAGAATTAGAAAACTAAAAAGTATTAGAATTCTATAAAATAAAATAACATTTCCTAATCTACGTAAATTTAATAATAATTAAAGAACAAATAAAAAAAAAAGAACAAGAATCAGATAAAACTCGAAATGCTAATCATGTCACAACTCCTAAGTCCTAACACATCTCGTCCTACCTCAATAAGCCAAAAAATAACAACTAAACTCAGAAATCAAACAAGAGATTTACTTGAAACTATTATTTTTTGCTATAAAAAAGCAAAACAAAAACAAAACAAAGAAACAAAAATATAAAAAATATAAAAAATACAAAAATAAAAAAACAAAACAACACAACACAACATAAAGACAAATGTTACACACTTAGATAAAAGCAACGGGTAACTTGCAAAAAAATAGGCCAATAATAGGAAATTTTCAATTCAAAAGTTTAGAAATATTGCAATGAAAAAGTTCAAATATCATTTAGACCCCAAATACTCTTCAACCTTTCATTGATGAAAATCAATTACGAGGAAGGAAGGAGGACAAGAAGCCCAACCAAACAGGAAAAACAACAATAAAAAATAAGGAAAGTCAAAAAGGACAAAGTCCTCGGAACAAATTATAACATATAGTGCCTTTTATGGAATCAACTGAAATTGAAAAAAAAAATCATAAGAACTTCCTCAATTGAATTGAAATTGAAATTTAGAAACGAACAATAGCAAAAAAGTGTAGTACAGTACCATACCAAGAAAATTAATAGAATGTTTTAAAAACTTTAAGAAAAGCAGAAAATAATTGAACCAGAGAAGAAATGGAATTTGTGTAACACGTTTTTATTCCAGCTGCAAGCAATAAAATATAATTTGATACCAGAGTTTGACTTGCGTACCAAAAGTGACATTGTAACATCACATGGTGCCAGTATAGAATCGCACTTTTTCCCTTCAAATCTTGCATCATCCACAGTCACCAAGTCAAGAGGTCCTTCAAATGTGCCACAATAAAACTCCAAACCTATAATATCCAGAGTTTTGTTGACCTGGCCACCTCTTACCTTTGCACCTAATGACCTGAGCCAGAGAGTGAAAAGATTAAATACTAACCAGAACTACAATAAGCTATTCATCATAGCTATTTATCATGTGACCTTCATAAAAGACGATAGAGTTCATTTATCTGATCTTTATGACGTAAAAAGGACTCACAGTACAGAAACAAATCAGAAAATTGAACCAATTGTGAAACATGTACAGAAACAAAATGAAAGAAGATTACGATGATTCCTCAAGCAAGAAAGAAATCAAGTTCTCCAATCTAGAACAAAAAAAAAAGAGAAAAAAAGGAGGAACATCCTGAAGACTTTATAGAAAATGTTGTTGATTCATGAACCCTTTGTACGAATTTATATGAAGACAATGCAGGCGATCTAAGACAGAACGCATAAAGGAAACAAACCTAAATCATAGCAAGACTTACACGACCTAATTTACACCACATTATATGTATTAAGTTATTCCAAATAATTACAAACAAGGTCAATTCCTCAAAGACATCCTAACTGAAATGTGCAAGAAGGATCTACCTAACAAAACAAGTAGTAGAAGAAACTGAGATTTACCCGAAAGGATTTTGCTTCATTATTGTCAAGCTGGAAAATTTTAAACCAAACACTGTAGGCACCTGGGAAGAATTTAGCAAGAATGGAAAAATCATACTAGGATATCCAGGAATATTTGACTTCATATTAAAAACTTCCTAACATAAATTGCAAGACTTTGAGAAAGAAATGAGTATCAATGGGGAGGCAGCTCGGATATTTCCCATTGAGAAGGATTTACTTTGGACTTTGTCAGTTGAAGAAAGTGCAAAAAACAGTATCGAGTGGGTCTACAAATCTTTTAAGGCAAGAACCAAGATGTTTCTTTATCCTTGGAAAGAATACGACTACCACCAATAAAGGAGTCTTTGAAAGATTTTAAGGACCATAGTCTTTTTTTATTATTATTATTTTAAATTAAGCTGGAAGAATCTGCTCTTTATTAAACTCGCTGTCTCCTTTCCTTTTGAATGTTTGCCTATTCCTAAACCAACAAAAGGATAATTTACCTTTTCATGCCTTTTAATTTAGGGTTATTCAGAAAGAATACCTTAAAGAAGACCCTCAGCTTTGGATGTCATCAAATTTATATCATCAAATTACATTTAATGCACAAATTCATATATTTTCCAATTTTGACCTCAAAATGCCCAAAATACCCCTAAAAAGAAAAAATAAAATAAAATAAAATAAAAAACAACACAACCACTAAAACCTAATTTTTCCCAAAAAAGAGACCCTAAATCCTAATTACTTAAAGGAGACGGGGGGAAATCACAGCCAAATGAACAATTTTGCCCACAGCATCTCTCCATCATCGACCATCAACACTCTACCAGTCCAAACGGTAGCTCTTTTGGTCTTCTATACAACATTTTCTTTTTCTCCTTCTTTTAATTTGCTAATATATAACTAAATAAAAAAACAACAATAGTGCTTTCTACTTCCACTAGAGTATAGAACCCTTTTGGTTGTTATGGACTAAAAATTGAGAATTCCTTTTGAAAAGGAAAAGGATGTAGATGAGAATGAACAAAACTATCACCAAATAGGCGCCAATTGGAAAGGTCCACAAATTACATGTCATCAACCATATCATGCAATTGCTCATAAAAGGATCTTAGCCGAAAGAAATGAGGCTCTGGAACAAAGTTCTTTTGACACCAATATTCAAAAGATCTCAAAACTTTTGAGAAATCTTATGAATGCTTGTCTCGAACTGAACCGAAATCTCATCAGTTTTTCAATGCCATGGATGAGAAATATGTTGATTCATCTTTGAAGCCTCACGACCAATTGACTAATTACCTTTCTCTAAGGCCTTAGTTCCTCCATCACATACCAAATAGGTGCCACGAGATCTTTCGAGGCCGAGCAAATGGGTTGGAGAGGAAGTAGATGAGACAATTAGTGGAAGTGGTTATGTAAGTGATTAAGATTTAAGGTGTCTTGAAAAAATAGGATTTAGTGTTTCAGGTGTTTTTCTTTTGTTTTATTTTTTCTTTAGAGTATTTTGGGTATTTTTTAGGCCAAAATCAAGTGTTCAACGATTTAATACAGATTTATGCATCAAATGTAATTCGATGGTATACATCAAACCAGATCAAAACCTGAGCGGTACTTTTTAAATAACCCTAAGATACAAGGTACAAAAAGATAAAAACTCTTAGCAAATGTGTCTGACAGAGAGATAAATAAAAATTATATTTTCAAAGTTGATAACTTCACAACATATATGTTCAATAGAGAAGGATGAATATTCTATTAAACTAATGGCAATGTCTGAAGAACTAATGAATATTCAATGACAGGAGCAGGGGTTTGTCTGCTTTGTCTGATGGAAGTCAATGCCAAGTAGCCTCATTATTGGCGTCACGGCTAACGAAGGATATTCTTTCTTTTTCCTACTTGTTATGGGTTGAAAAGTAATGTTATTTTTTTTATTTTTTTCTTTTTTTCTTTTCCCTTTGCTTAGCCTTTCTAAGAGGATAAATTATTCACTTTTCAATTTGTACTTTTCTGTCTCTTTTAGTACAATCTGTTCATAGTCAGGGAAAAAAGTTTGAAGAAAGCAATTAAATTCTTCACCTAAGGAAAAGGTTAATACAAGTAAAAGCAAGCAATAAAATTGCCATTGAAAAGCATAAGTAAATACAACTAGCTTTACCAATGATGAATGGATAACAAGGAATAGCACTTACTGAGTCCCCCCGGATATCATGGTACAAGACATGAAAACTTCTTATGGATACTTGTATGCTGTCAAGAATCTGGGAAGCAAAGAACACACATCGGTCATTTTCTGTAACAATTACATATCCTAAGAAAGCAACAACTCTGTCTTAGTAAAGAGAGACTTCTAAAACCAAAAAACAAAAAAACAAAACAAAAAACAACCGGAAAAAAAAGAAAAAAAAAAGACAACTTGCAATGATGGATTGGATCATAAAAGAAATGTCACCTTAGCAGAAATATATGATGTAAATGAGCGCCCAGCTCGATTATCTGACAATGTAAAATTAAGGATAAGTACCTCCAATTCAATCAGAATATGTATGTGATACTCAAATTAAATCTTCCCGGACAGACCACAATAATACAAGAGAGCCATATCAATGATATGAGAATAAACAACTGCGAAATTCTGCGACAAAATGGACCGAGTGTCTATAAGGTGCAAAGAAGTGCAGCAGTAAGTTATAGAATATGGAGATAACATAAGACTTGGCTGATTAAGAAAAAAAAAAAAGAGAAATAAAAATAATGATAAGCATTAACAGATTGGATTTTTGACCAACAGAACAACCGTGCTAGTTTTGTTTATCGCTTTTGCTTAATTGGGCTTTATTTATAGAATTACAAGCAAAAGTATAGGACAAAGAAAACAGAAGAAGCGAAGAATTACAAGAAAGCCACCCAATCATAAAGAATCAAAGATGAAGGAAGATCTCAAAGACCATGGACAATTGAGAAACTATATGAAGTTGAATAAGACAGCCGGAAAAAATTTAAACCACAGTTTTAAGAGATTCATTCAAAATAGCAAAACAAGAACAAACAAAACGAGATTTAAAGTTCAGTCAAATGATATTAATACATAGTTCAAACAAGCCTTTAGTAGGTAAGAAAGTTCATTCCAAGAGTCATTGGTAAATAGTTAGTAAGAAGTCATTCCAAGAGACACGTTTTATATGTTCTAGTTCCTAGCTTCAACTCTCGTTCTTCCCAAGAGTATTTAGTCCTCTCTCCTAGATCTTCAAAATGGATTTCAGCATATATAAGTTTGTAGCCTTCTTATTCCATAAATGAATGGTTTGGACGACAAGTTTTTCAAGAACATTTAGGGTCCATTCTTTTCACAACTCAAGTTAGAAAACTGAGTCAAAAAATACTGTAGCAACAAAGTTGAATATAAATTTTTACGAGAGAAACCACTGTAGCAAAAAGTTTGAGTTGTGAAAAGAACCGGTCTTCTTTCGTTTTGGTTGTTTGGTGCAACCAATCATTCTTGGTGCAATGCCGAGTCTTTTAAGCGTGCTGCCTAAATCCCTACAAGTGAGAGTGGAATAGTAGATCACTCCTTTTCTTTCAAGCTTGTATTCTTCCCTTTATTTCTACAATTTTAATTAAAAGCGGCTGTTCAACAGTATTCAGACTATAGTATATTTTCCCCTATTTCTGTCTCGCACCACAAACACCATGAAACAAAATGGATGATGCTAAAATGTTGCTCCTAAACTAGCTAACCTATTTTCAACGCAAAATGCGTACATTAACGAAGCTAAACACGATATATCCTGTTAAGATTGAAAGTGAAATAGGCTTACCACAGACACGTTTTGATAATTTAGCGAGCTCCGCTGCGGCAAGTTTTGCTTTTTTGGCCGCAAATTCTCTCCTTTCCACCACGTCCGAACTCCACTACAAAAAAAAAAAAAAAAAAAAAAGAACACGGTTTCCTTTTATGTTTTCCACATATGGCACTTCACAATAGACAATTTTGACTTCGATGGAAAAAAAATTTAAAAAAAAAAAGACAACAATAGGTCGAGGTTTCGGGATTCGAAATAGAAGTGCAAATTCTATTACCTCTTCATCGTCCCGTTGGGAGGCACAAACAAAAACATCCTCAAGAATGATGACAATAGGATCCCAGCCGAGCTTTTTCCAAGGAATTCTGATGCTCAATTTCCCAACACGACCTATCAACAAAAACATATCATCATTATTAACACTTAGACCCTTTTTTGCTAGTTCAAATCACAACTCAAGTTCTTACTACAGCGTTTTCTCTCACAAACATTCAAAGTAAACTTATTCTGCTACTGTATTTTCTCCCACTTGAATTCACTGTTTAACTCGAGTTTTCGAACAATCGAAATGAGCAAGGTATTACTTTACAAATGATTAGAAATTTATATCTGAAACTAAGCCCTAACATAAGTACAAATGTTTGAACTACCTTGCTTCAAAGCAAACGGTAACTGGAGATAGTCGAAGGCTTCGAGAGTGAGCTCGACATTTTCCAATAGCACTTCCTCTGAAAAAATATATATATATATAGATGTAAATATATATATATAGATGTAAATACATATATATATATATATATAAATATGCATATACATACAATCAAAAAGCAAAAAGATGAAAGAATCTGATAGTTGGAATTAGGGTTATAGAGAAATACCGTTCCAGAGAGTGATCTTGAGCTGCTCGCTCTGGATATCTTTGACATAGCGACCCAAATACCCCAATATCAACTGACGGACAAACCCTTCGAACATCGTCTCTAAAACCGAAAAGGCATCGACGCCACGGAAAGCGGCGCGGGAAATTCTAGAGAGAGAAAATATATAAGAGAGAGAGGGTTGAGTTGAGAGAATCAATGAATTGAGAGGGAAGAAGAAGGAGAAAGCGGCCTGAAAATTTGTGGAGATACACGTGCGAGTTGGCCCAAGGCGGGCCCACCATCGCGCGAGCTTCGAACCAAAGCAACTGATGAGTTCGCCCCAAGGACGACCATTATTTCAAATTTTCAATCGAATATCGGGGCTTTTCTTTCTTTTCTTTTTGCATTATTCTCCTAAATGATCATTGAGATTAAAATCTTACGGTGCGTTTGAAATTATTTTTAAAATAATTTTATTTTTTATATAAAAATAGAAATAAAAACATTTTTATTTTTATTTTAGAATTATTTTTAAAATGTGCTTGGTAGTTTTATTCAGAGATTAATTTCAGTTTTAAAAGAAACTGAAACTGCGTTTAGTGGTTTAATTTTTAAAAACATGTAATAATATTTAAATTAATAATATATTGAATAAATATTAATATTAAATATTTTAAATAATAATATATTGAATAAATATTAATATTAAATATATTAATATATTGAATAAATATTAATATTAAATATATTAAGGAGAAGAGAGTGGCGGCGGCGGGGAAGGGGGGGAAGTCGGAGAAGAGTGACGGCCGGGGGGTGGCGCACAGTTGCAGACGCCGGCTGGATGAGCGACGGTGGGCGTTCTCCCGCGTCTTCTTCGACTGGAGAAGAGAGAGAAGAAAAAAAAAACTGAAATCCGTTTTCAGAAAACGTATTTTTTTCATTTTCAGTTTTTCACAAAAAGACAAAAACGTTTTTATTTTTGTTTTCTAACACAAACTTCGCCAAACGCGTTTTTCATTTCTGTATTTAATTTTTTTACTTCGAAAAACGTAAAAAATGAAAACAAAAACGGTAACAAACAGGCCTTTAATTTCATTTAAAACGTAACATAATTAAGCTTTTGATGTTTTACTTCATTTTTAGTTTTGATCTTTTTGTTAATTAAATATTTAATATTTAATAAAATTTGTCTAAATTTGAGATCAAAATTAAAAACAATTAAAATTTAAAGACTATATGTGAAAATTAATTTTTAATTTTTGTATTGTTTTATTCTCTATGTTTCTAATTTTGGTTTGCAATTTCTATAGATTCCATTGAATATGTAACACTTAACTAATATGATGACTGTAATTGAAACAAAGTAAAATCTCGATGATCAACTGTGTAACGTTTTAAAAGTCATAGATCAAAGTGGAATATAGGATAAACTAGTGTTGTCAAATGGGTCGGGCCGTCTAGCCCGTAATAGTGCCGGATTTGGCACGGCCCGGTATGCTACTGTTACGGGTTGTGCCGGCCCGACACGCATAATGGGCTAAGGTTGGGCCTCGGCTTCTCAACCCGCGGCCCAAGCCCAACCCTAGCCCGTGAAAGCCCATGGCCCGGCCCAAGCCCAGTTCGGCCCAACCCGGATTCATCCCTTGTTCGGCCCAGCCCAGGCCCGCCAAACGGCTCGCATACCCTTCTAAACGTGACCGTTGGGCCCAACGGTCGGCCCGTGACGGGCCTCCCATTTGGTCCGTCGCGGGCCGACTGTGGGACCCACGAAGGGCCCAACGGTAACAATCTGAAAATTACCTAAAAAATCCCCTATAAATACCCCTTAATTCCACCCTAAATCCCACATAACAATTCACTCTCAACTTCTCATCTCACTCTCATCTTGTCTCTTTGATTTTGATTCTAAGCTTTTTTCTCGCAGTCACTCATTTTCTTGCTCTTTCATTTATAAAGTTTAAGTTCAATCAATTTTCAGAAAATGGCCACATCAAACTTCCTTGATTTCACTGCTCTTCCTGAGCTTGATGATGAGACATTTTTCGAGGATGAAATGATGCCTCCCAACCCCACCCCCACTGAACCAAAAATGTTCCAGTAGATAATGCTTCAGTGCACAACGAGGAAGTTGGAGAACGCAGTAGAGAAAAAAAATCGCAAACTTCTCCGGCATGGCAACATTTCACCAAGGAGCCCCGACCAAATCCAAAAATAAGTGAAATGGAAATTCGTGCGGTATGTAATTATTGTAAAAAAAACTTTTCTAATAAAAAGGATGGGGGTATTGGTCATCTGGATAGACATTGGAAAGTATGTCTATTGTTGCACCAAGGTGGGAGTGTGGACTCTTGCCAACAAACAATATCACTCACATCAGAGGGATTACAAAATTTTACATACGATGCATAACGTGCTCGTGAGGCACTAGCTAAATTTCTAGCTAGTGCCGAATTGCCTCTTTCTTTTGCAGATGATGCGTCATTCGAAGAATTCATCCAGACAGCCTTCTCCTCACAATTTAAACAAGTAAGTAGAAACACAACTCGTTCTGATTACATGAAAGTGTTTTATACAATGAGACAATCTCTTGTTGATAGTTTTAAGACTTTTAATGCTAATGTCTCTTACACTTCTAATGGGTGCAATAAAATTAGATATTTATGTGTCACGGTGTATTATATTGATGACGAATGGGTTTTACAAAAAAAGAATAATTGGTTTTCGTTTATGTCCATATCCTCATAACGCATCATCTATTTTTGGTACAATAATGAAAATTTTTGGGTTTTATGGGATAGAAGATAAAGTTTTAACTATTACTTTTGATAATGCATCAGCTAACACGGCTGCAATTAACATGTTTAAACGTAGTTTGAAACCGGCGTTTAGGGGGGAAATTTTTCATCAACAGTGTGCATGTCACATAATCAATTTAATAGTTCAGGCAGGAATTGAACATATTTCATCTAATCTAACAAATATTAGAGAATCTTTATCATTCATATCTAGTTTTAGAGCTCGACTCCAAGAATACAAACAATATTGCAGGAACGGTCAGATGTGCCCAAGAAAGTTTCCAACTGACGCGAGACATAGGTGGAATTCCACCTATTTAATGTTGAAGGCAGCACTCTCGTATTCACAGCTTACACAACGCATGTATACAGTAAGAACGATCAACTTTTAATTTTTAATACATATTGGCATATTGGTGACAATGTTATCTGTAAGTTAGAAAAATATTCTTGCATTAAATCTTCATCCTTGAGTACCGTTGATTCTCTAATGAATAGTAATTCATAAAACACATTCATGAACCAAAGTGCTCTTACTGATATAAGTACTGAATCAACACTCAAGAGAATTATTTATCTGCTTCTTTCTCAAGAAGGAATAGATTCCATCTCGTATAATAACATTCCCGGCTACATATTTCATCATGTCTCTAAAATATAAGGAATATGATTCAGGGTCTCAGAATCCGTACCGAGTAAATCAAAAGACCCAAATCCATGAATAAGAGTGTGCTAAGAACTCATGATTAATATCATTATATATATGACCATCGGTAGACTCAATTAGAATTTCTATACTCAACAGAAATTATAAGAAATTCATATTGTGTCTGTGTCCATGTTTCACATAATCTCATTATGCGTAATACACTCATTCAATATCTCACCATATTAACAATGCGGATAACATCGTTCCATTCTAAATGGGAATGATATGTATTAGTAATGTTTTAATTAAATATTATGAACTTTAATTAAATTCATTACGAACATCATTTTTTATTATTATCCTTAAACATTATCCTCTTGCATATAACACTTATATACTCATTCAATATCTCACCATATTAACAATGCGGATAACATCGTTCCATTCTAAATGGGAATGATATGTATTAGTAATGTTTTAATTAAAGATTATGAACTTTAATTAAATTCATTACGAACATCATTTTTTATTATTATTCTTAAACATTATCCTCTTGCATATAACACTTATATACAATGTTTAAGGTTACATAAATAATCATAAAATTTTCGTTTGATATTCATAAAATATTCACAAATATATACACATAAAATGATGAATAAACTCTTTTATTAAATAAATAATAAATATCCTATTAGATCTCATGCTTTTAGGACACCATTCCCAACAATATTGACAAATTATAACAGTAGAAACTGATACTGCTTGTAGAGAGGCTCGGAGAAAGTCCTTTTTTTTAGTTCTGATTTTGATGTGCTTTTTCTAATTGGCACAAATGGTCCAAACTATTTAGTAAGTGACTAGTCAAAATATTCAACACTTTTCTTTTTTTCGAGAGACGCTATGAAGGTCATAATTTGTTTTGGAAAATTTTATAGTTTCCGTTTTATATCATTGTTTTTATAAAAGTTAAATCTAATAGAAAAAATATTGAATAGAGAAACATTAAAAGGAAAAAAGTTTCTAATGGGGCGAATTAGGCAAAAAAGTTATTTAGTGGTATGAAAGAAATTTATGTGAAATAATTGCCAATAAAGTGTTTATGTAAAAGTACATTTGAGAACAAGATATCAAGATTCTTTATTGAGTATATATAAAAAAATATTTAAGAGAGTAATTTTGCAACAACAAAAAAGTTTTGATTAGGACACGTTTGAGAAAAAATTATTTTAATAGAACAATTAGAGAAAAATATTTATGAGGGTCACATTTGAGAAAGGAAAAAAATAAGACATTGTAGAGAAAATAGGAGAGAAGAAAGATGTGAAGGATAAAAAGGGGGGGGGAGGGAATTTAAAAAAAAAGTTTGTTTGGGTTAATATGGAGAGAGAAATGTGCGAAACCTTTCGCATCTAAAAAAACCATCCTCATGAAAATTCTATAGTTTATATTTTTTTTATAAAAATTAAATCTAGTGGAAAAAACATTAAATAGAGGAACATTAAAAGAAAAAAGTTTTTAATAAAGTGAATTAGGAAAAAATTATTTAATGGTACATATAAAAGAATTTATTTGAAAAATTATGAATAAAATGTTTTTGTAAAGACACAATTTAGAACGAGATATTAAATATTTATTGGGTATATATAAAAAAAGTATTTAAGAATACCATTTTGCAAAAATAAAAAAGTTTTAATTAAGACGTATGTGAGAGAAAATTATTTCAATAAGATAATTAGAAAAAAAATATTTATAAAGGTCACGTTTGATTTGAAAAAGAAAAAAAATAATATATTGTAGAGAAATAAAATGGAGAGAAGAAAGAAGTAAGGGGAAAATAAAAAGAAGAAAAGAAAGTTGAAAAAAAAAGTTTATGGTTCATTTGGTTTATGCGTTTAAATTAGTAATTTTTGATTCAAGCATTTAAATTTTAAAATTTTATTGCAAGGAAAACACTATAACAGAATCAAAACTATAGATTTAAATGTACGAAACTAATGAGCTCTTAATATAAAAATACAAAAAAAAAGAACAAAAATTTCTTTGGGTTAATGTTGAGGAGAATTTTGGAATCCCCACAAAAAACCCCGTTGTCCTAAAATAGATAGATAATTATTGTCGGTCGTAAGTCTTCAATCGCCAATGGCGAGCATAGTTTATCTAAAATTTAACAAATTATTATTTATAATTTAACAAATTATTATTTATAATTTAATAAATTATTATTAAAGTTGTAACCTATCACAAGAAAGAGTAAAACTCCATAATGATATGTTAAAATGACCAATTTTACCAATTTTCTCGTATTTATTCTTTATTCTTTAATCTTGACGAACGAAATACCTATAAACTCTTTAAATATGAGCCCTTTTAACACCTGTTCCATTTACAACTGTCAAATTTATCATACAAAAATAAGGGAGAAAGAGGAAAATAGGCCAATACTTTATATGAATTAAAATTAATAGGCCAATAGTTTACATAAGTTAATAAATAAGCCAAATTATTGTTTTTGTCCATAACTTGTCTGGTTATTAACCATAACTTGACAAGTTATTGTCCATTTTTATCCATAACTTGTCCGGCTATGAACCATAACTTGACAAGTTTGTCTATAATTTATCTAATTATGAACCATAAATTAATAAGTTATGACCTATTAATTTCTATAACTAAAAGTTGGCTTATATACTTTCTTAAGCTTTTTATATTGGCATATTTTCTACTATTTAAATAATGAGGCCTTCCTTGTTGAGCTTTCTAGAAAGAATGAGAGGTCATCATCAAATGATCATGAGCTGTGGGAGTCTATTTATGATCAGATTGGTAACAATGAGGTCAAGCTAGCAATGGGGCCTCACAAGCTCCCACTCGGGATCTTTCCGCCGATTGGATCCGATAGTCTTCTCCCGTCGTTTGGAGCGGGCTGCTTGAGGCTGCAAGAGGAGCTGGCGCAGCACATGACATATGACATTGGAGGAGAGTGCCCTGTGGATGATGTTTTTGCACAAAAGCTCACGCTTAAAGGGTGCGAGCCACTTCCTCGACGGAGATGTCACCCGAAATCTCCTTCGGGTTACAAGGAGCCAACCCCATTTCCAGACAACCTTTGGTCAACCCCGCCGGATAGCAGCATCATCTGGGAGCCTTACACTTGCAAGAACTACAAGTGCCTCATTGACAGGAAGAACAAGCCGGGTTCATATGACTGCAAGGACTGTTTTGAATTGGAGGGTAGGGAGAAAAACCGCTGGCTTTATGACAATGGAGGGCTGGATTATGCAATAGACCAAGTTTTGGGGACGAAGCCAAAGGGGACAATTATTATATCATCATACATATAAAAGTCTATGTCACCTATTTATTTACCTCCGATACCAAGCCAAAAAGAGTACTTTTCACTTTCTTTCCATCCCATTTCACTAAACAACATTAAAAAAAAAGTTTGTTTTAGATCTTCTTATCTTCTATTTTTTGTGTTTATCTTTACTTCCCCTTTTCCTTCTATTCTACCAAAACAGAGTGTAAATTTGTTGTTCTAAAGTGAACTTTTTCGTTTACTATTCAAGTAGAAATCGCCGGTTAATATGGTAGAATACCCTAAGTAACCCGATATATTACCATCGGGATGAAGGTTGCAGCCGAACACATAAGGTAACACAACGGACTATCATCAGTAACATGGTAGACGGTGGCAGTCAATGGGTTACCATTGGGAACCTATTACGATACCTTTTAGGGGGTATTTGTGGTATCCCAATATTGCATGGTGTCACGCATTACAAAACTTTCTTATGCTGCCGAAAATCAACCTTTACAGTTATCTAAAGATTTCAAGTCCGTTGTGTGGTTGCAAGCTTAATCCAATGACAATTCTTATATACTTCTAATTTTGTAGTCTAGAGTTTGATTCCTCCATTTTCAAGTTCAATATAAATTCAAACACTTTTTTTTCCCCTTTTAAATCCAAAGGCATACTTCTGTAGTTTCTAAAAATAAAGGGATGGATTGAAAAAAAAAAAAAAAAAAAGAACATTTAATTGTGTAATTAACCTTTGAAACACAAATTATACACAAGCATTGAATAAAACTTGCCAGAAAAACCATTTGAAGTACATAAACTAGTCCAACCAAAAAAGTTAATCGTGGTCTTAACCTAAAACCTTGATTATGTACTAGATTAGCATATAATCTATTCAGGAATAAACAGATGAACATACATCCATAAAACATGATAAAGACATTCTTCATTGTTATACATACATATATTAACTAACAAAACGTATATATATATACATACATATATGTATATTAAAAAACCTACATGGTCAGTCACCAACCATCACACGTAAGGAGGCTTCTCAAACTTCTCCGTGTAGTCAAAATGTCTTCATTGATAGCAGCGGCTTCTAACAGTAACTTGCTAAATTTGGAACCTCTCTCAAGGCTTTCAGACATTAGCATTGACCGTTTTTCTTCTAATATCTTGATCTTCTTATTAATCTCATCAACTTCTTCATCAATTTTGTTCCTTCGACCCCCCTTACATTCCGTGATCTGAGTTTCAACAACTTTTGACTCGTCTTGAAGTTTTTCTAAGTTAACTTTTATCTGAAGCAACTCATTCAGACGACTCTTCGGCGCCTTGATGTCAAAACTCTTCCAATTTGACCAGTTCTTCAATAACGCTATCAAAAGATTCGCCGGAATCATCTTCTTTTAGCTTAGAAACCTTTTCAATCGAAGATGCAAAGGTTATCATCTTTCCAATAGCTATTCCTTCACGTTTCGTCTCCTCGCACTTTACCAACGGACGAAAATGGGGAGTCTGCGGAAGTTGACTGAACATCCATTGATTCAATTATTTGACAAATTGGAGAGCTTTTCACAAAAGGCAAATTCTGAATGTCTTCTTGCTCATCTTGTAAATTTTGGGTGTCATCTTGCTCGATGTTGCATTTCGAATAAGTTTCAACTTGTACCTCGTCTTGCAATTCTTCTTGCTCATCGTTACCTGTTAAACCAAATGTTATAGTGTTACCCCATTCTTATTGGTCTTCATGACAACAATAACTACATCAAATATTTCAAAATAAAACTAGCTAACAAGGTTTTTTTTTATTTTTTAAATTCACTTTGAAAGATAAAACAAGATACAAAAATGAAAATTTTCATCCTTACTAGCCACATTATATGGCAATGGCATCACCTCGTCCTTCCACAAAAGACTTTCAGTACTCTTTCTGATAACCATCTCCTTTCCTCTTATCCCTTTTCCAACATCAACTTGTGGGCAGAAGTCCAAAATGGCTGGATCTCCAACTTGCTCCCTCAAACATTCATGTGCAATACACCCGACCCGACGAACCAACTCAACTTGTTGAGGATCCAACCCTTCTGTAGAGAATGAATCTGCTATAAGAGTAATTTCCCTCAAGCCAGCAATCTGCAGCATTCAAAACAAAACATATTGCTCAAATTGATACGTTATTTGCTTTTCTGTTGCAGCAAATAACATTCCTTAAATCATGATAAACACAAATTATCTCAGCCTTACTGCTCTTTGAAATTCCACTGAGAGACGTAGAGGCCGCTCTACAAATTTACGAGTAATTTTTAGGTACCACTTCATGTAGTCACCCTCATCTGCACCAACATCACCTTGTACTATACAAAACCTACGCCTTGACCATTCATTGATTTCTATTTGCATCTTCCCTGATAAGTCAACTCCACGATTTTTTCTCTTCCAGTCTTGTACATCTTCCGGGATTGACTGAAGCATGCCATATTGCCTTAGGCAACGATTAGGGAGATGCCTTTCAGCCTTGTCAAAACAAATCAGCATTGTCTTTGACCTCCCTACCATCAGATTACTCTTAATTTGTATAGGAATCGCATTGTCCATGCTTCTGTAAGGAAGCCAGTCTACCTATTTACCAAAAGCATACCATCTGTAACATACTCCATAGTTTAAAAGAAACAACAAAATTGAAGTATACCAACATCATCACATAAAATATGAGAACCTTACATCTTCAGGTTTAAGCGAATCCAATGCCTTACGATAAAATAGTACATCATGGTTTGCTGTTGGATCACTCAGTTTCCCCTAGTTTCCCCTTCCATCTAAGCATGAATGGGAAACAATCATGTGATGGGTTAGGATCGACCTTTGGTCGACCAACATTCAAGTGAAAGTAACTCCAACACTGCAGAAGCGTGGGCAAATGACCAAAGGCAACATATCAACAAGAAATTTCCATGCAAGCCCAAGAAACTGAATAAAATTGTGCATAAGAGTTAAAAATATAAAAGTAAACAAAAAAAATGGCACACAAATTACCTGCAGTAGCGTCAAACAACCGCTGATTGAACTCTGAGAACTCAGCGAGGCATTTCCTAAGGATCGATACAAGGATGCTAATGCTGCAGCCCCCCAAGCATATTTCCGACACTGGTCAAAATTCTCAAACAATGTAAGGTACATAACAGGGACTTTATTCCCAGTAGTAGTGGAAAAGATTGTGCAGCCTACAAGGTATAAGAGGTAGGCACGTGTATAACGCTCGATAACCTCAGGCGGGGCATCCACGGGACACTGAGAAAAGAAATGTTTCAACCAACTTAGCTTTACCATTCCACCATTAGTGTAGCCGGGTTCTGGTGCAACACCAAGATACTTTTCACAAACAGAATGGCTGGTGGTATAAAAAGTACCGGTTACTGGTTCCCCGTCAATAGCTAGTCTAAGAATTAATGCAACATCTTTGAGAGTTATTGTCATTTCTCCAACACTAAAGTGGAAAGTGTTTGTTTCTCTCCTCCACCTCTCAACTAATGCAGAAATGAGTGCTCTGTCTAGTCTAATTGCAGGAATCAATCTTAGAAAACCAAACCCAGCCTTCTTAACTAACTCGACTTGCCTTGGAGTCAGCGTCCAGTCGCTGAGCTTTGAAGTGTGTTCGTGACATTTCAGTATGCTACGAGCCTGAATCATTTGTCGAAGCATAGTTGCAAACATTCAAAAACAAAAGAAAATTTTTCATAAAAAAAAAATGCAAAGACAAAATATAGAAAAATAAACTTAAAAGGCCATATATGTAGAATCCACCTGCCGATCCCAAACTGCAGCAGATACATGTTTCTCCTGATCATTCAGCACTGAACCATCAATTAGTCCAGGATTTGTCCCAGAAGGGTCCACCCATTTGACTTCCATAATTGGTTGTGGAAAGAATCTATCCACCATAGAAGCAAAGAAGGCACATTAGTTCCATAAACTATCTAATAACCAAGCAGAACCTTTAAGGCCTCGTACCATACGCGGGTTCGAGCCACCTCGGTTTTGGTTCAAATTAAAAATTTCTGCTACAGTGTTTCTCACAAAATTTGAATTCTAATTCAAACCACCTGGTTTGAACCTACATTCCAAACGGATCCAAAACTGAGTCATATTATAATAGCATATGATAAAAGCAGCAAACAAAAAAAACAAAAAAACACATACATTTTAGTTCATAATTCAGTAGCTCAGAAACTAACATACAATCATAAAAGGTACAACACTAGCATCAAATAATGAATTTTTCAAACATGGGTTTTGGTACCTTAAAGTATATATGAGGGGCAAAAGATGGAAAAAGGCCTAAATTTTCCATTTATCTAATTTGCTACAGTAAGATTCTAGGATATATTCTAATTTCTAACTACACTACAGCATATCATCTCAAAGCAACCATTTTTTTCCAATAAAAAGCTCAAAATAATATAATTATAGTAATAAAAAAAAACCCCAGTTAAGCACACAGCTTTCCCTTAAGTTTAAGCCCAAGGGAAGCATTTGATCGAAGAGAGCTTACCTTACAAAATAAGCTAAAATAGGTTAGCGTTTTTTGCTTTGAACAGGACCCAGCTCCTAGTTTTCCCCAAGGATAGAAGAAACGATTTGAGAGTTGACACTTGACACCAGAAATGGTTTAAACATTTGTTTGCCAAGAGTGAGGGAAAAAAAGAAAAAAGAAAAAGAAAAGAAAAGGAAGACAAATAAATCGAAAAAAGTTTTGAAATCAAACAAGAACGTGACTGCGTGGGACCCACCAAAATCTCTTAAGGCATTAGAGACTGGGAGACTATCAAGAATCAACGAGCTAGTATTTGTGGAACTTGGGAAAGCTACCCATTGAATTTCGATAAAGCTTCATGACGAGGAAGAATAATTAAATTAGTGTATTAGTTTAATAATTTTATGAAAATTTTTAATCTCTAGTTTAATTATTGTTTTTTTTAATTATTATATCATTTAATATAATTAATATTCTGTTATTGTTTTTATTTGTGAGCT